TGTCGGAATTTTGTTTTTAATCCATGCTGGGTTACAATTTTTGCCAACGACTTAGACTTAACCAACATAGGTTAAAAGGAATAATTTTGATCAACACTGTTTTTAACCAACGCAAGATTAAAAGTAAATTTTAATCAACACTACATTTTTAACCATGGTTGAGCGTTTTTTAATCAACATTTTTTAACCCGCAGTTTTTTAATACTTGTTTTAACAGTGTAATAGCATTACTCGAAAAATTCTAAATATGTCGCATTTCGGTTCTGTCGGTTCCTTTATTTACTTTGGATTTTGCATATACATACATAAATATGTAGCATGAAAATAAGAATTTAACAAAAATAAATCCTTTTTATAATTCAATTAAAATAGGATTAGGTCTAGTGTTACTTAAAAACTTAAGTCTTCAGACTTAACTTCATTGGTAAAACGTTGGGTACCATACGAACATCTAGTTAATTTGTCTGGTGGGCTATTCTAAAGTTACTCCGTTAACTCTATATTTTCTGTACCATATTTTTCTCTTCTCTGCTTGTGTAACAAAATTTATCGATAAAATCTACACTGTCGGATGAATAAATATTGTCTTATTATTAAAAACAACTTGTACAATACCTTTTTAGAGCTTGATGTAGAAGAACACACTGAGTTGAATACACAAGTTGAATACCTGAGGCATATAGTATTAATGTTATGACGTGTGGGCTGGCATTGCTCGTATTGGCGTCGATATCACCACCCATTCCATCACCTATTGATAGCCTGGTCCAACACAAATAAGTGTGCATGAAATTTGAAAGTGCTTATCTAATTCAATAATACTCAATTATAATACTCCATAGTGCCTGATTCGAGGCAGTATTACAATGTGCTTAGAATTTTGAGACGTCTGAGCTAATTCGGGTATAATTTTGTTTCCTTCAATAGTTTCTTTTATTGATTTCAAACAATACAAATCAATCTTAGAAATAAAATATAGTTGTTTATTATCGACCCCACCAGGGGCCCGCCTTAGGCCCCCTGGTGGGGTCGAGGAGGCGGAGCCCCCGAAAGCTCAGGGGCTTTAAGCATTTAATTACGGTCAGATGAACATATTTTGATACCTTATTCGTGATACTGGCAGGACACTAATTGGCGTGGGGTTCAGGGGGCGGAGCCCCCGGAAGCTTAGGGTTTTGGGGGGGGGCATTTTATAACGGTCAGATGAGCATATTTGTATACCTTATTCATGACACTGACAGGTCACTAATTGGCGTGGGGTCCGTTATCGAATTAGAAATGAACCACGTTTGAATTTAATTGTGACAAAGGCAGGTCACTATTCTTTCTTTCTTTATTCAGGAATTTGCCATTTCCCAACAAACGCATAAAAAGTATAATTTACTAAAGATTGAGGAAAGATCTCGGAAAATTATCTCATTTCATCAACATTTGTAAATCACCGGTATCGAATTAGAAATAAACCACGTTTGAATTGTATTTGGGGGGTATCTGCCCCCAGCCCCCTCCACCCCCCCCCCCCCCGATCTATACCTTGTTGGCGGGGAAAATCGCAACTAAACTCCCCTACCTATCTTCTTTCTCTCTTTTTTTTAAAATTGGAAATTAGTGTAAGTATTAGAAAAATCAGAAATAGAATTGATAAGAAAGTTATATATTTTTTTTATCGAGATCAATACATGTAATAAGATGGGGAATCTCCAACTGGCATTTAAATGCGATGTCACACGTACTCGTAACGCATGTCACACATTCCAAGGATAACTCCCATTTGATTTGTGCACACAATAACTCGAAGTGTCGATTTTTCTGGATTTTTAAAATAATGGAACAGATATTTATTCACAGGGGGACATATTAACAAGTAAAAGTATATCGCCCATAACAAATTACGAACACATGCCATATGTAATGTCACTTATGATGACATAGCCATTATGGCTTTGCCATCATAAGTGAGAAAATTGTATTCTTTTATGGAAATGGGGAAAAGAGAGAGCGATAAAAGGAAAACATGAGAGGGAAAGAGAATAATTCAAAAAGAGAAGAAGATAGAGAATGGAGGGAAAGGAGAGTGACAGAGAGAGGGAGGGAGAGAAGAAAAAAAGAAAGACAAAAAAGGAAGAACATGAAACTTAAATTTACCCTTACAGATTACATTTCCGATGAGTTTGCTCGACATGTGCGGACGAAAGTACAACAATACGAAAACAGATGTTCTATAAAATTGTCTTTAGGAGAGAAAGAGAGGTTATTTCTAAAATGAAATGAAAAGGGACTTTGTGACTTTCAAGGAGGAACTAACAATTTCTATCGCTTGTGACGACTAATTTGAATTTCCTAATTTTTTTAAAATTCAAGAACTTCCTGGGGCTCCGCCCCAAGGCTGTCGGCAAAGGCTCCCCCTCCACCCCATCCGTAAAGATAGATCGAAGTGGTTCCCAAGACCACCATTAGTTGTCAAAAATTGGAGAGAGTGTGAGTTTTATGTAGTTAAAGCTTCTAACAACCACTCCGTTGGACCTTTTATTATTTACACAATGTCGATGCCTTGCTGTCGGCTGCCTCGAGCTCAATGGAGCGAAGAAAGGTAACAATGTATAGTAATAATTCCTATCCTTTTTATCCAGATGATTCTTCTACCATTCTTGACCAAAAAGTGCGTTTCAAAGTCAATGATGTGGGCGTTATTCCATTGAATGTTGAGTCCCGTATTAAGTGCGTTTTCTGAGAAAAAGAACACACAATAGTGGCAGTGCAATTTAAATATCAAGGGATGGATAAGAGTTTCTCTCTAAAAAGAAATGAAAGGGCTATTTGACTTTCAAGAGCGATAAAAACTCTAATCCATCCCTTGAAATTTAAATTGCACTGCCCCCGTTGTGTGCTCTTTTCGAAGAGCACAACAAGCCCTCAGATTGAACATTCCATCTCATAATGAGGTAAAGAGAGGTTATTTCTAAAAGGAAATGAAAGGGCTATTTGACTTTCAAGAGCCCTTTAATTTCATTTTAGAAATAACCTCTTTTTCTCTAAAAAAAAAAAACAATTTCTCTCTTGAGCTGTTGAATATGAGAGCAGAAATCAGCGCAGCGAGCGTGAACATATACACACATGTACACACAATTAACACCCATCGACAAAACAATTTCAGTACATTATCAAACTATCAGTACAGTACGTACGTGTAAAGGTTTAAAATACAGTCCAGGCTTTCCGCGAGCGGTTTCATTGGAATTATCGAAAAAATTCCCCTCGCTAGCGTGTAAATAAAAAATACGCAGGCCGGACATACGGGTATCCAGATTTTTCGCTTAACTGGATATACGGTTATCTACTAGCGTTACTGTTAGTGTCCACTAAGGCCAATTAATGACTATAAAAAACATATGCTCTTCCTGGCTATTTGGAAATGTGTCAGTTTGCAACAGAAATGGAGAACGCGCATTTTGTTGGAAATCATGTGATATCACGAACATTTATAACTCACTTAATTGTATGGAATTGAAAATAAGTCATGGTTTAATTTTATTAAGATTGGCTGCAAAAGGGACATAGTATCTTTAACGGGACCTTATAACGTTAGCGCCCCCAACCCCCCCCCCCCCCACCAGTACGCCAGTGCTCCTAGAACAAGTGTATAAATGTTTCTATCTTTTTGCTTACAAAATGAGCACAGTTATCTACAACAAAGCCGAATCTGAATAAATTTTCTCTAGTATATACAGTATTGCTCCATGAAGCAGTGCATAATGAATTTCTCTTAGTCTGTTAACAAGAGTAACTTTCCTAGGCCTACTAAATATCTCCCTACATACCTTATTTTAACAATCTGAAAATTCGCGTCCATCATGAATCTTCAAGACAAATAAATTTTGTAACTTCTCTATAAAATATTCATAAACCTTCCTCGATAATACATCTCTGAGGAGCTTAACAGTACTGTTAAACTGCATTAAAATATCATACTCTTTTACATCCACGAAACTCCAGTTATCCTTTTTTCCGCTTCTCAAAATAGCTTCCCCAATATTCCATACATCAACAATTTTGTATCCTTTTAACCCCAAATTTTGAAAATGAGATATTGCCCGCATGCCATTTTCATCGAAAATATCTTGAATTAAAATTATATTGCGTGTAAACACACACATAGACACACCACCCGACCACCCGACCACACTTCCAAACTTATAAAAAAAAAATTATATGGAAGGGGATTCCTAATAAAACCAGCCATTATTTACACCTTTTAAAAAGCATACTCCTGAAATCATGAAAATGTTTGTATTGTAGGCTGTCCTTATGGAGCGCAGGATATATATATATATATTTAAATCCTTTCAATAAATTTGGTATAAATAGCCCCTCCCCCTATGAGACGAAACTGTGTATGGGATCGGTATTCCAATGCTATTAGACCCTATAAAGGCGTACTGCGGAGTAGTTTTATGTTTTTTTTCCACGTTATGGAATGAACAGAAGGTGGGCTTTATTTCCTCCCTTTTGTTCTTTCTTCCTCTATTCCATTCTTTCTTTCTTTTTTTTCTCTTGTCCTTTTATTTTCTGGTCGCGGAACGGCTAGGCTGTGTGTGGAAGTGTTACCAAAGCAGAAGAAAATCGGATTTGGATTTGGACAACTTCTACAAAAGCCGTGATAATTTGAATCTTGTCATGAATTATGACGGGAGATATATGAACAAGAGAAAAGTAAATTTGATGTAGATAACGTTGCCGTGTCTGATTTATTACGATCTTTCAATCATTCATTAGTAAACTTTAGGAGGGAGAGAAAAACAATGACAGCCATACGTTTGCGAGTGTCTTGCTATAAAAAAAATTATTAAAAAAAATTGACGAAATTTGTTCGGGAGGAAGTGCTCGCTTTTCAAAACCGTGGTCACAACCAATGGGCTTAGACATAAGCTAATCCTACCTCATTGTCATATCCTTTTAAAAGCTTTAACTATATTTCTTTGTTTATTATTTTATGTTTTCAGAGAATTTACTACTACTATGGTGACCCAGAAAGATCGGCGGCTCCAGTTTTCACCGTGGAAAATGGCCGTTCTGTGCCTGGCAACCGTCACAACGAACGCTCAACAAATTATGATGACTGGGAGGAACCTACATACCATGACAATTTTGCATTTAATAGGAACATTATGCAAAATGAACGACGACGATCTGAAATTGGGCCAAAAAAGAACAAACCAACGGGAAAATGGGCTCTTATATGGAAACAAGTGGTCAGCGTGATGTGCTTCCAGGCCCACCGGGTACAACCGCGATAGGACAAGACGCGACGGACGTTGGACCTCGTAGGCAACATTCGACTTTCCCGGTGATGAAATACATGGAGGGGAAAGAACAAACAGACCTCGAAAAATGGCGATTGTTGCAGTTATTGTTCTTATTATCCTTTTCATGTTAATAATATTTGGTGCTGGTCTCTATGCCATCCTCTTCTTCTTGGGTGAGTAACTCTGTCGTGTTTTTTCTCTCTCGATATTACATGACATGTTCGTTAAGTCTTCCAAGGACAATTTCTATAGAGTACCGAAGCTGTAACATCAGAATTTCTCGAATTTCTCTAGAATTTTCCGAAAGAGCATAACAAATAATGTCCAAATGTCACTTTATGAGCCAGAGCAGTATCACTGAGCTCCTATAGGAAATCTATTCATTTAGATGGTCATATCTCAGCCAAACATTTACAACTGGCTTTCGACATTTGGACATTATTTGTTATCTGTTATGCTCTTTCGGAAAATGAAGAAAAATCTGAGAAACTCTAAAAATAGATTTTTGATGACGTCACACTTCAGCACTTTATACTCTTTGCGCTACCTTTAGAACCCATGGTGTGACTGTCTCACCTAATGTGTAATCTAATTAAGTATTGTTCGCACATATATATTAACAAAATTATAATTAAAAGTTAAAATATCACGCCAAACACAGCCTTATTACTATAACTACTACTACTGCTACTACTACTACTACTACTACTACTACTACTACTACTACTACTACTATTAGTATTACTTCTACTACTACTACTACTACTACTACTACTACTACTACTACTTCTACTGCTACTGCTACTACTAGCTGACACCATCAGGTGCGGATACACGGGGGCACCGACGGACCCCCCCCCCCCCCTCCCCTCTAAAAGAAAAGAAAAGGAAAGGAAAGAAAGAAGGGCTAAAAGCACGAGTTAGATCACTTATCCGTATATAGGCCAAAGCCCCGCAGTTCAGCTAGCCATGCTTTGAGATTTGGGTCGTTTTCATGTCAGAACTAGCCATAATTCGTGTTTTAGGCCTATATGATTAGAACAAAAATGTCGATAATCGCTCTACACTAGGGCGCCCCTCTTTTTTGAAAAAGTGTGTTAAAGAGAAATACAAAGAAAACAACCAAGGACAAAAATACGTGATGCAGCAAAGAAACGCGAAAAATAGCAAATGCGAGAAGTAAAAACACGGAGGCATCGTCAAGCATGTCGGCAATTTATAGATTTATAAAATCAGTTCTGTAAAAGCGATCGTAACAGCCTAATTTGTTCAGAAAATTGCACACTTGTATCACCAGAATCTGGGTGAAACATTCCATTTAGTTTAAGCAGAGGGCCAAAGTAAAATTCGATTTTTCTTTAGCTTCTCAGGAGGGCTTACCCACCCTCAGTCCCCCCCCCCCCCTGTCCACGCAAGCACGCGCCGATAATTTTTTTTTTCTCACGAATTGGGCCCCCTCCCCTCGCCGCCGGCTGGATCCGCTCCTGAACACCACCACCACCACCACCACTATTTCTACTATTAATTATTATACCACTACTACTAGTACTACTACTACTACTATTACTACTACTAATACTACTACTTCTACTACTACTACTACTACTACTACTACTACTACTACTACTACTTCTACACTTCTACTACTCAGGCGCGGATCCAGGATTTCTTAGGGGAGGGGGCCCAAATTTTTTTTTTTTGCTCCCGAAAATTTGAAAATCGCGCCGGCCGAAAAGTCGCTCAGTGGGGGGGGGGGGGGTACAGAGCACAATTTTTTTTTTTTTTTTTTTTTTTTTTTTTTTTTTTTTTTTTTTGCTCCCGGAAATTTGAAAAACGCGCCGGCCAAAAATTCGCTCAGCGGGGGGGGGGGGGGGGGGGGGGGGGGGGGGGGGGGGGGGGGGGGGGGGGGGGGGGGGGGGGGGGGGGGGGGGGGGGGGGGGGGGGGGGGGGGGGGGGGGTGGGGGGGGGGGGGGGGGGGGGGGGGGGGTGACAGCACTTTTTTTTTTTTGATCCTCAAAAATTTCAATTTGCACCCCCCCCCCCCCCTTGAGCGTCAGGGGGGGGGGCCCAACCCCCAAAATCGTAAAAATCACGTGATTTTACATGATTTTTTTCTCAAGGGGGGGGGGCCGGGCCCCCCGGGCCCCCCCCCCCCCCCCTGGATCCGCCACTGCTACTACTACTACTTCTTCTTCTGCTCTAGTACTACTATCAACCGTTTACAGTGGGAAAAAATACTTTACACGATGGATGTATTTATCCTATAGACAACATTGTAATTATGCAAATTGAAGCGTACATTATTTATTATAGTCAATATGGGATATGTTAAGAATGTATGCGTGCTTTGGGTGAGCTATATTAACTGAATCCTGCTTTGTCACTATATTGACAGGGTTAATACAACAGGAGATGATTTATAAAGTTGGGAAGAATAGTATCGACCGATGAGGTCTCGAGTACTTACACGTAATCAAGGCACTCTTTTCTGTTTTGGGTGGGATACCGTAGCTTGCATGGCATTTCTCTTTGGCATATGAATAGTTTAGCATGGATTGAGAGGGGTTGTAATCCAGCTAACAATGGAAGTTACAACCTGATTCAGCCGCGGCCGAGGACACAGGTTCGAAACTTTCCGATGGTGACGTTAAGGTTTAAATAATAATATATGATTAATACGTCTGTAAAAGCCCAATTACACACAGAGGGGTAGGATATGCTGGGGAGAGGAGAGAGATAGAGAGAGAGAGAGAGAGAGAGGGCGAGAGAGAGAGAGAGCGAGAGAAAGAGAGAGAGAGAGAGAGCGAGAAAGAAAGAGAAAGAGAGATAGGAGTGAGAGAGGATGATAGAGCATGGACCTACTACGAAGTAGGTACATGGAGAGAGAGGGGATGGTGGGGATAGACAGAGAGAGAGAGAGAGAGAAAAGGGTGAGATATATATGAACAGTGAATTGCGTCTACGTCGGACACAGCATGGTAGCGATGGAAACAGTGGTTTGCTGTATTATTGATTGTTTTTATATCGAACACGATCTCAGAGACTTTCGAGAAATTTCAGGCCATTTTCAATACCCTGTTGTTATGCCTTTAGAAAGACATTTTCAAATTGTTATATGGCATTTTATAGCTTTAGCACATTTCACGCAAAAGGACATTGAAGCCTCGAGTTGATATATCGACAGTCATTATAGGCACTCAGGTTTTTGCCTTAATTCAGTAAACGGATTTTGGCACTACAATCATGATCATGGTGTAATTTGATGAAATGCAGATCATGTTAGTGTTTAATAACCTTGAATTGTGACTTGATGAAATTTAAATCACCTTAATGTTTTAATTTTTAAGTCACAAATGTTAAAACACATGCATGCATTCTAGTTCTAATGTCAACTTTTGTTTTGATTTTTGTTTATGAAGGTCCATTCGCTGCAACCTCACCATCGGCAACGACAGGTAGTATTATGCATAATTTCCATTTTTTATATATATATATATATATATATATATATATATAGGAGTTGGAAGGTTACACTTTATTGTACGAGTTATACAGACTGTTTCGCCAGAAGGCTCATCAGTAACTAAATACATAATACAATCATGGCGAAGTTAAAAACACTCATGTGCAGTCAGGCAAGAATACAAAAGAGACACAAATAATACCCAAGTAAGCGAACGCAATAATACAATAGTGGAATTATGGGAAAAGTACCACATCATCACTGCTGAGAAATCCACCCTCCTTAACTCTAGAACTGACTCATTTCCACTGTAAACATAAGAGAAAGTTTCTACTCTCTGAATATGGTTAAACCCCTCCCCCCCCCCCCCCCCTGTACCACCATGACCTTTCCCCTTACCCTTAAACCACTTAATTCCACTATTGTACATTATTGTGTATTATTGCGTTCGCCCTTACTTGGGTATTATTTGTGTCTCTTTTGAGTGTTTTTAACTTCGCCATGATTGTATTATGTATTTAGTTACTGATGAGCCTTCTGGCGAAACAGTCTGTATAACTCGTACCAATAAAGTGTACACCTTCCACTCCTATATCTACATTTGCTCCTACAGTTGAGCACTGTCAGAAATTGCAGTTTCACTAACTTGCTTATATATATATATATATATTATATATATATATATAATATAACTTGGAGATAAGTTAATAGTTAAATACGTGAGTTTAAACCGAATTCACTGACGTAATGTATATGTGTATGTATGTAACACTTGACAAAACCATAAGGGCGGAAATACTTCCTGTCATGTATGTATGTATGAGTAGGTATATACGCATATATATAATTTTAACATATTTTTGTTCTTTTGATGAAACGTAGTTCAAAGAACTGTGATAAGTGTGCTGTCAACTAATCTAATGTCAGTCTTTACAGCACGTCTCAGCAAAGTTTACATTTTTAAAAGTCTCACCAAATAAACATTCACACTGTTTTTCAGGAATAATCGTACCTGTGGATAGCTTAAGTTTCTTGTATTATAGCCACCATCATGCCTTTTGTTAAAGGGTGCAAAATGCAAAATTGACAGGAATCCGAATTTGTCTGGCTGATATCAACACAGTTGAGAGCCGTGGAAAGGTTTACGAATTTCCATGTTCTATTATAATTAATGAAAGACAATTTGCGAAAGAATGGAATTTGTTCTCTGTGTGTCAGATTTAGCACACCAACATTTTATGCCTGTGTGAAAAATTATTTTTATGTGAAGTGTTTTGAACTATTAGTTTTTTGAGAGGCTTTGAATTTAAGAAGAAGAAGAAGAAGAAGAAGAAGAAAGAAGAAGAAGAAGAAATGGGCTGGTCAGATTTTGTGCGGGTCATTGAGAAGAGACCATTACCAGTCAATATTTTTAAATGTGTATGAGAATTTCAAATTATAAGCTTTTTTAGACGGCTGCTTGTGAAATATGTTCAGTGTAGTTTTTTTTCCTCTAACAGGGCCCAGTCTTACATAGAGTCGTGATTGATTTGGATCAATCGTAAGTCCTCCATTCAATCGCAAGTTTGCAGTCCCCTGTCTCTTATGTACATAGTTGTGATTGATATCAATCGCATTAAGCTGTGATTGATAACAACTCTTTATAAGACGGGGCCCTGGTTTGGAACATCTCATTCAAACCCACACCCTTCATGGATTTGTTAAGTATAACGGAAGGTTGTTTTGCCCATTATTCCTCTTGTGCGTATAACAATTTTCATGTGGAGCTTTTCTTATGATTCTTTCATGTTAATACTAATCGTGTCATTTCTTGACTTTGAAAATGTAACATTCGTATTCTGTTTTTGTATTTTAATCAGTCTGCTAAGTACATCTGGAATAGACCATGATTATGTAAAGAAATAAAGAAAACATTCCAAAATTCAAAATCCAATAAAAATGCTTACAGTAATATATACATAACATTATGAACCAGACACAATTAACGATTCATGTTATTCTCTCGCAGTCCAACCTAATGTACCTGTCACTCCTAGACCAGTAATGGCTGTTGTTGGTGAGTATGACTTTACTTATCACTATTCGTTTTCCGTATGAAAGAAAATTTGTGCAGAATGAAAGATATTAACTCTTATCCTGCACAGGGCTAATCCCTATTGTGCCAGGCCATAAATCCCCCCGAGTGCACAGTACAATGGGCATGAACAGTAACTGCTATTACAGTCATCTGCGTGCAATCATGCAAGAAGCAGAGGAACAATAGCTTGCTAGCGTGCACAAGTCGCTATAACAATAGCGTGCATGCAGCCTCATGGCAGGCTATGAGTTAAACGGAGACTGACGATTTTTTTCAAATAAATGAGATTATCACAATAAGTAGAACGGAATATCAAACGCATGTACACAGAGAGAAAGAAGAGAGAGAGAGTGAGAGAGAGAGGGGGGGGGGGGGTAAGAGAGGAACATATATATACAGAGGAAATGTTTGTGTGTGTGCGTGTGTGTGTGTATGTGTGTGTGTGTGTGTGAGAGAGAGAGAGAGAGAGATTCTTTCGGGCTTCTAACATACATTGTACGCTAAAAATCGTGAACCAGTGAAAAATTTGAGAGCTTTAACCATTCCTCTATCTTTTTGCAGTTGGAGTAGAGCTGGACGCAACAGTGAAGTTATCGAATCGAGCCTTTGTTCCTGCCTACAACAACGACTTATCGCCTCAATACCAAGAGCTTTCTCAACCTTCACAAACACGGTTAGTATATCCGACGCAGGTTCATCCTTTTTTCATTTGTGTGTGTTTGTGTATATGCTCTGGATGGGACAAAGGGTTTTTCTCCATAATAATAATAATAATAATAATAATAATAATAATAATAAAAACGTGACTTATAAAGCGCTTACCACCGAAGCCTCTAAGCGCTATAACAAACAAAATAGACTGATAAACAATTACATATTAAACAAAACAAAAAAGTGCAAATAAACCTAAAAATTACAATACATATGAAATCCTCATCAATGTGAACAGAGTAAGTTAATCATCAAAGCAATTTTGAATAAATGTGTCTCAAGACAAGTTTTGAATTGGTTAACAATCGGTTTGACCTGACAGTGGTCCGATTTGCATTTGTTTTTGCTTGTTTGTTTGTTAAAATTCCCCCTCTTAACCCCCTCCCCAGCTATAATAAGAGGAGATTGGTTTTTACTATTCTTCAACTTAAATAATAAATCTCAAACAAAAGTTTGAAAAAACTTAGTTTTTATGTAGTTTGATGTGATTTTGCCAAACATCTTCGAATAAACAATTAGTTCAGTTGAACATCATTCATAGTGATGGCGGCGTAATGTTAACGGCACCCCTCTTATTCGAAGTGAGAGAGAGGGGGGGGGGTGCCAAGGGTTCGGGCTTTAAATTCCACGCACTCACGAGGGACTTGGTCTGAAAAGGGTCTGAAAATCAGACTATTACTAAGGTAATTGTAATCACTTACGTTGATTCGACAACTAATGGTCGTTTTTTCCACTAAAAGCCATTTTCAACCCTTTCGTTTTGAGGGAAGTTCTAAATTAGTATGAACTTTCAAATGCCGTTGGAATTTAACCTTTGCATTTTGTTGGACATAGTACCTTTGAATGTCAAATAGCAGGAGCAACAAACCATCTAAATATTGATATATAGTTACGCACTAACATGTAGTTTTTCAATACTTGTTTCTCTCGACCCCCCCCCCCCCTCTCTCTTTCTTTGTATCTCTTTTCTCATCTCTCTAACTTTTTTTTTTTTTAATCATTGGTATAGATGGATGCAGTGTTTTTAAACAGCGATTTAAGTGACATCTACAATGGTACAGTTGTCAACGGATTCACGTAAGTCAGAAGTTATTATGCACTGATTATAATATAACAAATTATGAATTTGGGGCAATTGTTCCATGCTGTATCCTAGATAGTGATTACTTTCAATGCCCCCCCCCCCCCCCATCATGAACATGATTCATGTGTAGATTTATTTTCTAATTTGGCCCACCGCTCTTCTGTTAGCAAAGAAGGATGGAAAATGACAACGTTGTTGGATTGGATAATACACTACAAAGCAAGAGAGAGAGAGAGAGAGAGAGAGATTAGTATTTTTATGGTTTAGTCTCTTTTATTTCACATGAAAAATATAATACATAGCGTATTTAAAAAATTGACATTCGTGAACAATAAAGACATCTATACACAGCATAAGTTTGTATGGCATTTACACTAAATAATTTCGAAATTACATGTGAAAAAGGAACTTAATAAAAAGCATATAGCTTGTAGAATTTAAGTTCCTCAAAATAATTTTGACACATTGTCATTCATAGTAAGGTAGAAGTATAATAATTAAAAGCAAAGTATACAGACAAAAACAATGAAGTGATATGGATGATGGATGTAAGAAAGAAGAGAAATGTGAACTTAGGAAGAGAAGGTACAGAATGGGGGTCAGAAGAAGAATGAGAAGAGAGAAAAGGAAGTTTTTAGAATAAAGTGTTCAAGGTCGGGAGTTACAGCCGGGGGAAAAAAAAACTATTTTTTTCCCGACTGTGACTTCCGAACTTGAACATAACTAATTATAGATGTGCATTACACGTACAAATTCAATAGTTACAATTTGATATGTTTTTTTAAGCTGCCACAGTTTTTAAGCTGTTTGGGATTGAAGGGGAAAAGATTGAATGATAAAAATGGGGATAGAACAACAAAATACAGGCGTGCTAACTAGTTCCAGCTGGTGGATTTCATCACTGGGCAAATTTTGAAGAGCAGAACATTTATACAAATGTCTGATTTGATATTTTCACAGTCAGGGAAGTGTCATCGTGAACTTCACCATCAACCTGATACGAGCGCCGACAGCGCCGACAGTCACGGGTTCGACGACGCTATCATCGGGTGTCGGGAGCATCGATGACCAGATCAACTCGGTCAGAGGACAGGTCGAAGTCTCCGTTAAGGAGATCATTCAGATTGCCGACGACAATGGCGACCTCACCACACTCGGGGTCGATTCGACGACGCTTTCGGTGACAGATGGTAAGGAGCTCATGTTTTTCTTATTCTTTTTTAATGACCCATGTATTTCGAGCATGTGCATGCTTGCATGGTCTACTCTGTTATGTTGAATGAATCCAATACTGGAGAATGTACACTTCTTAGGGTACACACGTAGGAAAACAATTATGGTACACACGTATGTAGTTCAGGATTTATATAAGATACTGTCTGTATGTTAGCTGATGTTTGCAATACAAAGTTTCTTTTTTGTTGGTTATGTTTATAAAAACACGTAATACAATATATGCTAAACTGACGACTTTTTATGTTTACGGTGATAATGGGAAAAATGTACAAGAAAGAGAAAGAGAGATGAGAAAGAGAGAATGAGAAAAATAAGAAGAAAGAGGACGTCGATGACGGGGAGGTGGAGGTGAAAGATGATGAGAAGGACGAGGAGAAGGACGAGGAGAATAACGAGGATGAAGAGGAAGAGGTTTAGGAGGAGGAGGGGGGAAGGAGATGATGATGCTGATGAAGATGATGATGAAGAAAAGAAGAAAAGAAGAAGAAGAAGAAGAAGAAGAAGAAGAAGAAGAAGAAGAAGAAGAAGAAGACCTCGGTCATGAATTCATGTTGCTGTTATGCATTCCCTATAATTATAATAACTGTGTATTTTATTTCTATCAACAGTTTCTGTTGATGTCGAAACAATAACAGTCACTGAAACACCCGCAACAACAATTGCTCCTTCCACAAGAACTCCAGGTTTGTGATAGATGTTAATTAGACACTAATACCTCTATTCGTCTCTCTTCCTCGCATTTTCGCACATCGTTTTGGTGGATTAACTTACTGAAACAAAACATGGATCTAGCTCGTGGTTTGCGACAAGACAATGTTCAATAATACCTTTTCCGTAATAAATAAACTTTGCTGAGAGGTTTGAGAGAGGCTAGCTGCATGTCGGTAAAAGTGCTTCGTAAAAGAGTGGAGCCGCACATATCACGCAACCCGCCTCCGTGATCTATACATATTCCTACTTGCGGGAATTTAGTGTAGTCCTAGTTCAGGCGAAGAAGAACCTGGGTTCAATTTCCGACTGAGACCTTAATTTTTGGAGACCTTTTTGAAGTTATGTCACAATAAGGAAGACAGCACAAGGAGAAATTTAGGTACGCTAAGAAAGTTCATCCAACTTGTCTAACATTTCTTCTGCATCCATGGGTGTCGATACTTACGTAATACCTATTCATCAGGGGGGGGGGGGGATGAATGAATAGATCATCCCCCCTGATGAATAGGTATCAGTTACGGATCGACACCCATGTCTGCATCCCTTCCATCGCCCGTAATGTTTTTTCCTCCAAGTGTTGGGTCGTCCTGCAGTATGTAACCTATAGGCTCGTATTTAACATATAGGCTCGTATTTAATGAGTTCATACACTCAAAATCAATATATAATATATGCTGTATATAACTTATAGCATATTCTGGGAAATCAGATAGAATAACTGACATTTACCGAAGGCAGAGACCCTACTGACCCTGGCTTTAACCTGACAATATTTTACAAGCAAAATGAACACAAGTACAGCTTAATCTGCCACTAAGACATAGGCTGGAGCTATATAGCTCGAGGTACATCGTCGGCTGCCAGCGAGAAGGCCGTTATACTACTGTAAGGTTTTAATTTTACTGATCCAAGTGGTTACTTGTTTATTTTACACTGTACATTTAGCTTTCCACTCCGATATGCTTCAGCGCACTCCTGACCTACATTCATTCTCTCATGTCTGCTAGCTCTTGGCTTCTTGTTCTGTCCCTATTCATTCATCCTCATGCACATTACCTGCTATAGCACCACACACACACACTCTTCCTATCTCTTAGCTATTCAACCCAGCACACATGGCACTCTACCTTTACAAGCTTTTCTATTGGTTACCTACTTATTGTCCAATCTTGTGATTGGTGATTATTGTTTCATGGACTGCATGTCAGCCATCTTGGCAGCCATTGTGTGGTTGTAATAAAATCTAACAGTGCAGCTCAAGTCCCCAAACATGTAAGACCACTTTTGTTTTGTGTGGGTCCTTACACTACCATTGGCGATACATATGTACTGTCAGTGGCCGTAATAGCATTCTTGCGGGCAGCCACGACATGTAGGCCTATTATTTGGTTGCTTAATAATTTAGTGTCACCCTTCTTCCTTTCGTCGCTTCTGCACATAATTGAGAGTAACACTAGACCCTATATCTTATAATGATATCACTTGAATTAGCATACTATTCTGGAAATTTTTCCTGTCTCTCAGTGGGCGTGGGCCCGAACCCCTTACCCCCCCCCCCCCCCCCCCACTCTGGGAACGGAGGGACCCCACTCATGTTCCAAAAATCTCCGGTGAAGGGGTGCTTTTTCACGTAACAAAGTCCGGCTCGTAATACACAAAAACGGATATAGGATTTCCCGGCCAAATTCGCGTGTTTGTCATTCGAATTCATTTACTTTGCACTTAAGTTAGCGCAGATCGGCTTTGCCATGCCAATTATCATTCAATTTTCCAGTTTTTGTATTTAATTTAGGATTTTGGTCGAAGGGTTTCATAGATCTGTCATTCAATTTAGAAACTACTCAACTAGCATTCAAATTAATATTGAACACATGTCATTCGTATTCGTAACATTTTAACAGTTTTTAAATAATGCAGTTAAAATGCCTGATTTGCCATTGGGGTCTAAGCTGTTATTCCATTCATTTATTTTCAAGACAATGCAGATGGGTGTAGTCAGACATAAAGTAAAGAAGGGGCGAAATCAAGGGATAGGCCTATGGCATTTCTGCACGGACATTTTCATAACCCGGGAAAGGTGGGGGTACCCTCAATCGCCTCTTTTTACTACCCAGCACATCCCTCTGTTTTTCTTAAAGAGTTTCATAGTTTACTTGCCCGCCAGCAGATCGATGGCTAAAAACATGGCTAAATAATGAATCATGTTCAAATTGTTGACTCTCATCCCTACCCCAGTCACAATATTGTACCCTTCTTCCATAATGAAATTTATGATGAAATTATGATAAATTTATGATGAAACATAAGACAAACAACTTCCTTACATGAACATTTACAAATAGAATGAGACCATCAGGTCCGTAGATGCAAGTCGTTTTTTTCTTCTTAACAATCAAACTTAAATGCTGAAGTATAAGTGTATAAATGCAAGTAATTGAAATATGATGAAATACACATGAAAAAACAATCTTGAAAGAAAAAGAATGAGCTATAAAAAGTGTGTAATAAACGAGAAATGTATATTGACCATCAATTTAAGTGTACAAAGTGCTAATTTGAATGCTACAAATGAATTAGAATGCTAGAAGTACACCGTCGCGTTGTCAGAAAAATCGTGTTGCGCCAAATCGAATGACCAAATAGCAAAAGAAGCACATTGTTATTAATTTGAATGAAACATACGTAGATTCTAACGAAGATTCCATATATTTGAAAACTAGGAAAGGGAATAAAAACCCGAGATATACCTGACTGCACTAAAACCGTCGAATTTGAACGCAAGACAAATTAATTTGAATGACAAACTCGCGAATTTGGCCGGGAAATCCTATACTATGCATGGGCCAGGTTCCTCCACTCAGTGTTATTTAGGGTATGCATATGCATGTTCCCTCCTTTTGAAAACACCCCCTAAGTCCGGTATGTATCTACGAGCCGGACTTTGGTGAGTGAAAAGTACCCCTTTACCGGACATTTTGGTAACATGTATGGTATCCCTCCGTTCACGGAGGAGGGGGGGGGGGGGGGGGGGGGGAGGGGAGTATGTGCCGAACGCATATAGGCAGAACCTGGGCCGAACGTAGGCTAACTCCGTTGCTTACGCATAATTATAGTTAGCCATTTAGTTCCATGACTGATTAATTTTCGGGGAGGTTTGCAGACTTAAAACTAAAAAAATATATTCATTGGTTTATAGTTACACTGGTTATGGAATTGAAAAAAGGGTATTTGATTGAAAGAGCAAAACATTTGCAAACATGTGACTATGTAAGTATTTAAAATACGGTATTTTTGGTGAATGCGTAGCCAAAAAAACGGAGAGTAAAATACCGATAACATTTTCTCAATTATAATACCACCCTATACTTCTACTTTCAACCAATCAGAAAAACGGAATACTATAGAAGACGCCAAATTTAGCCTGACTTTCATGCGTATATGTTTAAAAAATAACCGAAGGGCATGCATATTTAATCGGCATGTGTACGTTTGCGTTTGCACGTACGTAAATCGCATTTTGACAAGACTAGTTTACGTATGTTGATATCGATATCGATAACGATCGCAATGTTTTCACAGTCAGGTCGTCTGCTTTATTTGTCCTACTGAGTCAGAGCCCAGAGAAGCCGGAATCTTGAATCTTCTTCCATTTTCTTGCAGCTTTGATTTTGTTTTACTTAGGTTGATTGATAACACTGTCACTCGAAGGGTAAAGTAAAATATGATATTAAGGAATTCATCTTTCGAATAATTGTAACTGTTTTAGTGTAGTAAACTAGTATAAGCTAAGCTTAACTTCATAACGCATGAGGCAGGTGGATCGCGAAGTGTTATCACCGACGCGACGTGATCACAGGCTGGTAGTGGTATAACTCCGGGAAGCTCCAACACCGGCGCCGGTGTTGGAGCTTCCTGGAGTTAGTAGTGGTACTGGTGTGGTAGCGACGGGTGAACTGAATACTGTTTTGCATTTACCCATTTTGAGGTATACGTATACAGTGTGACCCAGAAAAAACGAAACCGAGAATTATCGATGTTTTATACTTAATCACAATTTTGATTACTGAATGACACATACCCTGCCCCCCCCCCCCCACTCAGTGTTGTTTAGGGTAGGCATATGCTCGTTCCCTCTCTTTGAAAGCACCCCCTATCTGAGGACTGCCAACATTTCCGAACCCCCCTTTCGCAGGCTTTTCGCGGGCTTTTCCTGCCTCAAGTGGAGACCCGGCACCTAAATCAGGAAAAATGCTCAATGTACCCCCCTAAATTCGAAATAACTTCTCAGGAGTCCAAAGAGATGAGAGAAAAAAAGGAAAAAAATGAGGAAAAACACCTCCTTTTTAAAGAAATCTCCGGGTGAAAAGTCAAATACACCCCTTTTTTTACAATTCTCGGGCCGGACTTTGTCGCACGAAAAGTACCCCTTTACCGGACATTTTGGCAACACGCATGCGGTCATTCCGATCCCTGAGTGGGGGGGGGGGGGGGGCGGGGACACATATTTGTAAAGCTTAGATCCTCTTCTTTTTTATTTGATGCAACTCATAATGATGCATATATCACGCATGAGTGATTAAAATGGATTTGAAGAGAGGGAATCAAAAAGTCATTTGGTGGGCGGTATCTGAATTTCAAAGAGAAAATCACATTTCTGGAAAATTCAGTTTTTGCCCTTTTATATGATACCTCGATCTATCAGGAAAAATGAGCAAGGAATAACAAAGTTCTGTTTGTTTAAAGTGATGCTTGCATTTCCATAACATAATTTGATTTTAATTTTTTTTTCACTGGCCTCATGCCGTAGCAACAAGCAGAATTGACAAAAGACTTTACTCCGTTTCGTTGAAAAGTCTTTCGTATATGGCTGATCGATAACAATATTTTATTTTCCATGTATTTTCAGTCTTTTTCATCTAATTTTCTCACATCTAGATCTATTCATCTGTCTGTCTTGTTTAGTTTTTGTCTGTGTTTCAGTCCTGTTGCTCATAGTATTTCCCTGTTTCTCTTATAGACCAAATTTTCTGTCTCTTTCGTTCGTTAAGCCTCTTATTTGGGTAGGGTCGCCTCCTCTCTTTAGAGACAGAAACCGACCATAGGCGTTCACTTTCAAACACCATGGCCATTTATGGCCATATTTCTATGCCTATCCGATTTATTCTATTTTGAAAATTAGGCCTAGGCTATTATACGTCGGTTCCACTTACCAACTTGACTGAATAAATATGTTTAATGGTCTATTGTCAGGAAATTATGGGTCAAAATCGACATCCATGTTGAAAATCTTGCAAGCCGCATTTTAAACTCTCGCTGCGCATGACGTCATCTAAATATCATCCCTTTTAGTCTACGCCAAAGGCAAAATGATTATGAAGGAAAAACTGTGCGCGAGCTACAAGTTCGTAATGATGTTATCACAGTTTTTTTTCATGAAGTATCTCACCGCATGTATCCTACCACTGCAGTCGGATACTATAGCGCCATATCTCTGTTTAGTTTAGATTCCAATTTCTGATCACCGTACCCGCAGGTGTAGTTTTCAGCCATACGGGGGATTACGTGCTCTGGCCGCATGTGCTATACATGTAGATCAGTGGGAGAATGCTCCCTATTGACTGTACATTCATACCGCCGAAAACTATATATATTGCCATGGCAATTCATGATTTTTTTCTGGGATTCTTTTGTTTATTTAAATAATAATAGCATTGGCTTTATGATTTGAACAAGAAAGGATAATAAATAGGAAGTAAAGAGTCCATAAATAGGATTTTGCTTAGGTTAAGGTAATACAAAGTTTTGGTATGGGGTCATGAATTTGGTTCAAATGAACATATTGGAAGCATATATGTGATCCGAAATCCTTAGGTCCTCTAAAAAGAATATGGACTAGGCCTATAGACCCTCCTGAGCAATGAACTTTTTTTAGTCACTTTATATGTTGGAATAGATGGGAAAGTAGTCTGTTACTACATCACATTGACATTATCGCCGCAGCCAATTTGAAATACCCATACATATAATGATTACAAGTTTTAAAGGTAAAGACCAGTTTTTGAAACGCCCCCCTCTCAAAAAATGAAATGGAAGCTCTCATTACCAACCATGTGAAAGAATATGTTTTGACTAAGACGCGATCATATAAATTTTGCCAAGAAACTGCCTACTAATTGATATATTTGGTAAATTATTATATCAATTTGGACCTGATAGATATAACGCACGTGTCGCGCACGTCGCGCACGTGTGGAGTAGTCCCATATACATCTCTCTGTGTACAGTGCTTGTAGCTTTATCAAGACTGGGCCAAATTTCTTATCATTTTGATGATTCCAGAACCTTGCAGTACACACCAATATTTATATGTTAGATGATCAACCTTTGCTGATCGATTCCATAGCGTTTCTTTGACAATGCAATTGCATGACCATAACTGGTCTTTATCTTTAAAAATTCATAACTTTCTTATATGTAGTCAGATTTCTCTGATATTTCTCCTTTCTTTAGATTAGTTGTCTATATGGGTTGGATTTCCCTTTAAGGAGGTTATTCAGAAATTGTATACCAGATATCAAATTACTTGTATTCAGTATTTGCTGTGCATTTCCCCTTGCTACTACCACTCAGATGAAGAACCTCCTGTCCTTGTCTGTCCCGACGATGTCACGGCAGAGACAGAGGCCGGGGCAGCTTTTGGGATCATATCCTGGACTAGTCCAACGGCAACGGATAACTCAGGAGAGGTTACTGTGGAAACAGATTTTGTTCCGGGTCAGTTGCCTATTGGAAGCCGCAACATTACGGTCACTGCCACAGACGCTGCGGGGAATACAGCAGAGTGTGTGATTGTTGCAACAGTAGTTGGTAAGTCACTTTAATGAGAAGGGGAGTTTTGGTAAGGATGAAATAGAATTCCTGCCTTTTCTCTTTCTTTGACGCTAGTTGAAATGTCTCAACAAAAAAAAAAAGGATTGCTGTCAAATGTTAATATACCGGTAACCGTATTATTCAAGACATGACAAGATATGACATAAAGTTTTGAAAAATACATTTGTCTGGAGGCTTATATATGAGTAACCATTTGCTTGCTTTCTTCAGCAAGACTACAGTTAAGCCCCCAAAAAGAGGTTGTTGTATTGCCCTTTGCGACCGACTCAAAAATCTTGAAATCTATTGTCGGCTTTTTTTTTTGGAAGAAAAAAATAATTATAGCAGTCAAAACTGAAAAATATCAGCCCATAAAAAAACAAAAAACACTAATAAATTATTTGTATTATGGAAAAACTGCATTTGTTGTCATCCTTCAATAGACATTGAGGCACCTGTTGCCATCTGCCCTGAGGACATCACTAGGAACACAGATTTAGGACAGGCCTACGCCACCATATCCTGGAGCAGCCCTCGAGGCACAGACAACTCGGGAACCATATCAAGCATCAACGCAGATCCCCGTGAAGGGCAGTTTGCGATTGGCAGTCATGTGATCACTGTGACGGTGGTTGATCCTGCAGGCCTGGAAGGCCAGTGCACCTTTGATACTGTGGTTCAAGGTACTTATGCTGAGTTTACATCGTCTGTTTGGAGCCAGATGGACATTTATCGATATACTGTCCTAGTTAAAGCCATTCTAGCTCCAGAAAAATGGTATGGGGATAATAAAGAGCCATGTTGGAAACCTGGGGGGGGGGGGGAGCGGGTGTACTCAAAATAATTTAATTATCTTGTATTTCAATGAACAGATTTTAATTGTCATAACACATAACTGCAGTTTGCATTGGGTGTGTTTTTTTTTTTTTTATGTTCATGATTCTTTTTTTTTTTTCTTTATGTGTTTTATTGAACAATAAAAAAAAAAACAATCACAATATTTACAAGTATTTGCATTGGGTGTTGGCACAGACTTCTTTGTGTCTGATTATCAGATGATCAAAAGAATTTTCAACCTAACCTACACTTGATTTAAAACTGAAAGAAGATAGTGATTTGCCTAATAAACAGTGATAAAAGGGCAGTATACATTCTATGACTGGTGAGATTTATTGGTTTATTTAAATTATTCTGTGTACATATTAAATGTTCTTCAAAGTATGTTTTAGTGTGTTTAAGAAAATGTCCTTCCTTTTTGTAAGTTACTGGCCGAGCATATACATGAATACTGGCAAATGATTTTGTAGTTACTTATCTTTACTCTTATCAGTTACATATTTCCAAAAGTGTTCTATTTTCTTTTCCAAGGCTATTCTTTATTTGAAAAACAACAAAAACAAACAAACAAACAAGAATACAATGAAAAAGTTCTGCAAAGGGGATATAACAAATAATAAGTCATTAAGTGGAGGTGTTTGTTTTTATGTGCAGATAATGAGGTACCAACAGTGGAATGTCCTGCCACCATTGAAGTTAGCACGGATGTGAGTAGTCCCTCATCCATCGTCACCTGGACAGTCTTGGGCCAAGATAACTCTGGCTCAGTACCTAGTCTTTCATCATCACCGTCTTCTGGGGGAAGCTTTGCGATCGGTTCCACCACTGTCGTAGTCACAGCTCTTGATCAAAGTGGCAATATGGGACAGTGCTCGTTCAATGTTATTGTGTTCGGTGAGTTGTCTGGTTATGTTACGTTTCTCATTGTATGTTACCCTTTGTTCTGTTTTTTTCTAGTTTTGCCCCCAAGCCCAAGGGTATCCTATGAATTTTCATGTAGGAGTGATCTAAATAGTAAAATAGATTTTGTAATTTTTTTAAAACCTTTTTTTGGGGAAAAAATATTATTTAAAAACAAACTTTGTGAGTAAAAGACATTGGTACTTAATTAATAGCTATATATATATATATATATATATATATATATATAGTGCATGATCCCATCTTACATTTTATACAAACTACTCCCTGATAACGAATGGGAAGACAGCAGCAATATGTTGGTACTCATGAAAGCATACATCAAGTCCAGGTTTTAACCCAGACTTTGTCTACCGATTTATAGAGTGCCAAACGTCATCCTCGTTATTCTGCAAAAATTACCGTTATTCTATAAGCAAATAAATAAAGTGAAATAATGTCATTGCAATATGAATATCTCATGTTCATTTAATGGCTGGATTCATTTTGTGACAGAATTAATATGATTTGAAAGGGATTAAGAGTTTGACACTTGCCACTCCAGAAGTGAGTTGACTAACGTACTGGATGGTTAACTTTTTTTTTAAAAGATTCTGAACCGCCTGTCATCACGTGCCCTGCCAGTATAATCCAAGCCACTGACCTGGGTAGCTCATCTGCCACTGTCACGTGGCAAGCTACTGCTGCAGATAATTCAGGGGATCCCCCTACCATTACATCATCACCCGAACCAGGCATGCTTTCCTTCGGTACTCTCACTGTGGTCGCCATGGCAACAGATTCATCAGAAAACACAGCATCCTGCAACTTTACAGTCCAAATCGTTGGTAAGTATATTTCATTTTTGTCTGTTCTGAAAAAGTTTTGTGTTTGATACATTGGAAGAATATTTTGCTTGTCGGCTATTGTTAAAGGTATTACAAAGTTTTGGGAAATTTCAAAAATGGGTGGATAGTGATTCTTTACAATTTTGATATATTGGGATGCATCTGTGGATGTATTAAAAGCACTAGAAATTTTAGCTCCTAAAACACTTCTGCTTTGAGAAAAAATGAATATAAAGATTTACCAGTGCTCTCGGTAAATTTTGATAAATTTCAAATAGCGCCTACGGCCGTACAATGGTAGCTGCGACCATGAAAATCTCAGAATATGTAGTTGTGGTATATAATTTCCGAACGGGAATAGCTAATCGGTCAATTTCAGTCAAGAAACATTGTTTCATAGCTTAATTAATATATTGACCTTGAGAGGGAGCTATACACCATAAAGTGTTTATTATTTACAATTTCATAACTTTAGAGTCGATTTCGACCACGACAACGATCAAAGAATATTGTAGGATTGCATATGCTTCCAATATGTTCACTTGAACCAAATTCATGACCCCATACCAAAACTTTGTATTACCTTTAAAGGGATCCGGTAACTTTGTCTCAGATTCTGAAACAAAATCCGGGATTTAGCTCAGGTTGCAATGATAATTATAAACCTTTAGGTCAGTCAAAAACTCCATGACTGATTATCAAGATATCAAGATTATCAAGATATTTATCAAGATATATACTGATTATCAAGATATTTATGATTGGAAATCGAAACCAAATTTTGCTTTTGCCAAACGGTTTTCATAGCACTACAGTCTATTGGGGAAGACGAGTATAGTAAAACCGGTCACTCAAAGATTTTTACTTTTTGGAGCACTTCTTGATCATTTTGAAGCGCAATTTTTTTTTAGGGCTTCAATATTCCCCCTTATCGCAGACACTGGTAGCACGTAGGGCCGTGCATCTCAGATTTAACATTGCTAAACGATGCCTTTACTAAAATCTCTTACTTTTTAAAACCAAATGCAGATCCAATTTTTAAATCCTAGCAAGGCTATGTTTTCAGTCATCATGTTCATTGCTGTACCACTTGGCACAAACAATGGGTAACACGCATCAAGTAGGTATGCTTACTGCAGCATGATGTGGGCCATGTGCATTTATTACATCTATAGACGGGAATTGGAGAATCCAGTAGTCGTCAGGTTAATTTGCTATGATGAAACTTCTGTTCTACCATTTGTATGTAGGTAGACACATTCAACAGGCTATTGCCCCTTTCAACATGATAAAGTGGCACAGGAATAATCTGTTTGAATGGCATGTAAAATTCAAAGAATGTTCATCCACATTACACAAGACATGCTAATGATTTATTATATTCCATTGTTAAAATACCATACTTCACGTAGATCAGTAAAGTATTCCAGAGTAATCCCTTGGAATGCAATACCTACCGATATAAAAATGTGCCCATCTCTTGCCTCAATTAAAAGAAAATACAAAAATTATCTGATGAAGGAATTTCTATCTTATGTTTAATTAGCCTGTACTCATTTGTTTATCCATTTACTACCCATTGTTTCTTTTCTCTTTACTTTGTATAATTATTGGAGCCCAGCCTTTGGAAGGCCAATGGCCTCTGCTGGCTCCTCCATATTCTGCGTATTATTTATATATTTGCTTATATGTATAATGTATTGTTGAATGTATTTTTTACGAGAAATGGAAATAAGATGAATGAATGAATGAATTTGATTCATTTTAATGCAGACGAAGAAGCACCATCAATAACATGCCCAGACAACATCACAGTTGCCACCGATGTGGGCGCATCTTCAGCAATCGTCACATGGGCTGGCCCATTTGCGTCGGACAACAGTGGTCAAGCGACTGCCGTGACGGACATCTCATTAGGCCTCTGGACAATAGGGATCCAGACGGTCACTGGCACAGCAGTGGACGGGTCTGGCAATGAGGCTCAGTGTACTTTCTGGGTGAATGTTCAGGGTGAGGTTCATGGCTTCAATTTTAAAGCTGGTATTATAATCTTTTGCAGTTCATCAAAGTACACCATGAGTAAGGCATAATTGCTTGTAGGCTTTTACATATAATTATAGTTTGCCTGTGTGTACGTTTCGAAATACCTCATACATGAATCTAGCTATTATATTTTCAAGTGCCATGTCTTGTCTGATGTTAAGAGTTTTCATTTGATATTACAGTGGTTCCTCATACTTAGTCTATATTGTTGTGCTTTGAGCAAAAGCACCCAGATGACAATGCAATTTTATTTCAATATCTCATGGTTTGGGGGAGAATATGCTTTTAAATACACAAAGACTATGTAGACATTGCTCTTCTTACACAAGCACAACTGCATGTTTCCATTCTGTGAGGCATATTTGAGCTTGCTGCCTCTTGTGTGAAGAAACCCTATTGAACAATGTATGTATTTTGTCCAGATTTGGAGAATCCAATGGTTTTGTGCCCAGCAGACATCACAAGTGAACTGGCAGCAGACCCAGTCACATGGGATGCCACAGCTACTGATAATTCAGAGATGATTGCTAATCTCACCAGCAGTCCCTCTCCATCAGATGTTGTCCTTGGGACAAACACGGTGACTGTGATAGCCATGGATCCTTCAGGCAACAAGGCGGAGTGCTCATTTGTGGTTACTTTGACAGGTGGGTTGGATGTGCTCATACTTGATTCTTCCATTCACAGGCATATCGGTATAATATAAATGTTTAGTATTCATAGGTTCAAAACCAAGTCGATGTGCTTGTGCCCTTTTGTAATGCAATTCTCATCAAGTCCCTGGGATAAATACAGCCATATGTTCCCGCCAGTGCTTACCCACAAGTTTATTCTTGCTTTTTTGAAGAAGTCGGGTATGAAAAAAATATCAATCAATTATAAGTTTACAATTTACGAATTTGAAGCAATTTTTTCTTCTTCTGATATCAAAGATTTCACTTATGAAAAATCTTGGTTGTCTTGAGGCTAACAAATACAACATGTGTTTTTTTCTATCATAATGTACCACAATATTTGAAGCAATTTTTTCTTCTTCTGATATCAAAGATTTCACTTGAAAAAATCTGGGGTGTCTTTAGGCAAACAAATACAACATGTGTTTCAGAGTTTTTTTCCTTCATATTGTACCACGATATGGCAGAATTTTTGTTGCCTGAATTTCACTTTAACCGTAGTCAACCTTCTCATGCACCCCCCCCCCCCCAGCTGATTAATAAATCAATATCCCTAAATGAAAGTCTGTATAGGATGAAATCCTACACTGTGATGACCACAACCCCCCCCCCCCCCAAAAAAAAAAAAAAAATAATAATAATAATAAAAAAACAAAATCACACTTTCTCACCCTCCCTAGGCAAAAATTAAATTAGAATTGTATTTAAAAAAGAGAATGACTGTTTCTAATACATCAATGAGGAATCCCAAATTTTTACTAAAAGTGGGAAAGTAAGGAATCAGTAGGTCTACTTTTCTAAAGTCCTGCTGTATTCTGTATAGGAGTTCCAATAACTGATTAAAACATTTGATTTGTATTATTAGATACCACTGCACCCACCATCACCTGTCCAGATGATGTCTCCGGCACTCTTGCTGCTGGACAATCAAGCGTATCCCTAGCATGGGTAGAACCTTCAGCCACAGACCTCTCTGGCGATGTGACGGTCACCGCTTCACATTCTCTTGGAGATTATAGCATTGGTCAAGTCAACGTAACGGCCAGTGCGACAGACTCGTCTGGGAATCAAGCAAGCTGTTTCTTTCTTGTGACTGTCACAGGTAAATGTTAGGCCCATTCAGACATTGGGCATTAAACTGTTAAGAAAATTTCCATGACAAAAAAAGAAGATATATTTCTATATTTTCTATATTCTATGCTCTACATTTCTATATTTTAGAACACAGCGATCAATGAGTGGACATATGGGGCCATATATTTAGTCAAAGGCAATAGATATGTATGTACTTTATATATTGCTATCTGGACAGGGGCATGCTTTACCCCTGACAATATTGCCTCTTGCCATTCGTTCACATGCAGAGTTTTGCTGTAGCATTTTTAGGTGACGTTCTTCATGTGTGAACAAGGTTTTAGTCTGCTTCTAGAGAAAGAAATTCTCAATGAATTAATTAAAGTGAATAAAAGGAAACTAGAGTTGTAGAAGAATGTTGGGAGAAACAAAATAGTGTTGGAAGGTGACGTAGTAAATCATCTCTGCGTGAGAAAAATGCAGCAGCCCTTTATACGGACTACTTTGCTTGGTATTACTGTGAGGCTGTCCATGTACTTAATGTTTGGAAGAAATTAACATATTCACCCCCAAAATGCTGTATATTCTATTCCCCTTCTCAGATATGCAAGATCCCACGATCAGCAGTTGTCCACCTTCCCAATCAGTCAATACCGATAGCGGATTAGCCACTGCAGTGGTCAGTTGGACACCACCTACGGCCTCGGATAACTCAGGCTCTGTGTCTCTGACCTCTGACTACAGCTCTGGGAATCCCTTCCCTATTGGAAGCACTCGGGTGACTTACACAGCCACTGATGGCTCAGGCAATTCAGTCATGACGTGTACCTTTGATATAGCAGTGCATGGTGAGTTCTTTAATGCTTTATAGAATTTTATAATGCAGAATTGAAATCATGAAAGACTATGCTATGCAAAGTTATTAAAGCAGGCTAGTGATCATACTCTCCACTGTCTTGTCCCTGTGTGTACACAAACTTCTCCTGACTTTCATGGATTATGCAATCCAAGTATTGTAAAATAAAGTGGAAAGGGGCACCAGATTGTATAGGAACTGATATCGGTAAACTGTTTTAACATAACTTGGTTTCCAAGTAATAATGCAGACCCTTATTATATCTATTTTTATGACAAAAAGGTGGTCTGCATCATTCCTTGGATCAATTCATGTCAATAACTCTTCGAAGTATTGTCCATATTCCTTCCAATGTCCCCATTTGCACTGTTATACATTACTTTATAAAGTCAAATTGTGTTAAACATTGAAGACCCAGATTATTTGTAATTAATATATAGTTTGTATATGACATGTTTGTCTTCTTTTACCATAGATAACGAAATACCTGTAATATCTGGGTGTCCAAGCCCACTCTCTGTGAATACGGACAGTGGTGTGGCTTCATGGAATGCAAATTGGACAGAACCTACAGCTTCAGACAACTCTGGAGTACAGACTCTGACGTCAGATTATTATCCCGGATATCCGCTCCCTATTGGCTCTACCACAGTGACGTACACATCTACAGATGTCATTGGAAACAGTGAAACTTGCATGTTTGTTGTGACTGTCATTGGTAAGTGTGAATGAGAAGGAAAAAAAATTCTGTTAAGACAGATATGTATTTCAAGGTGTATATTCTTTTTAAGCGCTGCCAATGTAGATGGTTTGTTCAGCCCATATTTTTGATGTTTTATCAAAGATTTTTTGACAAATGAAGGCTTATCTTCTTATGATTCAGAACAGGTTAATGAATTGTGAAATTAGCTCACACAGAATAATGATAATGCTGCTATCAAATAAAACATGAAGGAACTCTAAGTACCGTACAATTCATGGTACATACATGTATTATTTGGCTCACTAGAGCTGTCGCCTCATCCAGCAATTATTGCTTCATTTCCATGTTAAAAAAACGTTTTCTTACTATTACAGATAAAGAAATGCCATTGATATCAGGATGTCCAAGCTCAATTTATGTGGATGCTGACAGTGGAAAGTCTACAGGAACTGCTATCTGGGCAGAGCCTACTGCGTCGGATAACTCTGGCTTCCAGACTTTGACATCAGATTATAATTCAGGAAATTCTTTTCCTGTTGGAACTACCAATGTAACCTACATATCTACTGATGATGCAGGAAATACTGACACTTGCAGTTTTGATGTAACAGTGATCGGTAAGTCTGAATAAAAGTATTTGACATTTATCAAGTTATTCCATGTCTCATCACAAGAGAGTGAAGTATGTGTCAATGTAGATGAACAAAATATGATGTTTTGTAGTTGTATAAACTTTTATTTCTTCTTCTTCTTCTTCCAGTAAAGTACAGACTGCCGTTGGCGTATTATCGTACTTGTGCTTGTCGAGTGCCCAGATGAATAGTGCAAGTAAAAAAATCTCACTACAACTTGATACTATGTGCGGCTAAAAAACAGGAGAGGCTTAACGAAGCCTCATTTGTTACATCCCCTGCTTGAAGATCACTAAGGAGGTGCTGTTGACTATACTCGGGGGGAGGGAGTTCCATAGTCTGATCGCATCAGGAAAGAATGTCTTTTAATACGTTTGGGTTCTGGCGAAGGGAACTTGAAACTTGTCTGGATTCCCACATGTAGATGGCCCAGCGGTTGGAATGAGGTGTATGTCAGCTGGAATGTCAATTAGTCTGTGGATTATGCAGTAGACCATACATACTCTCTGTTGTGCCCTTCTTTCCTGAAGTGTGGTCCACTGGAGTTGCTTTAGCATATCAGTTACGCTGCTTGTACGCCGAAAGTCTCTTAAGGTAAAGCGGGCATAGGGACGTTGTATCATTTCGAGTCTTGTGATGTTCTTCTGGGTAAATGGATCCCATACCACAGCAGCATACTCCAGTACTGGAAGGACAAGTGTTTTGTAGCACAACACTTTTGTCCTGAGAGGGTAGTCTGTGATATTCTTCCGCAGGAAGCTGCTAACAGAATTTGCCGACTTGGCAATGACATCCACATGGTAATTCCACTTATTAAATTCAATTAACACCAAGGTATTTGGTTTTCTCGGTTTTCGTCAGAGGCGTTCCATGGATGCAGTAGGGTGTTGAGCTCTTGAGTACCTTCCTCTTATTGGTAACATGCATAACTTGGTATTTATGCGGGTGAAATTGCATAAGCCAGTCTGCTTCCCATACTTGAAGAGCGTCCAGGTCCCTCTGCAGTTGTTCAGTATCTTCCTCTGTCTTGACCTTTCTGTACATGATGCAGTCATCAGCGAAGAGCCTCACCGTAGACTGTGCTGAAACATACTCTGGGAGGTCGTTGATGAAGAGGAGGAAGAGCAGAGGTCCGACCACGCTACCTTGCGGAACCCCTGAAAGAACAGGTGATGTATGTGACGCTACTCCTTCAAGCAGAACCCTCTGGGAACATTTGCTGAATAGACTATCAATCCACTCATGGGTATTGTCTCTGATTCCATAATAGTTGACTTTGTACGTCAGCCTACCATGGGGAACCTTGTCAGATGCTTTCGACAGGTCCAAAAGAATAACATCAAGTTGTTCGCCATCCTCAATACCTTTGGCAAGATCATGCACAGTTAGTAATAATTGAGATGTGCATGAGCGCTTCTTACGAAAGCCATGTTGGGCATCACTTAAGATGTTATGGTTGTCGAGATGATCAAGAATACTACTGCAGACAATATGTTCCAAGGTCTTGCACACAATGGAAGTCAGTGAGATTGGTCTGTAGTTTTCCGCTTTACATCTCTCTCCCTTCTTGAAGATGGGAACTACATCAGCTACTTCCAGTCATCAGGAATGATGCCTTGGTTGACTGATGCTTGAAAGAGGATAGTGAAAATGGATGTAAGCTCCATGGCAAGCTCCTTCAGGAGTTTTGCTTGTATTCAGGAGTTTTGCTTGTAGACCATCTGGACCAGTAGCCTTGTGTAGCTGCAGAGTTAATAGCAGCTTGTACACTCCAGCAGGATCGATGTGGATTTGTCCATGTCTGGATAAGGGCTTTGTCCCTTGTCTTTGATGGTGTTCATATTTTCATCCTCGTTAAAGACAGATGCAAACTGATCATTCAAGATGTGCGCTTTGCCAGTGCTATCTGAGATGGTCCTTCCACTTTGAGCTTTAAGAGGTGCAACTCCAGTGTTGTCATTCCTCTTGCCGTTGATAAAGCTCCAAAAGCGCTTAGGATTTGAGGTCATGTCTGGACTTACAATGTGATTGATGTAGTTACTGTACGCTTGTTTGCAGGCCATCCGCGAAGACTTTTTCAGATCTTTGAACTTTTGGAAAGCTTGCTGGCTGGTAGAGCGAGCTCGTACAAAAGCATGTTTCTTCCTCCTGGCAAGCCGCTTAACTGAGGAGGTGATCCACAGCCGATTGAAATGGCTTGAGGTCATCTTTGACGGTACATGCTTTCGGAGCAAGTTCTGTAAGGTGGTCTTGATTTCTTCCCACATGTCAGTGACAGAGCTCAGTTCATTATGGGTTTTAATGAAGTGCTGTTGATATACGTGGCATTCACTCTTCATTTCCTTAAGGTTGGCATTCTTCCAGATGTGCACTAACCTCTTCACTGGTTTGCGCCTTTTTGCTGTTACATCTGTGTCAACACTGGCTATGTCATGGTCCCCAATTCCTGGTAGTGGGGTGCACTTGTTGACCAGAGATGGTCGGTTGGTCAGAAATAAGTCCAAAATGCTCTTTCCACGTGTGGCAAAGGTTACTATCTGTTGGAGGCCGCAGTTATAAGTCATTTCTAACAATCTGTTGTTCATTTTCGCAGGATAGTTATGACCGCTGATGCTGAGGTTCACCCAATCAATATCTGGAAGGTTCATATTTGGAAGAAAGTTGCTAGTCAAATTATCTTCACTTCATCCAACCCCCCACCGTAATTTTTCCATTTAGTAAAGGCAAACATTTTGCCGAGGTAAGCAAAAACATGAATATTCATGAACGGTCAGACAATACAACCTTTTAGTACGTAACGTATAGTGAGCCGTAACACTGTTCAACACTTGTAACTTCTTCACAGGATGTAGGCTGCCTACATGTACATCAATTAAGGAGATACGTATCAGGTGGCTAGGTTCTTTCATTACTGCTAGTCACATAAGTTTAATTTTGAAAACAAACGTTTCCATTAGAAATAGTTGGTAGCATTGTTGAAATTCTTATTGCAGGTAATTCATCGGCTGCAATTGTTGGATCACTGGTGATCGCTGGTACATTCTCTGCTGAGCTGACTGACTCAACTTCAGAACTGTACCAGAGTACAGCTGCTAACCTTGTTACTGGAGTAAGTTGGAACCATATGAAAACTTGTAGCAGAAAAGTCCCCTTTGCAGTATTAATTTCTAGTAGCATAAAGTATTTTAGATATGTTGGTCTGTTCAATATTTATGCTTCATCGTTTCATTTCATAGCGTATGGTTTCTTTGAATAATGAATAATTATTAGTGATTTCTTTAATGTATTTTATTGTGCATTCTTTATTCTGACACATATTTATTGAATCATTTTTATACAAAATTTATTATTTGCAAGACTTAAAGCATGTAACATTTTTGCATGCATGTATATAATTCAACAGTATAAATGTAATACATGTATTTTCAAATTATGAGGTTGACTGTATAACTACAATTATTGCTTTACATTTTGAATGATTTAGTCCCATCCAGGGAATGAAAGTAAGATTCTCTTTTTGGCAGTAGTTATATATATATATATATATATATATATATATATATATATATATATATATATATATATACGTATTTATACAGGTATATATAAAGTGCTGGTGTTTAACTTAAGTTTCTTTTCTCTCATCTGGTAGTTTGATGCTATTTTTGAACCACTGGGATCTCAATACATAGGAACTAGTGTGAATGGTTTCAGGTAAGAGCTACTGCTGATTCTGTGTATCAGCGCGATGAATTTTATATGCTTTGTGAATATTGTGTATTGAAAAATTTGTTTGAATATAATAATAAACAATAATTGTTTATTGTGCAGTATTTATACATTTATATGACTATATATTTATTTACAAAAATATAGTAACATTTCTAATATAGAATATTTAGAATTTTAATCCAATTTATGATTATTCATTCTACTGCACACATAGTGATTTAAGTACTTGATGCACATGCTATATACAAGCAGTATGTGAACATTTGCAATTTACTGGACATTTCTTAACTTGATTTGCAAGTCTTGTTGCTCTGTTTCCATGAAATCTTACAGTATCATTGTGATTTTCTGGTTCCTATTCCAGCAATGGAAGCATAATTGCAGGTTTTACCGTGAACTTGGAAAGCTTATCTGCGACTGATGGTACCAATCCTGCAACGTCTACCACTCAAATGATCAGTAATTCCATCAATAACGGAATTGAGGGTGGTTCATTTGGATCCTTGTCCGTTGTTCCTGGATCTTCTTCTATCCCAAAAGGTAATAATGATTCTCATCTTTTGTGTTGTAGATACATGTATGGGATGATGACCCCCCCCCCCCCCCCCCCCCCACAAAGAAATACTTCATTTTTGTCTTTGGACTTTTTGACAAGTCTTGAATAACACCTCATTTGAATTGAATTGAATTGAATTGACATATATACTATTGCCATATATACATTTGCTTTAACTCCAAGTTTATGTAAACGGAAAGTAACATGATGAATATACGTCTGTTTGTATGGGATGATGACCCCCCCCCCCCCCCCCCCCCCCCCCACAAAGAAATACTTCATTTTTGTCTTTGGACTTTTTGACAAGTCTTGAATAACACCTCATTTGAATTGAATTGAATTGAATTGACATATATACTATTGCCATATATACATTTGCTTTGACTCCAAGTTTATGTAAACGGAAAGTATCATGATGAATATACGTCTGTGAACTCATGTGACGCCCCAACTTATCTCATACACGTACAAAACAATGGGAACACGTTACTGTCCCTGTAAACCTGATTTTATTTTCTTCTTTGAGGTTTGTTTGTCATGTATATTGAATAAAAACCTGTTTTTTAATATTAATTTGCAGATACTGAGGCTCCAATGATTCGTTGCTGTCCAAGTTTACTTCCTTTTTCAACTGACAGTGGACAATCTGTTGCTACTGCTATCTGGACACTGCCTAAGGCTACAGATAACTTTGGCGTTATTGAAACAATAACATCAAATTATAAACCTGGAGATTCTTTCCTTATTGGAAGCACTATGGTAACCTACACCTTTACAGACGGTTCAAGAAATAATGCCTCTTGTAATTTCAATGTAACAGTGATAGGTGAGTGTTTTTTTTGTAGAAATAGGCGAAATGTTATTGCATGAAAAGACTCGTCTGGAGTGCAAAAGGAATAAACGTTGATGATATCAGTTAATTGGAATTTGAGAAACAGAGAATAACATGAGGATGTGACATATCTTGACATAATAAATGTTTGATATTAATTTTCAGTCTAATCGAATTCAGAAAGGTGTATTACATGTACCTCTATGCAGTGAAATAATAGTATTCCACAATTATGCATTTTGCTTACCAGATGCATCTTTCTGTGACACTAATTTTGCTGAACTACATGACAAAATGACACAGCTGATGGTATTTTAGAAAAATTTATCATGTTTATCATTCTCTAAAAGAATATTACTTCCTATCTGAATGGAAGATGTGTTTGTTGGTTACTTGCAGATAAAATTTACTGTTTGTTTAATGATCAAGGTCTGTCTGAGGCTCCAGCTCATTTTTTTTCTTCAAGTGACAGTGGACAGTCTAAGGGAACTGATCCTTACGTGAACGTTTGCAATGTGTAAACCAGATCTAGTACAATGCAAATAATGGTTGAAGTATCAAAGACAAATTTATGTACCGGTATTTTTTTCTTCTCATTCTTATCAATAATTAAAAAAGGTTACATCTTAAGAATATTATTATGTTCTTTTTAACATAACTATGAAGATGATGAGAATCCAGTCATCAGTGGATGCCCTGGTGATCAGTATGTCACCTCAGACATTGGTAATGCTACGTCTGTAGTAACCTGGACGCCACCTACAGCAACAGATAATTCTGGTAACCAGACACTGACATCCACTAGCGGTCCTGGAGATTACTTTCTTATTGGAAACAACACAATAACCTACAACGCAACCGATGATGCAGGAAATACAGAATCATGCACCTTCTTTGTAGTTGTATCTGGTAAGTGCTTGTCTTACGCTTTATCCTTTTTTTGTATTCTCTAATTAGAGCTGAAACCAACTTTGAGAAATATAACATATTTAATTTCAACTTCTATTCAATTAAATGATAGACAATGAGAATCCAGTCATCTTTGGGTGCCCAAGTGATCAGAATGTCAACACAGACAGTGGTAGTGCTACAGCAGTAGTAACCTGGAGACAACCTAGAGCAACAGATAACTCTGGTAGCCAGACACTGACATCCACTGGCAATCCTGGAGACTACTTCCCTATTGGAAACAAGACAGTAACCTACAACGCAACCGATGATGCAGGAAATACAGAAACATGCACCTTCTTTGTAGTTGTATCTGGTAAGTGCTTGTCTCACGCTTTATCCTTTTTTTTATGCCTCGGTTACGAAGTAGCCAGAGGCATTATGTTTTCGGGTTGTCTGTACGTCTGTACATCCCGTTCTCGTGATCGTGTTATCTCTAGAACCGACAGATGGATTCCTGCCAAACTTTGGTCATGTATGTAACTTGCAGAGCCAATGAACTGATTAGATTTTGGGGTCACAATGTCAAAGGTTACAGGTCACAGGGCTCATTATGTATGCAAACATAGCACATGATCACATGTTCTCAAGAATTGATTGATTGATTCATGCCATACTTAAGTCATGTATGCTTCTTGCAGAGCCATTGACATGGTTAGATTGTGGGGTTACAATGTCAAAGGTCACAGGGCTCATTATGTATGCAAAAAATAGCTTGTGATCACATTATCATTAGAACAGATGGACAGATTACCTCAAACTCAAGACATGTATGCATCTTGCTGAGCCAATGATCTGATTTGATATTAGGGTCATGAGGTCAAGGTCAAAGGTCATGAGGCTCATTATGTATGCAAAAATAGATTGTGATCATGTTATCATTAGAACCGATGGACGGATACCTCAAACTCAAGACATGTATGTATCTTGCAGAGCCAATGAACTAATTAGATTTTAGGGTCGTGATTTCTGACTGTGCGCAGTAGAAGTTCAATCTAGTTGGTATTCTCTAATTAGAGCTGGAACCAGTTTTGAAACATGTAACACATTTCATATGTCAATAATCTTTCTCACAGATACTGAGAATCCTGTCATCAGTGGGTGCCCTAGTGTTCAGAGTGTTGACTCAGACATTGGTAATGCTACGTCTGTAGTGACCTGGACGCCACCTACAGCAACAGATAATTCTGGTAACCAGACACTGACATCCACTAGCGATCCTGGAGATTACTTTCCTATTGGAAACAACACAGTGACCTACAGATCAACAGATGGTGCAGGAAATACAGAAGCATGCACCTTCTTTGTAGTTGTATCTGGTAAGTGCTTGTCTCACGCTTTATACTTGATCTCATTATCATTAGAACAGATGGTCAGATTACCATCAAACTCAGGACATGTATGCATCTTGCTGAGCCAATGAACTGATTCGATGTTGGGGTCATGATGTCAAGGTCTAAGGTCATGAGGCTCATTATGTATGCAAACATAGATTGTGATCACGTTATCATGAGAACCGATGGACGGATTACCTCAAACTCAAGACATGTATGTATCTTGCAGAGCCAATGAACTGAGTAGATTTTGGGGCCATGAGGTCAAAGGTCAAAGGTCATGAGGCTCATTTTGCATGCAAAAGTAGTTTACGAACGCATTCTCATTAGAACTGATAAATGGATTACTGTCAGACTTGGGACTTGTATATTAGGTCATTAGGTCAAAGATCAAAGGGTCATACATGTATATGAGAAATGGCTTGTAGTCACAATAATCTGTGAACCTGTTAATGGATTACAATCAGAATTTGAAAAATTGCTTCTGTTGTGGTTTGTATAATTGCTGTATGACGGAGGCATGATTTTCGACTGTGCGCAGTAGAAGTTCCATCCAACGTATTTGCCGGCGTATCAAAAAGTCGGGGTGCGGCCTTTACGGCGAAAGAGTAAAAAAAAAAAAACGAAAGTCAAAACCAGCACGAATTTGCTCATATGGGACTACGAACGGTAAAATAACTATACCACTGTGGTACAGGACATTTCCACACATATTACCGACAATTTTACCTTGCATTGTTGACATGAAGATGAAAATAAACGTCCTAACACAACATTTGCCGATAGATCTTGATCTACATGTAAGTTCGTGTCAATGCACTGCAAAAGTAAAGGAAGCGACCGTTTAACGAAGCTGCCGCGAACATCCATCCGAAGTCGCCATTTTGTTTTCCATTTCATGCAGTTTCGCATTACACCGTACGTTGTGGTAGGGGTATATATCGGACACCAAATCTGCCTGTGATCACTTTTTTAGCTAAACTTCCGGTAAATTATAAGAATATTGATGAATTGGTATCAGTTTGTAAAAAAAAAATAGTGTTTTCGAGAAAATTATGATTATTTTGTGTTGTCCGTTTTTTTTTTTTTCCTGTTTTTTTTTCTTTTTTTTTCTTTTTTTTCCCTCTTTGAAATGTCAAAGTTGGGGTGCGGCCTATGCGGCGGTACGGCCTTATCGTCAGCAAATACGGTAGTTGTGTTCTCTAATTAGAGCTGGAACCAGTTTTGAGACATGTAATATATTTTATATCTCGATAATCTTTCTCACAGATAATGAGAATCCTGTCATAAGTGGATGCCCAAGTGATCAGAATGTCACCACAGATATTGGGAATGCTACAGCTGTAGTAACCTGGACAGCACCTACAGCAACAGATAACTCTGGTAACCAGACACTGACATCCTCTCACAATCCTGGAGACTACTTTCCTCTTGGAAACAACACGGTAACCTACTATGCAAGCGATGATGCAGGAAATACAGAAACATGCACGTTCTTTGTTGTTGTGTCTGGTAAGTGTTCATGTTATGCTTTATTTTCTGAAAAGAAGTTTTGCATTTTCTAGTGTGAGCTGGAACCAGTTTTCATGCCTCCTCCCCTTCATGGTGTCTGTCCTGTTTTCTCGTAATCCCGATATATCAAGAAATATTCAGTTATGAACTTCATACCAAATGATACTATGTATAACCATAGAAAAACAATCTGGTTATATTTTTGAGTAACTAGGTCAAAGGTCAGATAGGTCATATTTTGTAATTCCAGCTATTGGCCTTGGTAACTCGATATCTCAAGAACCATTAGAGATATAATGCTCAAACTTGTTGACAGTAATTATTACATAAGGAGACATAAGATTAAAGGTACGTATAAATTAAAGTTCACAGAGGCCAATCATTGAAATTTAAGGGTTTTAGCCTTGCTATTGAAATATTTTAATATGTTGACAGTACTACCAGAGCAAGATGATCTGTTTGTATTTTAGGGAGTGTATGTCAAGATCATTGTTGTCAGTTGGAATGTCATAATAAACAGCGTGACATGTCTTGAATAATTTTAACCGTATCCATTTCCTATACAGAACATAAGGTGGAGGTATATAGAAGAGGTAGGCGCATTTGTCTTGTTATATATTTTATATCTCATTTGATATTTCTCACAGATAATGAAATTCCAGTCATAAGTGGTTGCCCAAGTGATCAGAATGTCACCACAGACATTGGGAACGCTACAGCTGTAGTAACCTGGACAGCACCTACAGCAACAGATAACTCTGGTAACCAGACACTGACATCCTCTCACAATCCTGGAGACTACTTTCCTCTTGGAAACAACACGGTAACCTACTATGCAAGCGATGATGCAGGAAATACAGAAACATGCACGTTCTTTGTTGTTGTGTCTGGTAAGTGTTCATGTTATGCTTTATTTTCTGAAAAGAAGTTTTGCATTTTCTAGTGTGAGCTGGAACCAGTTTTCATGCCTCCTCCCCTTCATGGTGTCTGTCCTGTTTTCTCGTAATCCCGATATATCAAGAAATATTCAGTTATGAACTTCATACCAAATGATACTATGTATAACCATAGAAAAACAATCTGGTTATATTTTTGAGTAACTAGGTCAAAGGTCAGATAGGTCATATTTTGTAATTCCACCTATTGGCCTTGGTAACTCGATATCTCAAGAACCATTAGAGATATAATGCTCAAACTTGTTGACAGTAATTATTACATAAGGAGACATAAGATTAAAGGTACGTATAAATTAAAGTTCACAGAGGCCAATCATTGAAATTTAAGGGTTTTAGCCTTGCTATTGAAATATTTTAATATGTTGACAGTACTACCAGAGCAAGATGATCTGTTTGTATTTTAGGGAGTGTATGTCAAGATCATTGTTGTCAGTTGGAATGTCATAATAAACAGCGTGACATGTCTTGAATAATTTCAACCGTATCCATTTCCTATACAGAACATAAGGTGGAGGTATATAGAAGAGGTAGGCGCATTTGTCTTGTTATATATTTTATATCTCATTTGATATTTCTCACAGATAATGAAATTCCAGTCATAAGTGGTTGCCCAAGTGATCAGAATGTCACCACAGACATTGGGAACGCTACAGCTGTAGTAACCTGGACAGCACCTACAGCAACAGATAACTCTGGTAACCAGACACTGACATCCTCTCACAATCCTGGAGACTACTTTCCTCTTGGAAACAACACGGTAACCTACTATGCAAGCGATGATGCAGGAAATACAGAAACATGCACGTTCTTTGTTGTTGTGTCTGGTAAGTGTTCATGTTATGCTTTATTTTCTGAAAAGAAGTTTTGCATTTTCTAGTGTGAGCTGGAACCAGTTTTCATGCCTCCTCCCCTTCATGGTGTCTGTCCTGTTTTCTCGTAATCCCGATATATCAAGAAATATTCAGTTATGAACTTCATACCAAATGATACTATGTATAACCATAGAAAAACAATCTGGTTATATTTTTGAGTAACTAGGTCAAAGGTCAGATAGGTCAACTTTTGTAATTCCACCTATTGGCCTTGGTAACTCGATATCTCAAGAACCATTAGAGATATAATGCTCAAACTTGTTGACAGTAATTATTACATAAGGAGACATAAGATTAAAGGTACGTATAAATTAAAGTTCACAGAGGCCAATCATTGAAATTTAAGGGTTTTAGCCTTGCTATTGAAATATTTTAATATGTTGACAGTACTACCAGAGCAAGATGATCTGTTTGTATTTTAGGGAGTGTATGTCAAGATCATTGTTGTCAGTTGGAATGTGATAATAAACAGCGTGACATGTCTTGAATAATTTCAACCGTATCCATTTCCTATACAGAACATAAGGTGGAGGTATGTTGAAGAGGTAGGCGCATTTGTCTTGTTATATATTTTATATCTCATTTGATATTTCTCACAGATAATGAAATTCCAGTCATAAGTGGTTGCCCAAGTGATCAGAATGTCACCACAGACATTGGGAACGCTACAGCTGTAGTAACCTGGACAGCACCTACAGCAACAGATAACTCTGGTAACCAGACACTGACATCCTCTCACAATCCTGGAGACTACTTTCCTCTTGGAAACAACACGGTAACCTACTATGCAAGCGATGATGCAGGAAATACAGAAACATGCACGTTCTTTGTTGTTGTGTCTGGTAAGTGTTCATGTTATGCTTTATTTTCTGAAAAGAAGTTTTGCATTTTCTAGTGTGAGCTGGAACCAGTTTTCATGCCTCCTCCCCTTCATGGTGTCTGTCCTGTTTTCTCGTAATCCCGATATATCAAGAAATATTCAGTTATGAACTTCATACCAAATGATACTATGTATAACCATAGAAAAACAATCTGGTTATATTTTTGAGTAACTAGGTCAAAGGTCAGATAGGTCAACTTTTGTAATTCCACCTATTGGCCTTGGTAACTCGATATCTCAAGAACCATTAGAGATATAATGCTCAAACTTGTTGACAGTAATTATTACATAAGGAGACATAAGATTAAAGGTACGTATAAATTAAAGTTCACAGAGGCCAATCATTGAAATTTAAGGGTTTTAGCCTTGCTATTGAAATATTTTAATATGTTGACAGTACTACCAGAGCAAGATGATCTGTTTGTATTTTAGGGAGTGTATGTCAAGATCATTGTTGTCAGTTGGAATGTGATAATAAACAGCGTGACATGTCTTGAATAATTTCAACCGTATCCATTTCCTATACAGAACATAAGGTGGAGGTATGTTGAAGAGGTAGGCGCATTTGTCTTGTTATATATTTTATATCTCATTTGATATTTCTCACAGATAATGAAATTCCAGTCATAAGTGGTTGCCCAAGTGATCAGAATGTCACCACAGACATTGGGAACGCTACAGCTGTAGTAACCTGGACAGCACCTACAGCAACAGATAACTCTGGTAACCAGACACTGACATCCTCTCACAATCCTGGAGACTACTTTCCTCTTGGAAACAACACGGTAACCTACTATGCAAGCGATGATGCAGGAAATACAGAAACATGCACGTTCTTTGTTGTTGTGTCTGGTAAGTGTTCATGTTATGCTTTATTTTCTGAAAAGAAGTTTTGCATTTTCTAGTGTGAGCTGGAACCAGTTTTCATGCCTCCTCCCCTTCATAGTGTCTGTCCTGTTTTCTCGTAATCCCGATATATCAAGAAATATTCAGTTATGAACTTCATACCAAATGATACTATGTATAACCATAGAAAAACAATCTGGTTATATTTTTGAGTAACTAGGTCAAAGGTCAGATAGGTCAACTTTTGTAATTCCACCTATTGGCCTTGGTAACTCGATATCTCAAGAACCATTAGAGATATAATGCTCAAACTTGTTGACAGTAATTATTACATAAGGAGACATAAGATTAAAGGTACGTATAAATTAAAGTTCACAGAGGCCAATCATTGAAATTTAAGGGTTTTAGCCTTGCTATTGAAATATTTTAATATGTTGACAGTACTACCAGAGCAAGATGATCTGTTTGTATTTTAGGGAGTGTATGTCAAGATCATTGTTGTCAGTTGGAATGTCATAATAAACAGCGTGACATGTCTTGAATAATTTTAACCGTATCCATTTCCTATACAGAACATAAGGTGGAGGTATATAGAAGAGGTAGGCGCATTTGTCTTGTTATATATTTTATATCTCATTTGATATTTCTCACAGATAATGAAATTCCAGTCATAAGTGGTTGCCCAAGTGATCAGAATGTCACCACAGACATTGGGAACGCTACAGCTGTAGTAACCTGGACAGCACCTACAGCAACAGATAACTCTGGTAACCAGACACTGACATCCTCTCACAATCCTGGAGACTACTTTCCTCTTGGAAACAACACGGTAACCTACTATGCAAGCGATGATGCAGGAAATACAGAAACATGCACGTTCTTTGTTGTTGTGTCTGGTAAGTGTTCATGTTATGCTTTATTTTCTGAAAAGAAGTTTTGCATTTTCTAGTGTGAGCTGGAACCAGTTTTCATGCCTCCTCCCCTTCATGGTGTCTGTCCTGTTTTCTCGTAATCCCGATATATCAAGAAATATTCAGTTATGAACTTCATACCAAATGATACTATGTATAACCATAGAAAAACAATCTGGTTATATTTTTGAGTAACTAGGTCAAAGGTCAGATAGGTCATATTTTGTAATTCCACCTATTGGCCTTGGTAACTCGATATCTCAAGAACCATTAGAGATATAATGCTCAAACTTGATGACAGTAGTTATTACATAAGGAGACATAAGATTAAAGGTACGTATAAATTAAAGTTCACAGAGGCCAATCATTGAAATTTAAGGGTTTTAGCCTTGCTATTGAAATATTTTAATATGTTGACAGTACTACCAGAGCAAGATGATCTGTTTGTATTTTAGGGAGTGTATGTCAAGATCATTGTTGTCAGTTGGAATGTGATAATAAACAGCGTGACATGTCTTGAATAATTTCAACCGTATCCATTTCCTATACAGAACATAAGGTGGAGGTATGTTGAAGAGGTAGGCGCATTTGTCTTGTTATATATTTTATATCTCATTTGATATTTCTCACAGATAATGAAATTCCAGTCATAAGTGGTTGCCCAAGTGATCAGAATGTCACCACAGACATTGGGAACGCTACAGCTGTAGTAACCTGGACAGCACCTACAGCAACAGATAACTCTGGTAACCAGACACTGACATCCTCTCACAATCCTGGAGACTACTTTCCTCTTGGAAACAACACGGTAACCTACTATGCAAGCGATGATGCAGGAAATACAGAAACATGCACGTTCTTTGTTGTTGTGTCTGGTAAGTGTTCATGTTATGCTTTATTTTCTGAAAAGAAGTTTTGCATTTTCTAGTGTGAGCTGGAACCAGTTTTCATGCCTCCTCCCCTTCATGGTGTCTGTCCTGTTTTCTCGTAATCCCGATATATCAAGAAATATTCAGTTATGAACTTCATACCAAATGATACTATGTATAACCATAGAAAAACAATCTGGTTATATTTTTGAGTAACTAGGTCAAAGGTCAGATAGGTCAACTTTTGTAATTCCACCTATTGGCCTTGGTAACTCGATATCTCAAGAACCATTAGAGATATAATGCTCAAACTTGTTGACAGTAATTATTACATAAGGAGACATAAGATTAAAGGTACGTATAAATTAAAGTTCACAGAGGCCAATCATTGAAATTTAAGGGTTTTAGCCTTGCTATTGAAATATTTTAATATGTTGACAGTACTACCAGAGCAAGATGATCTGTTTGTATTTTAGGGAGTGTATGTCAAGATCATTGTTGTCAGTTGGAATGTGATAATAAACAGCGTGACATGTCTTGAATAATTTCAACCGTATCCATTTCCTATACAGAACATAAGGTGGAGGTATATAGAAGAGGTAGGCGCATTTGTCTTGTTATATATTTTATATCTCATTTGATATTTCTCACAGATAATGAAATTCCAGTCATAAGTGGTTGCCCAAGTGATCAGAATGTCACCACAGACATTGGGAACGCTACAGCTGTAGTAACCTGGACAGCACCTACAGCAACAGATAACTCTGGTAACCAGACACTGACATCCTCTCACAATCCTGGAGACTACTTTCCTCTTGGAAACAACACGGTAACCTACTATGCAAGCGATGATGCAGGAAATACAGAAACATGCACGTTCTTTGTTGTTGTGTCTGGTAAGTGTTCATGTTATGCTTTATTTTCTGAAAAGAAGTTTTGCATTTTCTAGTGTGAGCTGGAACCAGTTTTCATGCCTCCTCCCCTTCATGGTGTCTGTCCTGTTTTCTCGTAATCCCGATATATCAAGAAATATTCAGTTATGAACTTCATACCAAATGATACTATGTATAACCATAGAAAAACAATCTGGTTATATTTTTGAGTAACTAGGTCAAAGGTCAGATAGGTCAACTTTTGTAATTCCACCTATTGGCCTTGGTAACTCGATATCTCAAGAACCATTAGAGATATAATGCTCAAACTTGTTGACAGTAATTATTACATAAGGAGACATAAGATTAAAGGTACGTATAAATTAAAGTTCACAGAGGCCAATCATTGAAATTTAAGGGTTTTAGCCTTGCTATTGAAATATTTTAATATGTTGACAGTACTACCAGAGCAAGATGATCTGTTTGTATTTTAGGGAGTGTATGTCAAGATCATTGTTGTCAGTTGGAATGTGATAATAAACAGCGTGACATGTCTTGAATAATTTCAACCGTATCCATTTCCTATACAGAACATAAGGTGGAGGTATGTTGAAGAGGTAGGCGCATTTGTCTTGTTATATATTTTATATCTCATTTGATATTTCTCACAGATAATGAAATTCCAGTCATAAGTGGTTGCCCAAGTGATCAGAATGTCACCACAGACATTGGGAATGCTACAGCTGTAGTAACCTGGACAGCACCTACAGCAACAGATAACTCTGGTAACCAGACACTGACATCCTCTCACAATCCTGGAGACTACTTTCCTCTTGGAAACAACACGGTAACCTACTATGCAAGCGATGATGCAGGAAATACAGAAACATGCACGTTCTTTGTTGTTGTGTCTGGTAAGTGTTCATGTTATGCTTTATTTTCTGAAAAGAAGTTTTGCATTTTCTAGTGTGAGCTGGAACCAGTTTTCATGCCTCCTCCCCTTCATGGTGTCTGTCCTGTTTTCTCGTAATCCCGATATATCAAGAAATATTCAGTTATGAACTTCATACCAAATGATACTATGTATAACCATAGAAAAACAATCTGGTTATATTTTTGAGTAACTAGGTCAAAGGTCAGATAGGTCAACTTTTGTAATTCCACCTATTGGCCTTGGTAACTCGATATCTCAAGAACCATTAGAGATATAATGCTCAAACTTGTTGACAGTAATTATTACATAAGGAGACATAAGATTAAAGGTACGTATAAATTAAAGTTCACAGAGGCCAATCATTGAAATTTAAGGGTTTTAGCCTTGCTATTGAAATATTTTAATATGTTGACAGTACTACCAGAGCAAGATGATCTGTTTGTATTTTAGGGAGTGTATGTCAAGATCATTGTTGTCAGTTGGAATGTCATAATAAACAGCGTGACATGTCTTGAATAATTTTAACCGTATCCATTTCCTATACAGAACATAAGGTGGAGGTATATAGAAGAGGTAGGCGCATTTGTCTTGTTATATATTTTATATCTCATTTGATATTTCTCACAGATAATGAAATTCCAGTCATAAGTGGTTGCCCAAGTGATCAGAATGTCACCACAGACATTGGGAACGCTACAGCTGTAGTAACCTGGACAGCACCTACAGCAACAGATAACTCTGGTAACCAGACACTGACATCCTCTCACAATCCTGGAGACTACTTTCCTCTTGGAAACAACACGGTAACCTACTATGCAAGCGATGATGCAGGAAATACAGAAACATGCACGTTCTTTGTTGTTGTGTCTGGTAAGTGTTCATGTTATGCTTTATTTTCTGAAAAGAAGTTTTGCATTTTCTAGTGTGAGCTGGAACCAGTTTTCATGCCTCCTCCCCTTCATGGTGTCTGTCCTGTTTTCTCGTAATCCCGATATATCAAGAAATATTCAGTTATGAACTTCATACCAAATGATACTATGTATAACCATAGAAAAACAATCTGGTTATATTTTTGAGTAACTAGGTCAAAGGTCAGATAGGTCATATTTTGTAATTCCACCTATTGGCCTTGGTAACTCGATATCTCAAGAACCATTAGAGATATAATGCTCAAACTTGATGACAGTAGTTATTACATAAGGAGACATAAGATTAAAGGTACGTATAAATTAAAGTTCACAGAGGCCAATCATTGAAATTTAAGGGTTTTAGCCTTGCTATTGAAATATTTTAATATGTTGACAGTACTACCAGAGCAAGATGATCTGTTTGTATTTTAGGGAGTGTATGTCAAGATCATTGTTGTCAGTTGGAATGTGATAATAAACAGCGTGACATGTCTTGAATAATTTCAACCGTATCCATTTCCTATACAGAACATAAGGTGGAGGTATGTTGAAGAGGTAGGCGCATTTGTCTTGTTATATATTTTATATCTCATTTGATATTTCTCACAGATAATGAAATTCCAGTCATAAGTGGTTGCCCAAGTGATCAGAATGTCACCACAGACATTGGGAACGCTACAGCTGTAGTAACCTGGACAGCACCTACAGCAACAGATAACTCTGGTAACCAGACACTGACATCCTCTCACAATCCTGGAGACTACTTTCCTCTTGGAAACAACACGGTAACCTACTATGCAAGCGATGATGCAGGAAATACAGAAACATGCACGTTCTTTGTTGTTGTGTCTGGTAAGTGTTCATGTTATGCTTTATTTTCTGAAAAGAAGTTTTGCATTTTCTAGTGTGAGCTGGAACCAGTTTTCATGCCTCCTCCCCTTCATGGTGTCTGTCCTGTTTTCTCGTAATCCCGATATATCAAGAAATATTCAGTTATGAACTTCATACCAAATGATACTATGTATAACCATAGAAAAACAATCTGGTTATATTTTTGAGTAACTAGGTCAAAGGTCAGATAGGTCAACTTTTGTAATTCCACCTATTGGCCTTGGTAACTCGATATCTCAAGAACCATTAGAGATATAATGCTCAAACTTGTTGACAGTAATTATTACATAAGGAGACATAAGATTAAAGGTACGTATAAATTAAAGTTCACAGAGGCCAATCATTGAAATTTAAGGGTTTTAGCCTTGCTATTGAAATATTTTAATATGTTGACAGTACTACCAGAGCAAGATGATCTGTTTGTATTTTAGGGAGTGTATGTCAAGATCATTGTTGTCAGTTGGAATGTGATAATAAACAGCGTGACATGTCTTGAATAATTTCAACCGTATCCATTTCCTATACAGAACATAAGGTGGAGGTATGTTGAAGAGGTAGGCGCATTTGTCTTGTTATATATTTTATATCTCATTTGATATTTCTCACAGATAATGAAATTCCAGTCATAAGTGGTTGCCCAAGTGATCAGAATGTCACCACAGACATTGGGAACGCTACAGCTGTAGTAACCTGGACAGCACCTACAGCAACAGATAACTCTGGTAACCAGACACTGACATCCTCTCACAATCCTGGAGACTACTTTCCTCTTGGAAACAACACGGTAACCTACTATGCAAGCGATGATGCAGGAAATACAGAAACATGCACGTTCTTTGTTGTTGTGTCTGGTAAGTGTTCATGTTATGCTTTATTTTCTGAAAAGAAGTTTTGCATTTTCTAGTGTGAGCTGGAACCAGTTTTCATGCCTCCTCCCCTTCATGGTGTCTGTCCTGTTTTCTCGTAATCCCGATATATCAAGAAATATTCAGTTATGAACTTCATACCAAATGATACTATGTATAACCATAGAAAAACAATCTGGTTATATTTTTGAGTAACTAGGTCAAAGGTCAGATAGGTCAACTTTTGTAATTCCACCTATTGGCCTTGGTAACTCGATATCTCAAGAACCATTAGAGATATAATGCTCAAACTTGTTGACAGTAATTATTACATAAGGAGACATAAGATTAAAGGTACGTATAAATTAAAGTTCACAGAGGCCAATCATTGAAATTTAAGGGTTTTAGCCTTGCTATTGAAATATTTTAATATGTTGACAGTACTACCAGAGCAAGATGATCTGTTTGTATTTTAGGGAGTGTATGTCAAGATCATTGTTGTCAGTTGGAATGTGATAATAAACAGCATGACATGTCTTGAATAATTTCAACCGTATCCATTTCCTATACAGAACATAAGGTGGAGGTATGTTGAAGAGGTAGGCGCATTTGTCTTGTTATATATTTTATATCTCATTTGATATTTCTCACAGATAATGAAATTCCAGTCATAAGTGGTTGCCCAAGTGATCAGAATGTCACCACAGACATTGGGAACGCTACAGCTGTAGTAACCTGGACAGCACCTACAGCAACAGATAACTCTGGTAACCAGACACTGACATCCTCTCACAATCCTGGAGACTACTTTCCTCTTGGAAACAACACGGTAACCTACTATGCAAGCGATGATGCAGGAAATACAGAAACATGCACGTTCTTTGTTGTTGTGTCTGGTAAGTGTTCATGTTATGCTTTATTTTCTGAAAAGAAGTTTTGCATTTTCTAGTGTGAGCTGGAACCAGTTTTCATGCCTCCTCCCCTTCATGGTGTCTGTCCTGTTTTCTCGTAATCCCGATATATCAAGAAATATTCAGTTATGAACTTCATACCAAATGATACTATGTATAACCATAGAAAAACAATCTGGTTATATTTTTGAGTAACTAGGTCAAAGGTCAGATAGGTCATATTTTGTAATTCCACCTATTGGCCTTGGTAACTCGATATCTCAAGAACCATTAGAGATATAATGCTCAAACTTGATGACAGTAGTTATTACATAAGGAGACATAAGATTAAAGGTACGTATAAATTAAAGTTCACAGAGGCCAATCATTGAAATTTAAGGGTTTTAGCCTTGCTATTGAAATATTTTAATATGTTGACAGTACTACCAGAGCAAGATGATCTGTTTGTATTTTAGGGAGTGTATGTCAAGATCATTGTTGTCAGTTGGAATGTGATAATAAACAGCGTGACATGTCTTGAATAATTTCAACCGTATCCATTTCCTATACAGAACATAAGGTGGAGGTATGTTGAAGAGGTAGGCGCATTTGTCTTGTTATATATTTTATATCTCATTTGATATTTCTCACAGATAATGAAATTCCAGTCATAAGTGGTTGCCCAAGTGATCAGAATGTCACCACAGACATTGGGAACGCTACAGCTGTAGTAACCTGGACAGCACCTACAGCAACAGATAACTCTGGTAACCAGACACTGACATCCTCTCACAATCCTGGAGACTACTTTCCTCTTGGAAACAACACGGTAACCTACTATGCAAGCGATGATGCAGGAAATACAGAAACATGCACGTTCTTTGTTGTTGTGTCTGGTAAGTGTTCATGTTATGCTTTATTTTCTGAAAAGAAGTTTTGCATTTTCTAGTGTGAGCTGGAACCAGTTTTCATGCCTCCTCCCCTTCATGGTGTCTGTCCTGTTTTCTCGTAATCCCGATATAGCAAGAAATATTCAGTTATAAACTTCATACCAAATGATACTATGTATAACCATAGAAAAACAATCTGGTTATATTTTTGAGTAACTAGGTCAAAGGTCAGATAGGTCAACTTTTGTAATTCCACCTATTGGCCTTGGTAACTCGATATCTCAAGAACCATTAGAGATATAATGCTCAAACTTGTTGACAGTAATTATTACATAAGGAGACATAAGATTAAAGGTACGTATAAAAAAGTTCACAGAGGCCAATCATTGAAATTTAAGGGTTTTAGCCTTGCTATTGAAATATTTTAATATGTTGACAGTACTACCAGAGCAAGATGATCTGTTTGTATTTTAGGGAGTGTATGTCAAGATCATTGTTGTCAGTTGGAATGTGATAATAAACAGCGTGACATGTCTTGAATAATTTTAACCGTATCCATTTCCTATAAAGAACATAAGGTGGAGGTATGTAGAAGAGGTAGGCGCATTTGTCTTGTTATATATTTTATATCTCATTTGATATTTCTCACAGATAATGAAATTCCAGTCATAAGTGGTTGCCCAAGTGATCAGAATGTCACCACAGACATTGGGAACGCTACAGCTGTAGTAACCTGGACAGCACCTACAGCAACAGATAACTCTGGTAACCAGACACTGACATCCTCTCACAATCCTGGAGACTACTTTCCTCTTGGAAACAACACGGTAACCTACTATGCAAGCGATGATGCAGGAAATACAGAAACATGCACGTTCTTTGTTGTTGTGTCTGGTAAGTGTTCATGTTATGCTTTATTTTCTGAAAAGAAGTTTTGCATTTTCTAGTGTGAGCTGGAACCAGTTTTCATGCCTCCTCCCCTTCATGGTGTCTGTCCTGTTTTCTCGTAATCCCGATATAGCAAGAAATATTCAGTTATGAACTTCATACCAAATGATACTATGTATAACCATAGAAAAACAATCTGGTTATATTTTTGAGTAACTAGGTCAAAGGTCAGATAGGTCAACTTTTGTAATTCCACCTATTCGCCTTGGTAACTCGATATCTCAAGAACCATTAGAGATATAATGCTCAAACTTGTTGACAGTAATTATTACATAAGGAGACATAAGATTAAAGGTACGTATAAATTAAAGTTCACAGAGGCCAATCATTGAAATTTAAGGGTTTTAGCCTTGCTATTGAAATATTTTAATATGTTGACAGTACTACCAGAGCAAGATGATCTGTTTGTATTTTAGGGAGTGTATGTCAAGATCATTGTTGTCAGTTGGAATGTGATAATAAACAGCGTGACATGTCTTGAATAATTTTAACCGTATCCATTTCCTATAAAGAACATAAAAAGAGGTATATAGAAGAGGTAGGCGCATTTGTCTTGTTATATATTTTATATCTCATTTGATATTTCTCACAGATAATGAAATTCCAGTCATAAGTGGTTGCCCAAGTGATCAGAATGTCACCACAGACATTGGGAACGCTACAGCTGTAGTAACCTGGACAGCACCTACAGCAACAGATAACTCTGGTAACCAGACACTGACATCCTCTCACAATCCTGGAGACTACTTTCCTCTTGGAAACAACACGGTAACCTACTATGCAAGCGATGATGCAGGAAATACAGAAACATGCACGTTCTTTGTTGTTGTGTCTGGTAAGTGTTCATGTTATGCTTTATTTTCTGAAAAGAAGTTTTTCATTTTCTAGTGTGAGCTGGAACCAGTTTTCATGCCTCCTCCCCTTCATGGTGTCTGTCCTGTTTTCTCGTAATCCTGATATATCAAGAAATATTCAGTTATGAACTTCATACCAAATGATACTATGTATAACCATAGAAAAACAATCTGGTTATATTTTTGAGTAACTAGGTCAAAGGTCAGATAGGTCAACTTTTGTAATTCCACCTATTGGCCTTGGTAACTCGATATCTCAAGAACCATTAGAGATATAATGCTCAAACTTGTTGACAGTAATTATTACATAAGGAGACATAAGATTAAAGGTACGTATAAATTAAAGTTCACAGAGGCCAATCATTGAAATTTAAGGGTTTTAGCCTTGCTATTGAAATATTTTAATATGTTGACAGTACTACCAGAGCAAGATGATCTGTTTGTATTTTAGGGAGTGTATGTCAAGATCATTGTTGTCAGTTGGAATGTGATAATAAACAGCGTGACATGTCTTGAATAATTTTAACCGTATCCATTTCCTATAAAGAACATAAGGTGGAGGTATATAGAAGAGGTAGGCGCATTTGTCTTGTTATATATTTTATATCTCATTTGATATTTCTCACAGATAATGAAATTCCAGTCATAAGTGGTTGCCCAAGTGATCAGAATGTCACCACAGACATTGGGAACGCTACAGCTGTAGTAACCTGGACAGCACCTACAGCAACAGATAACTCTGGTAACCAGACACTGACATCCTCTCACAATCCTGGAGACTACTTTCCTCTTGGAAACAACACGGTAACCTACTATGCAAGCGATGATGCAGGAAATACAGAAACATGCACGTTCTTTGTTGTTGTGTCTGGTAAGTGTTCATGTTATGCTTTATTTTTTGAAAAGAAGTTTTGCATTTTCTAGTGTGAGCTGGAACCAGTTTTCATGCCTCCTCCCCTTCATGGTGTCTGTCCTGTTTTCTCGTAATCCCGATATATCAAGAAATATTCAGTTATGAACTTCATACCAAATGATACTATGTATAACCATAGAAAAACAATCTGGTTATATTTTTGAGTAACTAGGTCAAAGGTCAGATAGGTCAACTTTTGTAATTCCACCTATTGGCCTTGGTAACTCGATATCTCAAGAACCATTAGAGATATAATGCTCAAACTTGTTGACAGTAATTATTACATAAGGAGACATAAGATTAAAGGTACGTATAAATTAAAGTTCACAGAGGCCAATCATTGAAATTTAAGGGTTTTAGCCTTGCTATTGAAATATTTTAATATGTTGACAGTACTACCAGAGCAAGATGATCTGTTTGTATTTTAGGGAGTGTATGTCAAGATCATTGTTGTCAGTTGGAATGTGATAATAAACAGCGTGACATGTCTTGAATAATTTCAACCGTATCCATTTCCTATAAAGAACATAAGGTGGAGGTATATAGAAGAGGTAGGCGCATTTGTCTTGTTATATATTTTATATCTCATTTGATATTTCTCACAGATAATGAAATTCCAGTCATAAGTGGTTGCCCAAGTGATCAGAATGTCACCACAGACATTGGGAATGATACAGCTGTAGTAACCTGGACACCACCTACAGCAACAGATAACTCTGGTAACCAGACACTGACATCTACCAATAATCCTGGAGACTACTTTCCTATTGGAAACAACACGGTAACCTACTATGCAAGAGATTATGCAGGAAATACAGAAGCATGCTCCTTCTTTGTAGTTGTGTCTGGTAAGTGCTTGTCTTGTACTTCATCTTCTGGAAAACAGTTTGGTAGTCTTTAGTGAGAGCTGAATTCAGATTTTAGAAATGCAACATTTTTATATCTCATATAATTTTTCTCACAGATAATGAGAATCCAGTCATCAGTGGATGCCCAAGTGATCAGAATGTCACCAGAGGCAATGGTAATGAAACAGCTTTAGTAATCTGGACACCACCTACAGCAACAGATAACTCTGGTAACCAGACACTGACATCCACTAGCAATCCTGGAGATTACTTTCCTATTGGAAACAACACGGTGACCTACACATCAACAGATGGTGCAGGAAATACAGAGACATGCATCTTTATTCTAGTTGTTACAGGCAAGTGAATTTTATCATATAAGATAATATCATCATTATTTTTTTTCCAGCGGGTAACTTTTGCAAAATCATTAATGATGATCATCATTTAAATGATATTTTGTAAGGTTGTTATTGTAAACAAAAATAATAATAGACTTTACGAGGTAACTTGTTAAGTGCTAGGCAAATTTGGATAAATATTAATGATGATAATGTCACATAAATAGCAATTCAATCACATTCCTTATATTAACCCTAAAATGACTAGTTAAGCCCCCTCCCGCTCTAATTTTGTGATTTACTTTGTAATGCTTGATTAAATTTAACAATGCCACTTCCTGACTTTTTTCCGAAAGAGTCTTGGGCATCTTTTGAAACAAATTTTTTGAAAATCGGACCTGCTGTCCCAAGTCACTTGACCTTTTGTCTTTCAGGCTGAAAATGGCTCATTTTCGTGATTTGTGTACTAAACATATCGAAATATCATTTTTACAAAAAAGAGATATAAAACATTGGTTGTTTGGTCTTTTTTTAAAGTTTAGGTGTCGAAATTAGTAAGGTCTTTGTGCATGGGAGGGGGGGGGGGGGGGTCACAATCCTTTTTCCTCAATTTTTAAAGGAGTCCAGAGTGACATTTTTGGGCCATAGGCAATGGTTATCTATTGTTGCCAAGTCTTGCTTATTGTTCTCTGAGAGCCATTAACCTTCATTGTTGCCTTTCGTAGTTCTCTCAGGGTGATATTATAGTATTAATGACTGCTTTGAGAGAAACAGTTGTTTTTATACGCTCAAGGGAAGGTTAGAATTGTGCTATTGCCCAAAGCGTCGAGAGGGCAACAGCCCAATTGTAACCTTCCCGAGAGCGTATAAAAACAACATTTTCTCAAATATTAAAGCAGTCATTAATACTTTTATATGCCAAAAAAAAAAGAGTCAACTTATGACACCACCTTGGCTTTTCTCTAGTTTATCTGCATGGCTTTTTTTAATGAGTGTATCTTTGAGAGTAGACTAGATCTAGATTCTAGTCTGAGTAAGATATTTTTACTATTTTTGGGGTGGGCCGGCCCTTTGGGGAATATGGAGAAAAACCTGCGCTTTCATATGACACCTCACTTATTGAGTATCACCTTCAGGATCACGAGCAATATTAGTTTGAATCTCTGGTTAGTAAAACATTGACCAATTTAGCATGAGTGCGCAATGGTCAATGCATAGGGATGTGTGCAATCTCTACGGGAAGGATTTTAGCACTACTAGACCTACTTACTAGAATCTAGGCCTACTAGATCTATTTTGAAAAAATTTATGGAGAATTTAACATACCCTTTTGGTGTTCGTACTGTCGGCAAGTCTTGCATTTGATCATCAATCAAGAAGTTGAAATCTTGGGAGAGTTTCTTCAGCCATTTTTGCCTTTGGTTTGGAATTTAGTACGATCGAGATTGCCGTACTGAAATTACCGACCAATTCTTCGCACACGTACGGTATCCTCGATCGCTCAACCAGTTTTTAACATGTGAACCTATGGGTATTTCACCAAGACTTAACTATTTTCCTGGTAACCATGGTAACTGGAATTTCACCGGGAATTTTAAAGGAATAGTTAAAGTTCATGATTGCAATTTTGACCAATCAGATGACTGGATTTCTTAAGTGAGGTATATAATGCTTGTTATACTTGAACTCCAATCATGTCTCTGTTGATTGTGTGTTTCTTTTACAGATCCAGTACCAGAAAATTGTTTTTTAATTGGTAGTTAAATTAAAACTGCCACTCTTCTTAAATGTGGCCAGAGATTAAATCTGGCTCAACTTTAGGGTCTGTTGATTTCATCAGGGTCAAGTTTCAACCCTTGAATTTGTTCATAAGTTAGTGTAACAGACAGTGTAACATGAAACAATCAGCTTGGTCATTGAAATGAAAATGAGAATGAAATGTCATACAGTTTCACAGTTACATTCATTTTTGGAGACAATGAAATGGTTGATATTTGGCACATTATACATGTAGGAAGGTGAACTCAATTTACTATACAACAAAAGAAATTTGTCAAAAGGTATGTGTTGGGCCTGACAATCCCTTCTGCCTGTAACATATACCCAGGAATGTACAAAATTGTATTCATAGAATGCTTGAATAGTAGTTTCTGTATATTTTGCATTTGGAAGTTATTATCTTTATGGTATATATATATTTGAAAACTTTGATAATAATGACTTTTATTTTTTTGGTCATTTTCTCCCCTCATCTAGACCCGATGGTCAATATATCCCTCTCGGTTAATGAAATGTATAATCTGACATCACCGGGGTATCCATCAAACTACGACATCAACCTTAACCTCCAGTGGACTGTGTTAGCGCCCTCTGACTACCGTGTCATGATCTCCGTAACAGACTTCAGGTCGGAGGCTGGCTATGATTACCTCCACATTGGTGGGGGATTGACCTTTGACCCTGATACGTGGATGGTACGGTTCTCGGGGACTTATGACTCACCTACGGAGGTTCTACTACCAGGGAGAGAAGCTTGGATTTTGTTCTTCAGCGATTACAGTACTACGAATGTAGGATTCGTTCTTGAAATTACAACTTCTAGTGAAGCAGGTGGGTAAAGAAAGCAATATCTTTGTGATCTTAAATTTATAGTGCATACTTTAATCGTTTTAGTTTTGCAAGGTTTATTTCATGTCTTTTGCCGTTATGTGATTGTACTTGAAATTAAGAATAATTGATATGTTTTTTTGTTTTTTAATAAATCTCTTTTTATGAATCAATAAAGTTTGTACAATAAGCCCAAGGCTACCTGTTCTTTGATATGGAAGAGAATAAAAGTCTACATAAAAATGTGCATAATGATACATATATCAAAATTGATAATGTAACGAATAAAAAACTTTGTAATAAAAAGTGTGAGTTTAATGCTGCTATTGCCTAATTTGAAGTTTCCCCTTAAGGTTTACAATAGACTTATACAGCATCTTATATTTACTTGTTTGTTTCAGAAAATATTACCAGTAATAAATACAATTTTCATAGATTATGTTGTTAACGTGTCAGCCATGCTTTAACACTCCGTAGAGAAACATTTTGCAAGGTGGTATTTTTCCAATAGACCAGTTTACTAACCTCCTCATAGTTTATGCATACTTTTGAAACAAAGGTTGTTCTGGAGAAAGTAAAATCTTGCCTGAGGCTTGTCCAACATAGCAAAAAGTAATGTATGCAGACTGGATTCCAAGTATTATAGTTCATGCATCAATAACAGGTTAATGGAATACCTTGACACCAGGTTCCCTGGAAAGAAACATCCACAAATTTGAATATATCAGTAAACCGGTATATAGTACAGTGCTATAGATCAGTTTGTAGTTAGCACATGGTACAAATGATCCCCAAATATTCACAGATCTTTGACACATGGAGAGGTCCCCCTTTTTGCAATAATCACTGCCAAAGTCATGGAAGTGTCCCATGAATAACTTTTGTTTGCTAATCTTTGTATCATAGAATCTACCATCTGTGAATAAATGTATAATGATGACAACTTTCATGAGCAGGTATCCAGTATTCTTCTCAGTGGGTTTCACAATTTTGAACAAATGACTTTATCTGCCCATGCTCAGCTTGTATCTACAAACTGGCTCATTAATAATTTTAATTTATTGTTTCAAGTTAGAGAATAGTGCCTTAAGAAAGCATATTTTTCTTAATCTGAACATTAATGCATGGACTGCTTTATTCTTCCAGCCGGTGAATGTGGAGCATCTTTCATCTCCTGTGTAAAGAGAGATGTCTGTATTTCCAACTCGACTTCCTGTGATGGGTCGCCTGGATGCTTTAATGGATATGATGAGTGGAATTGTGGTATGTAACACAGTGTTGGTTGAAGAATGCAAGCCCAGAAGATTTCTGAGCTCATCTTGAGTGCCCGGCTCATTGCTGTTTATACCCTAGTCACGTACGGTCAAACTGGCTTCACACCGACTCCAAAATGACAGATAGTTTACCATTAAGGGTAATGTAATGGCGGTCTGGTGTCAGTCTCGTTGGTGTAATAGCTGGGCCGGGAAGTACACGTATCTTACCTGCATAGCTGGTGTGATACACACGTAGGCAACGTTTTTTCTGATAGTAGCGACAGTTTGTTTCCACCATGGAAGGTGGTGCTGCAACTTTGATAGCTTAAGAACCATTGAACAGATTTTCACCAAACTTGCATGAAGTATATGTGTGAGCATCCAAGGAAGAAGTGAATAGATGTTGTGGGTAATATGGCACAGGGTTGCAAGAGTGTTAAGAAATAATTTTAAAAAAGATCTTGATACAATGCAATTTGAATCAGACTTTGAGGAAGCATGCAAGAGAATGCAAGGATGAACACAATGTTGGTTGTAATAGGTCAAAGGTCAGAGGTTACAGGGTCATAACAATGTTTAAAAATGCAAACTTGAACAGATTCGAAGCAGTTCAACCCAAAGCTGAAGGAAGTACTAAGCATGAGCATCCAAGGATGAACTCATAGCATTTTTAGTGTAAAGGGTCATAGGTCATAAAAGTGTTTAAAATACCAAAAAATATTTTGTCCCCATGGTAACGTGCAAAGCATTAAATCAATTCAAACCAAATTTAGCTCAAGTATATGTTTAATCATGTAAGGACGCACTGATTAGATTTGGAGTGTAAGGTTGCAGTGTCAATAAAGTGTAACAATTAAAGAAAATACATGTGTAATGTGACTGCGAAAATGTAAAAACCGTTGAAGCTATCATTACAAAACATGGGATAAGTTTGTATGAGCATGTAGGAATGAGCTCATTGGAATTTAGGTGTAAGATATCATAGGTGATAGATCTCATGAAATAAGAAATGTTTTATAACAGTGACGAGTGACCAAACACTGAACAAATTTCCACCAAACTTGGCTCAAGCGTGAATGAGCATGAAAAGATTTAAAACAAAGAGTTTGGTTCATGAGGTTGGTGATTATAGAGACCGGTGGTCATTTGCTTGACCAGTCATGAGGCATGGTCAGTCGTGCTTTGCCAGTTATTTGGCATGAACAATTATATCGGGTGTTTTAAGTCCTAATATTAGAATTGTGGGGCATATAGGCAAGACCATGCATGTTTGATTTAATTTTTTTTAAATATGAAAGCTTGACAGCTTACCAGCAATTTTGCCAGAATTGTTTACTCCTAATTGCTTGTTTGTACAGTTTTTTTATTTATAATAATGATACTAGTGATGATGATAAGAATAGTAATAATGATATATTAATGATTGTGATGAATAAGAAGAAGAAGGAGAAGAGGAACAGGAAGGATAAAAAGAAGGAGAAGGGGAGAGGAAGAGGAGGAAGAAATGAATTTCTGTAAAGTGCATTGAATGAACTCACGTATATGCCTGTGTAAATGATAGTTTAATCATATTCCATACTTTCCATTCTTCCCATAACACCAGACCCAAGCTGTCCCTCTTCTGATATTCAGACAATTCCCACCTCGATGCCCTACTCTGTCATTTCTGACAACTACCCATTAGCCTACGGCAACGACATTGAGTGCGTATGGGTACTCCAAGCAGAGGCTTACCACTCCCTCGTCATCGACATACCAAACTTCTACTTGGAAGAGGACTACGACTTCTTCTACATCGGGCTTGGCCACGATCGATTGTTGGAGTCGGGTTCACTTGTCGTTACGCTGACCGGATATATTGCATCAACAAGATACTATCTTGGGATCGAGTCATATCTGTATTTTTATACTGATTACTCAAATGGATACTCTGGGTTCGTTCTAAATGTGACATCCATTCCATTTGAATGTAAGTAGGAGGACAATGTACTACAAATGTCCAATCTCTTTATCTTCTTTAAAATGACGAGTACCTATACTAAAACTAATACATAAAATAAATAAACAAAAATTGAGTTTATTTAGGATCATGATGTATTTGCCTCTTTTGCGCTTATCTGTTCGATGCTATTTAGTGTGTCTCTTGTTCAAGAAAGCATAGTTCAGAATTATCAAATTATATATCTGCAAATGGTGAAGTTAACATAACATATTCCTTAATAGTGTTTGCTCCAATAATGCATGCTCATAGAGACAACTTTTCATATTCTTCCCCAGTAACTGAGTCTTGTGATGCAGACCAAAGAGTTCCAGTGGGATCTGCTTGTAATGGAGTTACTGATTGTGTTGATGATTCAGATGAATTTGGATGCGGTAAGTTGATTATTTCCCCATTTCTCTCTATTGTCATTGGGGTAAGATAGCTGACACAGTCAGTTACTTTGTCTCCCTTTGTCTCCCTCTCAGACAAATGATTGAGGCTTCAAGTCTTGCTCAAAGAGATGACTGGAGCATGTCTTTTGGGTAAATGTTAGGTGATTAAATGATATTAGCTGTTATCCATTATTGAATGATTGAGTTGACATATATTTCCATCATCATAATAAAATATGGAACATCATTACAGATAAATATATAAAAATTACCACCCCCCTCCCCCCACCCCACCACGAAAAACAAAATGGAAACAATGAATTTCAAAACAGATGAAAGTATAAACCAAAGTACAATTGGAAAATGGTGTGTCTGTAAAAGCCGTTAAGGTTTGACAATTGAATGCACCATGCGCACAAGAAATAACAGCATGTGTTGTCAGTAAAGAAAAATGAATTGCATTTCTGTATAAATGATGCATTATACAGAGAGAGAACAAATGTTTCTAGTAGAGTCTTTTAAATGAATTGTTAATCAAACAGACTGTAAAATAGAAGGCAGAGATTTCCAAAGTTTAGGAACAACATAACTTAAGGAATTGTTTAATGCATTAGAAGAAGCGTAGGTTTGGAGGAAGGGAGTTTGAGAAGAATTGTTGCTTAAATGATGCAATTTTTCATTGATTGATATCATAAATGTGTAAAGTACGGAATATTCTAAACACAGGTTGGGAGGGAGCTCAGAAAGGGGGATTAGAACAAAGTTGTTATACCCTATTTTTGAGCCTGAATAATTTGAGTAACCTAAGGGATGTTGCATCGCCCAGACAGAATTGAAATACATAATAGGGACCTGGTAATGAGGATTAATGCCTATTACCAAAGGGCACTGGCGCGCATCGACTCGGTTTCGAACCTGTGTCAACGGATTACGAGACCACTGCTCTACCAACTGAGCTATCGCACCTCCTGTCTTGTCAAAGGATATTAATAATAATAATAATAATTATAGTTCAGTTCTTGTATAGCGCATAATATACGTTATGAAATAACATCTCTATGCTGCGGCAGGACTTGAACCATGAAACATGTAATCGACAGTCTTTTGGCGTACAGTGTGTATCCACTAGACCATCGCTAATACAGCCTGAAGGTATAAACATTGAATAAATCAATTTTCTCTTGAAAAAAAATTAGAAGATGAAAAGCCAGTCATCAATGGATGCCCAAGTGATCAGAATGTCACCACAGACTTTGGGAATGCTACAGCTGTAGTAACCTGGACACCCCCTACAGCAACAGATAACTCTGGTAACCAGACACTGACATCCTCTCACAATCCTGGAGACTACTTTCCTATTGGAAACAACACGGTAACCTACTATGCAAGAGATTATGCAGGAAATACAGAAGCATGCTCCTTCTTTGTAGTTGTGTCTGGTAAGTGCTTGTCTTGTACTTCATCTTCTGGAAAACAGTTTGGTAGTCTTTAGTGAAAGCTGAATTCAGATTTTAGAAATGCAACATTTTTATATCTCATATAATTTTTCTCACAGATAATGAGAATCCAGTCATCAGTGGATGCCCAAGTGATCAGAATGTCACCAGAGACAATGGTAATGAAACAGCTTTAGTAATCTGGACACCACCTACAGCAACAGATAACTCTGGTAACCAGATACTGACATCCACTAGCAATCCTGGAGATTACTTTCCTATTGGAAACAACACGGTGACCTACACATCAACAGATGGTGCAGGAAATACAGAGACATGCACCTTTATTCTAGTTGTTACAGGCAAGTGAATTTTATCATATCAGATAATATCATCATTATTTTTTTTCCAGCGGGTAACTTTTCCAAAATCATTAATGATGATGATCATCATTCAAATGATATTTTGTGAGGTTGTTATTGTAAACAAAAATAATAATAGACTTTACGAGGTAACTTGTTAAGTGCTAGGCAAATTTGGATAAATATTAATGATGATAATGTCACATAAATAGCAATTCAATCACATTCCTTATATTAACCCTAAAATGACTGGTTAAGCCCCCTCCCGCTCTAATTTCGTGATTTACTTTGTAATGCTTGATTAAATTAAACAATGCCACTTCCTGACATTTTTTCCGTAAGAGTCTAGGGCATCTTTTGAAACAAATTTTTTGAAAATCGGACCTGCTGTTCCAAGTCACTTGACCTTTTGTCTTTCAGGCCGAAAATGGCTCATTTTCGTGATTTGTGTACAAAACATATGGAAATATCATTTTTACAAAAAAGAGATAAAACATTGGTTGTTTGGTCTTTTTTTAAAGTTTAGGTGTCAAAATTAGTAAGGTCTTTGTGCATGGGGGGGGGGGGTCACAATCCTTTTTCCTCAATTTTTAAAGGAGTCCAGAGTTAAATTCTGGGGCCATAGGCAATGGTTATCTATTGTTGCCAAGTCTTGCTTATTGTTCTCTGAGAGCCATTAACCTTCATTGTTGCCTTTCGTAGTTCTCTGAGGGTGATATTATAGTATTAATGACTGCTTTGAGAGAAACAGTTGTTTTTATACGCTCAAGGGAAGGTTAGAATTGTGCTATTGCCCAAAGCGTCCAGAGGGCAACAGCCCAATTGTAACCTTCCCGAGAGCGTATAAAAACAACATTTTCTCGAATATTAAAGCAGTCATTAATACTTTTATATGCCAAAAAAAAAAAGAGTCAACTTATGACACCACCTTGGCCTTTCTCTAGTTTATCTGCGCGGATGTTTTTTATGAGTGTATCTTTGAGAGTAGACCAGATCTAGATTCTAGTCTGAGCAAGATATTTTTACAATTTTGGGGGTGGGCCGGCCCTTTGGGGAATATGGAGAAAAACCTGCGCTTTCATATGACACCTCACTTATTGAGTATCACCTTCAAGATCACGAGCAATATTAGTTTGAATCTCTGGTTAGTAGAACATCGACCAATTTAGCATGAGTGCGCAATGGTCAATGCATAGGGATGTGTGCAATCTCTACGGGAAGGATTTTAGCACTACTAGACCTACTTACTAGAATCTAGGCCTACTAGATCTATTTTGAAAAAATTTATGGAGAATTTAACGTACCCTTTTGGTGTTCGTACTGTCAGCAAGTCTTGCATTTGATCATCAATCAAGAAGTTGAAATCTTGGGAGAGTTTCTTCAGCCATTTTTGCCTTTGGTTTGGAATTTAGTACGATCGAGATTACCGTACTGAAATTACCGACCAATTCTTCGCACACGTACGGTATCCTCGATCGCTCAACCAGTTTTTAACATGTGAACCTATGGGTATTTCACCAAGACTCAACTATTTTCCCGGGTAACCATGGTAACTGGATGTTCACCGGGAATTTTAAAGGAATAGTTAAAGTTCATGACTGCAATTTTGACCAATCAGATGGCTGGATTTCTTAAGTGAGGTATATAAATGTAATTTATTATTATTATTATTATTATTATTATTATTATAATGCTTGTTATACTTGAACTCCAATCATGTCTCTGTTGATTGTGTGTTTCTTTTACAGATCCAGTACCAGAAAATTGTTTTTTAATTGGTAGTTAAATTAAAACTGCCACTCTTCTTAAATGTGGCCAGAGATTAAATCTGGCTCAACTTTAGGGTCTGTTGATTTCATCAGGGTCAAGTTTCAACCCTTGAATTTGTTCATAAGTTAGTGTAACAGACAGTGTAACATAAAACAATCAGCTTGGTCATTGAAATGAAAATGAGAATGAAATGTCATACAGTTTCACAGTTACATTTTTCTTTCCTATCAACGTTCTGTTATATACAATGTAATTTTCATAATAATGTCTATAATGTTCTTTCGGTAACTGTGTTAATTTATTATGGGCGTTCCCAACTCAAGCTACGCTTTCCGGGTTTTCGCCTCCTTCCGTATCTGAATTAATTACTGTATACTCTATGTTGAAATAATTGTTACATATATCATGTATATATACATTGTGTTTTATATTGTGCTGTTGAGAAGGAAATAAATGTTAATAAATACAAAATACAAAATACAAATACATTCATTTTTGGAGACAATGAAATGGTTGATATTTGGCACATTATACATGTAGGAAGGTGAACTCAATTTACTATACAACAAAAGAAATTTGTCAAAAGGTATGTGTTGGGCCTGACAATCCCTTCTGCCTGTAACATATACCCAGGAATGTACAAAATTGTATTCATAGAATGCTTGAATAGTAGTTTCTGTATATTTTGCATTTGGAAGTTATTATCTTTATGGTATATATATATTTGAAAACTTTGATAATAATGACTTTTATTTTTTTGGTCATTTTCTCCCCTTATCTAGACCCGATGGTCAATATATCCCTCTCGGTTAATGAAATGTATAATCTGACATCACCGGGGTATCCATCAAACTACGACATCAACCTTAACCTCCAGTGGACTGTGTTAGCGCCCTCTGACTACCGTGTCATGATCTCCGTAACAGACTTCAGGTCGGAGGCTGGCTATGATTACCTCCACATTGGTGGGGGATTGACCTTTGACCCTGATACGTGGATGGTACGGTTCTCGGGGACTTATGACTCACCTACGGAGGTTCTACTACCAGGGAGAGAAGCTTGGATTTTGTTCTTCAGCGATTACAGTACTACGAATGTAGGATTCGTTCTTGAAATTACAACTTCTAGTGAAGCAGGTGGGTAAAGAAAGCAATATCTTTGTGATCTTAAATTTATAGTGCATACTTTAATCGTTTTAGTTTTGCAAGGTTTATTTCATGTCTTTTGCCGTTATGTGATTGTACTTGAAATTAAGAATGATTGATATGTTTTTTTGTTTTTTAATAAATCTATTTTTATGAATCAATAAAGTTTGTACAATAAGCCCAAGGCTACCTGTTCTTTGATATGGAAGAGAATAAAAGTCTACATAAAAATGTGCGTATAATGATACATATATCAAAATTGATAATGTAACGAATAAAAAACTTTGTAATAAAAAGTGTGAGTTTAATGCTGCTATTGCCTAATTTGAAGTTTCCCCTTAAGGTTTACAATAGACTTATACAGCATCTTATATTTACTTGTTTGTTTCAGAAAATATTACCAGTAATAAATACAATTTTCATAGATTATGTTGTTAACGTGTCAGCCATGCTTTAACACTCCGTAGAGAAACATTTTGCAAGGTGGTATTTTTCCAATAGACCAGTTTACTAACCTCCTCATAGTTTATGCATACTTTTGAAACAAAGGTTGTTCTGGAGAAAGTAAAATCTTGCCTGAGGCTTGTCCAACATAGCAAAAAGTAATGTATGCAGACTGGATTCCAAGTATTATAGTTCATGCATCAATAACAGGTTAATGGAATACCTTGACACCAGGTTCCCTGGAAAGAAACATCCACAAATTTGAATATATCAGTAAACCGGTATATAGTACAGTGCTATAGATCAGTTTGTAGTTAGCACATGGTACAAATGATCCCCAAATATTCACAGATCTTTGACACATGGAGAGGTCCCCCTTTTTGCAATAATCACTGCCAAAGTCATGGAAGTGTCCCATGAATAACTTTTGTTTGCTAATCTTTGTATCATAGAATCTACCATCTGTGAATAAATGTATAATGATGACAACTTTCATGAGCAGGTATCCAGTATTCTTCTCAGTGGGTTTCACAATTTTGAACAAATGACTTTATCTGCCCATGCTCAGCTTGTATCTACAAACTGGCTCATTAATAATTTTAATTTATTGTTTCAAGTTAGAGAATAGTGCCTTAAGAAAGCATATTTTTCTTAATCTGAACATTAATGCATGGACTGCTTTATTCTTCCAGCCGGTGAATGTGGAGCATCTTTCATCTCCTGTGTAAAGAGAGATGTCTGTATTTCCAACTCGACTTCCTGTGATGGGTCGCCTGGATGCTTTAATGGATATGATGAGTGGAATTGTGGTATGTAACACAGTGTTGGTTGAAGAATGCAAGCCCAGAAGATTTCTGAGCTCATCTTGAGTGCCCGGCTCATTGCTGTTTATACCCTAGTCACGTACGGTCAAACTGGCTTCACACCGACTCCAAAATGACAGATAGTTTACCATTAAGGGTAATGTAATGGCGGTCTGGTGTCAGTCTCGTTGGTGTGATAGCTGGGCCGGGAAGTACACGTATCTTACCTGCATAGCTGGTGTGATACACACGTAGGCAACGTTTTTTCTGATAGTAGCGACAGTTTGTTTCCACCATGGAAGGTGGTGCTGCAACTTTGATAGCTTAAGAACCATTGAACAGATTTTCACCAAACTTGCATGAAGTATATGTGTGAGCATCCAAGGAAGAAGTGAATAGATGTTGTGGGTAATATGGCACAGGGTTGCAAGAGTGTTAAGAAATAATTTTTAAAAAGATCTTGATACAATGCAATTTGAATCAGACTTTGAGGAAGCATGCAAGAGAATGCAAGGATGAACACTATGTTGGTTGTAATAGGTCAAAGGTCAGAGGTTACAGGGTCATAACAATGTTTAAAAATGCAAACTTGAACAGATTCGAAGCAGTTCAACCCAAAGCTGAAGGAAGTACTAAGCATGAGCATCCAAGGATGAACTCATAGCATTTTTAGTGTAAAGGGTCATAGGTCATAAAAGTGTTTAAAATACCAAAAAATATTTTGTCCCCATGGTAACGTGCAAAGCATTAAATCAATTCAAACCAAATTTAGCTCAAGTATATGTTTAATCATGTAAGGACGCACTGATTAGATTTGGAGTGTAAGGTTGCAGTGTCAATAAAGTGTAACAATTAAAGAAAATACATGTGTAATGTGACTGCGAAAATGTAAAAACCGTTGAAGCTATCATTACAAAACATGGGATAAGTTTGTATGAGCATGTAGGAATGAGCTCATTGGAATTTAGGTGTAAGATATCATAGGTGATAGATCTCATGAAATAAGAAATGTTTTATAACAGTGACGAGTGACCAAACACTGAACCAATTTCCACCAAACTTGGCTCAAGCGTGAATGAGCATGAAAAGATTTAAAACAAAGAGTTTGGTTCATGAGGTTGGTGATTATAGAGACCGGTGGTCATTTGCTTGACCAGTCATGAGGCATGGTCAGTCGTGCTTTGCCAGTTATTTGGCATGAACAATTATATCGGGTGTTTTAAGTCCTAATATTAGAATTGTGGGGCATATAGGCAAGACCATGCATGTTTGATTTAATTTTTTTTAAATATGAAAGCTTGACAGCTTACCAGCAATTTTGCCAGAATTGTTTACTCCTAATTGCTTGTTTGTACAGTTTTTTTATTTATAATAATGATACTAGTGATGATGATAAGAATAGTAATAATGATATATTAATGATTGTGATGAATAAGAAGAAGAAGGAGAAGAGGAACAGGAAGGATAAAAAGAAGGAGAAGGGGAGAGGAAGAGGAGGAAGAAATGAATTTCTGTAAAGTGCATTGAATGAACTCACGTATATGCCTGTGTAAATGATAGTTTAATCATATTCCATACTTTCCATTCTTCCCATAACACCAGACCCAAGCTGTCCCTCTTCTGATATTCAGACAATTCCCACCTCGATGCCCTACTCTGTCATTTCTGACAACTACCCATTAGCCTACGGCAACGACATTGAGTGCGTATGGGTACTCCAAGCAGAGGCTTACCACTCCCTCGTCATCGACATACCAAACTTCTACTTGGAAGAGGACTACGACTTCTTCTACATCGGGCTTGGCCACGATCGATTGTTGGAGTCGGGTTCACTTGTCGTTACGCTGACCGGATATATTGCATCAACAAGATACTATCTTGGGATCGAGTCATATCTGTATTTTTATACTGATTACTCAAATGGATACTCTGGGTTCGTTCTAAATGTGACATCCATTCCATTTGAATGTAAGTAGGAGGACAATGTACTACAAATGTCCAATCTCTTTATCTTCTTTAAAATGACGAGTACCTATACTAAAACTAATACATAAAATAAATAAACAAAAATTGAGTTTATTTAGGATCATGATGTATTTGCCTCTTTTGCGCTTATCTGTTCGATGCTATTTAGTGTGTCTCTTGTTCAAGAAAGCATAGTTCAGAATTATCAAATTATATATCTGCAAATGGTGAAGTTAACATAACATATTCCTTAATAGTGTTTGCTCCAATAATGCATGCTCATAGAGACAACTTTTCATATTCTTCCCCAGTAACTGAGTCTTGTGATGCAGACCAAAGAGTTCCAGTGGGATCTGCTTGTAATGGAGTTACTGATTGTGTTGATGATTCAGATGAATTTGGATGCGGTAAGTTGATTATTTCCCCATTTCTCTCTATTGTCATTGGGGTAAGATAGCTGACACAGTCAGTTACTTTGTCTCCCTTTGTCTCCCTCTCAGACAAATGATTGAGGCTTCAAGTCTTGCTCAAAGAGATGACTGGAGCATGTCTTTTGGGTAAATGTTAGGTGATTAAATGATATTAGCTGTTATCCATTATTGAATGATTGAGTTGACATATATTTCCATCATCATAATAAAATATGGAACATCATTACAGATAAATATATAAAAATTACCACCCCCCTCCCCCCACCCCACCACGAAAAACAAAATGGAAACAATGAATTTCAAAACAGATGAAAGTATAAACCAAAGTACAATTGGAAAATGGTGTGTCTGTAAAAGCCGTTAAGGTTTGACAATTGAATGCACCATGCGCACAAGAAATAACAGCATGTGTTGTCAGTAAAGAAAAATGAATTGCATTTCTGTATAAATGATGCATTATACAGAGAGAGAACAAATGTTTCTAGTAGAGTCTTTTAAATGAATTGTTAATCAAACAGACTGTAAAATAGAAGGCAGAGATTTCCAAAGTTTAGGAACAACATAACTTAAGGAATTGTTTAATGCATTAGAAGAAGCGTAGGTTTGGAGGAAGGGAGTTTGAGAAGAATTGTTGCTTAAATGATGCAATTTTTCATTGATTGATATCATAAATGTGTAAAGTACGGAATATTCTAAACACAGGTTGGGAGGGAGCTCAGAAAGGGGGATTAGAACAAAGTTGTTATACCCTATTTTTGAGCCTGAATAATTTGAGTAACCTAAGGGATGTTGCATCGCCCAGACAGAATTGAAATACATAATAGGGACCTGGTAATGAGGATTAATGCCTATTACCAAAGGGCACTGGCGCGCATCGACTCGGTTTCGAACCTGTGTCAACGGATTACGAGACCACTGCTCTACCAACTGAGCTATCGCACCTCCTGTCTTGTCAAAGGATATTAATAATAATAATAATAATTATAGTTCAGTTCTTGTATAGCGCATAATATACGTTATGAAATAACATCTCTATGCTGCGGCAGGACTTGAACCATGAAACATGTAATCGACAGTCTTTTGGCGTACAGTGTGTATCCACTAGACCATCGCTAATACAGCCTGAAGGTATAAACATTGAATAAATCAATTTTCTCTTGAAAAAAAATTAGAAGATGAAAAGCCAGTCATCAATGGATGCCCAAGTGATCAGAATGTCACCACAGACTTTGGGAATGCTACAGCTGTAGTAACCTGGACACCCCCTACAGCAACAGATAACTCTGGTAACCAGACACTGACATCCTCTCACAATCCTGGAGACTACTTTCCTATTGGAAACAACACGGTAACCTACTATGCAAGAGATTATGCAGGAAATACAGAAGCATGCTCCTTCTTTGTAGTTGTGTCTGGTAAGTGCTTGTCTTGTACTTCATCTTCTGGAAAACAGTTTGGTAGTCTTTAGTGAAAGCTGAATTCAGATTTTAGAAATGCAACATTTTTATATCTCATATAATTTTTCTCACAGATAATGAGAATCCAGTCATCAGTGGATGCCCAAGTGATCAGAATGTCACCAGAGACAATGGTAATGAAACAGCTTTAGTAATCTGGACACCACCTACAGCAACAGATAACTCTGGTAACCAGACACTGACATCCACTAGCAATCCTGGAGATTACTTTCCTATTGGAAACAACACGGTGACCTACACATCAACAGATGGTGCAGGAAATACAGAGACATGCACCTTTATTCTAGTTGTTACAGGCAAGTGAATTTTATCATATAAGATAATATCATCATTATTTTTTTTCCAGCGGGTAACTTTTCCAAAATCATTAATGATGATGATCATCATTCAAATGATATTTTGTGAGGTTGTTATTGTAAACAAAAATAATAATAGACTTTACGAGGTAACTTGTTAAGTGCTAGGCAAATTTGGATAAATATTAATGATGATAATGTCACATAAATAGCAATTCAATCACATTCCTTATATTAACCCTAAAATGACTGGTTAAGCCCCCTCCCGCTCTAATTTCGTGATTTACTTTGTAATGCTTGATTAAATTAAACAATGCCACTTCCTGACATTTTTTCCGTAAGAGTCTAGGGCATCTTTTGAAACAAATTTTTTGAAAATCGGACCTGCTGTTCCAAGTCACTTGACCTTTTGTCTTTCAGGCCGAAAATGGCTCATTTTCGTGATTTGTGTACAAAACATATGGAAATATCATTTTTACAAAAAAGAGATAAAACATTGGTTGTTTGGTCTTTTTTTAAAGTTTAGGTGTCAAAATTAGTAAGGTCTTTGTGCATGGGGGGGGGGGGGTCACAATCCTTTTTCCTCAATTTTTAAAGGAGTCCAGAGTTAAATTCTGGGGCCATAGGCAATGGTTATCTATTGTTGCCAAGTCTTGCTTATTGTTCTCTGAGAGCCATTAACCTTCATTGTTGCCTTTCGTAGTTCTCTGAGGGTGATATTATAGTATTAATGACTGCTTTGAGAGAAACAGTTGTTTTTATACGCTCAAGGGAAGGTTAGAATTGTGCTATTGCCCAAAGCGTCCAGAGGGCAACAGCCCAATTGTAACCTTCCCGAGAGCGTATAAAAACAACATTTTCTCGAATATTAAAGCAGTCATTAATACTTTTATATGCCAAAAAAAAAAAGAGTCAACTTATGACACCACCTTGGCCTTTCTCTAGTTTATCTGCGCGGATGTTTTTTATGAGTGTATCTTTGAGAGTAGACCAGATCTAGATTCTAGTCTGAGCAAGATATTTTTACAATTTTGGGGGTGGGCCGGCCCTTTGGGGAATATGGAGAAAAACCTGCGCTTTCATATGACACCTCACTTATTGAGTATCACCTTCAAGATCACGAGCAATATTAGTTTGAATCTCTGGTTAGTAGAACATCGACCAATTTAGCATGAGTGCGCAATGGTCAATGCATAGGGATGTGTGCAATCTCTACGGGAAGGATTTTAGCACTACTAGACCTACTTACTAGAATCTAGGCCTACTAGATCTATTTTGAAAAAATTTATGGAGAATTTAACGTACCCTTTTGGTGTTCGTACTGTCAGCAAGTCTTGCATTTGATCATCAATCAAGAAGTTGAAATCTTGGGAGAGTTTCTTCAGCCATTTTTGCCTTTGGTTTGGAATTTAGTACGATCGAGATTACCGTACTGAAATTACCGACCAATTCTTCGCACACGTACGGTATCCTCGATCGCTCAACCAGTTTTTAACATGTGAACCTATGGGTATTTCACCAAGACTCAACTATTTTCCCGGGTAACCATGGTAACTGGATGTTCACCGGGAATTTTAAAGGAATAGTTAAAGTTCATGACTGCAATTTTGACCAATCAGATGGCTGGATTTCTTAAGTGAGGTATATAAATGTAATTTATATTATTATTATTATTATTATTATTATTATAATGCTTGTTATACTTGAACTCCAATCATGTCTCTGTTGATTGTGTGTTTCTTTTACAGATCCAGTACCAGAAAATTGTTTTTTAATTGGTAGTTAAATTAAAACTGCCACTCTTCTTAAATGTGGCCAGAGATTAAATCTGGCTCAACTTTAGGGTCTGTTGATTTCATCAGGGTCAAGTTTCAACCCTTGAATTTGTTCATAAGTTAGTGTAACAGACAGTGTAACATAAAACAATCAGCTTGGTCATTGAAATGAAAATGAGAATGAAATGTCATACAGTTTCACAGTTACATTTTTCTTTCCTATCAACGTTCTGTTATATACAATGTAATTTTCATAATAATGTCTATAATGTTCTTTCGGTAACTGTGTTAATTTATTATGGGCGTTCCCAACTCAAGCTACGCTTTCCGGGTTTTCGCCTCCTTCCGTATCTGAATTAATTACTGTATACTCTATGTTGAAATAATTGTTACATATATCATGTATATATACATTGTGTTTTATATTGTGCTGTTGAGAAGGAAATAAATGTTAATAAATACAAAATACAAAATACAAATACATTCATTTTTGGAGACAATGAAATGGTTGATATTTGGCACATTATACATGTAGGAAGGTGAACTCAATTTACTATACAACAAAAGAAATTTGTCAAAAGGTATGTGTTGGGCCTGACAATCCCTTCTGCCTGTAACATATACCCAGGAATGTACAAAATTGTATTCATAGAATGCTTGAATAGTAGTTTCTGTATATTTTGCATTTGGAAGTTATTATCTTTATGGTATATATATATTTGAAAACTTTGATAATAATGACTTTTATTTTTTTGGTCATTTTCTCCCCTTATCTAGACCCGATGGTCAATATATCCCTCTCGGTTAATGAAATGTATAATCTGACATCACCGGGGTATCCATCAAACTACGACATCAACCTTAACCTCCAGTGGACTGTGTTAGCGCCCTCTGACTACCGTGTCATGATCTCCGTAACAGACTTCAGGTCGGAGGCTGGCTATGATTACCTCCACATTGGTGGGGGATTGACCTTTGACCCTGATACGTGGATGGTACGGTTCTCGGGGACTTATGACTCACCTACGGAGGTTCTACTACCAGGGAGAGAAGCTTGGATTTTGTTCTTCAGCGATTACAGTACTACGAATGTAGGATTCGTTCTTGAAATTACAACTTCTAGTGAAGCAGGTGGGTAAAGAAAGCAATATCTTTGTGATCTTAAATTTATAGTGCATACTTTAATCGTTTTAGTTTTGCAAGGTTTATTTCATGTCTTTTGCCGTTATGTGATTGTACTTGAAATTAAGAATGATTGATATGTTTTTTTGTTTTTTAATAAATCTCCTTTTATGAATCAATAAAGTTTGTACAATAAGCCCACTTGAGGCTACCTGTTCTTTGATATGGAAGAGAATAAAAGTCTACATAAAAATGTGCGTATAATGATACATATATCAAAATTGATAATGTAACGAATAAAAAACTTTGTAATAAAAAGTGTGAGTTTAATGCTGCTATTGCCTAATTTGAAGTTTCCCCTTTAGGTTTACAACAGACTTATATCTTATATATACTTGTTTGTTTCAGAAAATATTACCAGTAATAAATACAATTTTCATAGATTATGTTGTTAACGTGTCAGCCATGCTTTAACACTCCGTAGAGAAACATTTTGCAAGGTGGTATTTTTCCAATAGACCAGTTTACTAACCTCCTCATAGTTTATGCATACTTTTGAAACAAAGGTTGTTCTGGAGAAAGTAAAATCTTGCCTGAGGCTTGTCCAACATAGCAAAAAGTAATGTATGCAGACTGGATTCCAAGTATTATAGTTCATGCATCAATAACAGGTTAATGGAATACCTTGACACCAGGTTCCCTGGAAAGAAACATCCACAAATTTGAATATATCAGTAAACCGGTATATAGTACAGTGCTATAGATCAGTTTGTAGTTAGCACATGGTACAAATGATCCCCAAATATTCACAGATCTTTGACACATGGAGAGGTCCCCCTTTTTGCAATAATCACTGCCAAAGTCATGGAAGTGTCTCATGAATAACTTTTGTTTGCCAATCTTTGTATCATAGAATCTACCATCGGTGCATAAATGTATAATGATGACAACTTTCATGAGCAGGTATCCAGTATTCTTCTCAGTGGGTTTCACAATTTTGAACAAATGACTTTATCTGCCCATGCTCAGCTTGTATCTACAAACTGGCTCATTAATAATTTTAATTTATTGTTTCAAGTTAGAGAATAGTGCCTTAAGAAAGCATATTTTTCTTAATCTGAACATTAATGCATGGACTGCTTTATTCTTCCAGCCGGTGAATGTGGAGCATCTTTCATCTCCTGTTTAAAGAGAGATGTCTGTATTTCCAACTCGACTTCCTGTGATGGGTCGCCTGGATGCTTTAATGGATATGATGAGTGGAATTGTGGTATGTAACACAGTGTTGGTTGAAGAATGCAAGCCCAGAAGATTTCTGAGCTCATCTTGAGTGCCCGGCTCATTGCTGTTTATACCCTAGTCACGTACGGTCAAACTGGCTTCACACCGACTCCAAAATGACAGATAGTTTACCATTAAGGGTAATGTAATGGCGGTCTGGTGTCAGTCTCGTTGGTGTGATAGCTGGGCCGGGAAGTACACGTATCTTACCTGCATAGCTGGTGTGATACACACGTAGGCAACGTTTTTTCTGATAGTAGCGACAGTTTGTTTCCACCATGGAAGGTGGTGCTGCAACTTTGATAGCTTAAGAACCATTGAACAGATTTTCACCAAACTTGCATGAAGTATATGTTTGAGCATCCAAGGAAGAAGTGAATAGATGTTGTGGGTAATATGGCACAGGGTTGCAAGAGTGTTAAGAAATAATTTTAAAAAAGATCTTGATACAATGCAATTTGAATCAGACTTTGAGGAAGCATGCAAGAGAATGCAAGGATGAACACAATGTTGGTTGTAATAGGTCAAAGGTCAGAGGTTACAGGGTCATAACAATGTTTAAAAATGCAAACTTGAACAGATTCGAAGCAGTTCAACCCAAAGCTGAAGGAAGTACTAAGCATGAGCATCCAAGGATGAACTCATAGCATTTTTAGTGTAAAGGGTCATAGGTCATAAAAGTGTTTAAAATACCAAAAAATATTTTGTCCCCATGGTAACGTGCAAAGCATTAAATCAATTCAAACCAAATTTAGCTCAAGTATATGTTTAATCATGTAAGGACGCACTGATTAGATTTGGAGTGTAAGGTTGCAGTGTCAATAAAGTGTAACAATTAAAGAAAATACATGTGTAATGTGACTGCGAAAATGTAAAAACCGTTGAAGCTATCATTACAAAACATGGGATAAGTTTGTATGAGCATGTAGGAATGAGCTCATTGGAATTTAGGTGTAAGATATCATAGGTGATAGATCTCATGAAATAAGAAATGTTTTATAACAGTGACGAGTGACCAAACACTGAACCAATTTCCACCAAACTTGGCTCAAGCGTGAATGAGCATGAAAAGATTTAAAACAAAGAGTTTGGTTCATGAGGTTGGTGATTATAGAGACCGGTGGTCATTTGCTTGACCAGTCATGAGGCATGGTCAGTCGTGCTTTGCCAGTTATTTGGCATGAACAATTATATCGGGTGTTTTAAGTCCTAATATTAGAATTGTGGGGCATATAGGCAAGACCATGCATGTTTGATTTAATTTTTTTTAAATATGAAAGCTTGACAGCTTACCAGCAATTTTGCCAGAATTGTTTACTCCTAATTGCTTGTTTGTACAGTTTTTTTATTTATAATAATGATACTAGTGATGATGATAAGAATAGTAATAATGATATATTAATGATTGTGATGAATAAGAAGAAGAAGGAGAAGAGGAACAGGAAGGATAAAAAGAAGGAGAAGGGGAGAGGAAGAGGAGGAAGAAATGAATTTCTGTAAAGTGCATTGAATGAACTCACGTATATGCCTGTGTAAATGATAGTTTAATCATATTCCATACTTTCCATTCTTCCCATAACACCAGACCCAAGCTGTCCCTCTTCTGATATTCAGACAATTCCCACCTCGATGCCCTACTCTGTCATTTCTGACAACTACCCATTAGCCTACGGCAACGACATTGAGTGCGTATGGGTACTCCAAGCAGAGGCTTACCACTCCCTCGTCATCGACATACCAAACTTCTACTTGGAAGAGGACTACGACTTCTTCTACATCGGGCTTGGCCACGATCGATTGTTGGAGTCGGGTTCACTTGTCGTTACGCTGACCGGATATATTGCATCAACAAGATACTATCTTGGGATCGAGTCATATCTGTATTTTTATACTGATTACTCAAATGGATACTCTGGGTTCGTTCTAAATGTGACATCCATTCCATTTGAATGTAAGTAGGAGGACAATGTACTACAAATGTCCAATCTCTTTATCTTCTTTAAAATGACGAGTACCTATACTAAAACTAATACATAAAATAAATAAACAAAAATTGAGTTTATTTAGGATCATGATGTATTTGCCTCTTTTGCGCTTATCTGTTCGATGCTATTTAGTGTGTCTCTTGTTCAAGAAAGCATAGTTCAGAATTATCAAATTATATATCTGCAAATGGTGAAGTTAACATAACATATTCCTTAATAGTGTTTGCTCCAATAATGCATGCTCATAGAGACAACTTTTCATATTCTTCCCCAGTAACTGAGTCTTGTGATGCAGACCAAAGAGTTCCAGTGGGATCTGCTTGTAATGGAGTTACTGATTGTGTTGATGATTCAGATGAATTTGGATGCGGTAAGTTGATTATTTCCCCATTTCTCTCTATTGTCATTGGGGTAAGATAGCTGACACAGTCAGTTACTTTGTCTCCCTTTGTCTCCCTCTCAGACAAATGATTGAGGCTTCAAGTCTTGCTCAAAGAGATGACTGGAGCATGTCTTTTGGGTAAATGTTAGGTGATTAAATGATATTAGCTGTTATCCATTATTGAATGATTGAGTTGACATATATTTCCATCATCATAATAAAATATGGAACATCATTACAGATAAATATATAAAAATTACCACCCCCCTCCCCCCACCCCACCACGAAAAACAAAATGGAAACAATGAATTTCAAAACAGATGAAAGTATAAACCAAAGTACAATTGGAAAATGGTGTGTCTGTAAAAGCCGTTAAGGTTTGACAATTGAATGCACCATGCGCACAAGAAATAACAGCATGTGTTGTCAGTAAAGAAAAATGAATTGCATTTCTGTATAAATGATGCATTATACAGAGAGAGAACAAATGTTTCTAGTAGAGTCTTTTAAATGAATTGTTAATCAAACAGACTGTAAAATAGAAGGCAGAGATTTCCAAAGTTTAGGAACAACATAACTTAAGGAATTGTTTAATGCATTAGAAGAAGCGTAGGTTTGGAGGAAGGGAGTTTGAGAAGAATTGTTGCTTAAATGATGCAATTTTTCATTGATTGATATCATAAATGTGTAAAGTACGGAATATTCTAAACACAGGTTGGGAGGGAGCTCAGAAAGGGGGATTAGAACAAAGTTGTTATACCCTATTTTTGAGCCTGAATAATTTGAGTAACCTAAGGGATGTTGCATCGCCCAGACAGAATTGAAATACATAATAGGGACCTGGTAATGAGGATTAATGCCTATTACCAAAGGGCACTGGCGCGCATCGACTCGGTTTCGAACCTGTGTCAACGGATTACGAGACCACTGCTCTACCAACTGAGCTATCGCACCTCCTGTCTTGTCAAAGGATATTAATAATAATAATAATAATTATAGTTCAGTTCTTGTATAGCGCATAATATACGTTATGAAATAACATCTCTATGCTGCGGCAGGACTTGAACCATGAAACATGTAATCGACAGTCTTTTGGCGTACAGTGTGTATCCACTAGACCATCGCTAATACAGCCTGAAGGTATAAACATTGAATAAATCAATTTTCTCTTGAAAAAAAATTAGAAGATGAAAAGCCAGTCATCAATGGATGCCCAAGTGATCAGAATGTCACCACAGACTTTGGGAATGCTACAGCTGTAGTAACCTGGACACCCCCTACAGCAACAGATAACTCTGGTAACCAGACACTGACATCCTCTCACAATCCTGGAGACTACTTTCCTATTGGAAACAACACGGTAACCTACTATGCAAGAGATTATGCAGGAAATACAGAAGCATGCTCCTTCTTTGTAGTTGTGTCTGGTAAGTGCTTGTCTTGTACTTCATCTTCTGGAAAACAGTTTGGTAGTCTTTAGTGAAAGCTGAATTCAGATTTTAGAAATGCAACATTTTTATATCTCATATAATTTTTCTCACAGATAATGAGAATCCAGTCATCAGTGGATGCCCAAGTGATCAGAATGTCACCAGAGACAATGGTAATGAAACAGCTTTAGTAATCTGGACACCACCTACAGCAACAGATAACTCTGGTAACCAGACACTGACATCCACTAGCAATCCTGGAGATTACTTTCCTATTGGAAACAACACGGTGACCTACACATCAACAGATGGTGCAGGAAATACAGAGACATGCACCTTTATTCTAGTTGTTACAGGCAAGTGAATTTTATCATATAAGATAATATCATCATTATTTTTTTTCCAGCGGGTAACTTTTGCAAAATCATTAATGATGATCATCATTCAAATGATATTTTGTAAGGTTGTTATTGTAAACAAAAATAATAATAGACTTTACGAGGTAACTTGTTAAGTGCTAGGCAAATTTGGATAAATATTAATGATGATAATGTCACATAAATAGCAATTCAATCACATTCCTTATATTAACCCTAAAATGACTGGTTAAGCCCCCTCCCGCTCTAATTTCGTGATTTACTTTGTAATGCTTGATTAAATTAAACAATGCCACTTCCTGACATTTTTTCCGTAAGAGTCTAGGGCATCTTTTGAAACAAATTTTTTGAAAATCGGACCTGCTGTTCCAAGTCACTTGACCTTTTGTCTTTCAGGCCGAAAATGGCTCATTTTCGTGATTTGTGTACAAAACATATGGAAATATCATTTTTACAAAAAAGAGATAAAACATTGGTTGTTTGGTCTTTTTTTAAAGTTTAGGTGTCGAAATTAGTAAGGTCTTTGTGCATGGGGGGGGGGGGGGGGTCACAATCCTTTTTCCTTAATTTTTAAAGGAGTCCAGAGTTAAATTCTGGGGCCATAGGCAATGGTTATCTATTGTTGCCAAGTCTTGCTTATTGTTCTCTGAGAGCCATTAACCTTCATTGTTGCCTTTCGTAGTTCTCTGAGGGTGATATTATAGTATTAATGACTGCTTTGAGAGAAACAGTTGTTTTTATACGCTCAAGGGAAGGTTAGAATTGTGCTATTGCCCAAAGCGTCCAGAGGGCAACAGCCCAATTGTAACCTTCCCGAGAGCGTATAAAAACAACATTTTCTCGAATATTAAAGCAGTCATTAATACTTTTATATGCCAAAAAAAAAAAGAGTCAACTTATGACACCACCTTGGCCTTTCTCTAGTTTATCTGCGCGGATGTTTTTTATGAGTGTATCTTTGAGAGTAGACCAGATCTAGATTCTAGTCTGAGCAAGATATTTTTACAATTTTGGGGGTGGGCCGGCCCTTTGGGGAATATGGAGAAAAACCTGCGCTTTCATATGACACCTCACTTATTGAGTATCACCTTCAAGATCACGAGCAATATTAGTTTGAATCTCTGGTTAGTAGAACATCGACCAATTTAGCATGAGTGCGCAATGGTCAATGCATAGGGATGTGTGCAATCTCTACGGGAAGGATTTTAGCACTACTAGACCTACTTACTAGAATCTAGGCCTACTAGATCTATTTTGAAAAAATTTATGGAGAATTTAACGTACCCTTTTGGTGTTCGTACTGTCAGCAAGTCTTGCATTTGATCATCAATCAAGAAGTTGAAATCTTGGGAGAGTTTCTTCAGCCATTTTTGCCTTTGGTTTGGAATTTAGTACGATCGAGATTACCGTACTGAAATTACCGGCCAATTCTTCGCACACGTACGGTATCCTCGATCGCTCAACCAGTTTTTAACATGTGAACCTATGGGTATTTCACCAAGACTCAACTATTTTCCCGGGTAACCATGGTAACTGGATGTTCACCGGGAATTTTAAAGGAATAGTTAAAGTTCATGACTGCAATTTTGACCAATCAGATGGCTGGATTTCTTAAGTGAGGTATATAAATGTAATTTATTATTATTATTATTATTATTATTATTATTATAATGCTTGTTATACTTGAACTCCAATCATGTCTCTGTTGATTGTGTGTTTCTTTTACAGATCCAGTACCAGAAAATTGTTTTTTAATTGGTAGTTAAATTAAAACTGCCACTCTTCTTAAATGTGGCCAGAGATTAAATCTGGCTCAACTTTAGGGTCTGTTGATTTCATCAGGGTCAAGTTTCAACCCTTGAATTTGTTCATAAGTTAGTGTAACAGACAGTGTAACATAAAACAATCAGCTTGGTCATTGAAATGAAAATGAGAATGAAATGTCATACAGTTTCACAGTTACATTTTTCTTTCCTATCAACGTTCTGTTATATACAATGTAATTTTCATAATAATGTCTATAATGTTCTTTCGGTAACTGTGTTAATTTATTATGGGCGTTCCCAACTCAAGCTACGCTTTCCGGGTTTTCGCCTCCTTCCGTATCTGAATTAATTACTGTATACTCTATGTTGAAATAATTGTTACATATATCATGTATATATACATTGTGTTTTATATTGTGCTGTTGAGAAGGAAATAAATGTTAATAAATACAAAATACAAAATACAAATACATTCATTTTTGGAGACAATGAAATGGTTGATATTTGGCACATTATACATGTAGGAAGGTGAACTCAATTTACTATACAACAAAAGAAATTTGTCAAAAGGTATGTGTTGGGCCTGACAATCCCTTCTGCCTGTAACATATACCCAGGAATGTACAAAATTGTATTCATAGAATGCTTGAATAGTAGTTTCTGTATATTTTGCATTTGGAAGTTATTATCTTTATGGTATATATATATTTGAAAACTTTGATAATAATGACTTTTATTTTTTTGGTCATTTTCTCCCCTTATCTAGACCCGATGGTCAATATATCCCTCTCGGTTAATGAAATGTATAATCTGACATCACCGGGGTATCCATCAAACTACGACATCAACCTTAACCTCCAGTGGACTGTGTTAGCGCCCTCTGACTACCGTGTCATGATCTCCGTAACAGACTTCAGGTCGGAGGCTGGCTATGATTACCTCCACATTGGTGGGGGATTGACCTTTGACCCTGATACGTGGATGGTACGGTTCTCTGGGACTTATGACTCACCTACGGAGGTTCTACTACCAGGGAGAGAAGCTTGGATTTTGTTCTTCAGCGATTACATTACTACGGATGTAGGATTCGTTCTCGAAATTACAACTTCTAGTGAAGCAGGTGGGTAAAGAAAGCAATATCTTTGTGATCTTAAATTTATAGTGCATACTTTAATCGTTTTAGTTTTGCAAGGTGTATTTCATGTCTTTGGCCGTTATGTGATTGTACTTGAAATTAAGAATGATTGATATGTTTTTTGTATTTTAATAAATCTCCTTTTATGAATCAATAAAGTTTGTACAATAAGCCCAAGGCTACCTGTTCTTTGATATGGAAGAGAATAAAAGTCTACATAAAAATGTGCGTATAATGATACATATATCAAAATTGATAATGTAACGAATAAAAAACTTTGTAATAAAAAGTGTGAGTTTAATGCTGCTATTGCCTAATTTGAAGTTTCCCCTTTAGGTTTACAACAGACTTATATCTTATATATACTTGTTTGTTTCAGAAAATATTACCAGTAATAAATACAATTTTCATAGATTATGTTGTTAACGTGTCAGCCATGCTTTAACACTCCGTAGAGAAACATTTTGCAAGGTGGTATTTTTCCAATAGACCAGTTTACTAACCTCCTCATAGTTTATGCATACTTTTGAAACAAAGGTTGTTCTGGAGAAAGTAAAATCTTGCCTGAGGCTTGTCCAACATAGCAAAAAGTAATGTATGCAGACTGGATTCCAAGTATTATAGTTCATGCATCAATAACAGGTTAATGGAATACCTTGACACCAGGTTCCCTGGAAAGAAACATCCACAAATTTGAATATATCAGTAAACCGGTATATAGTACAGTGCTATAGATCAGTTTGTAGTTAGCACATGGTACAAATGATCCCCAAATATTCACAGATCTTTGACACATGGAGAGGTCCCCCTTTTTGCAATAATCACTGCCAAAGTCATGGAAGTGTCTCATGAATAACTTTTGTTTGCCAATCTTTGTATCATAGAATCTACCATCGGTGCATAAATGTATAATGATGACAACTTTCATGAGCAGGTATCCAGTATTCTTCTCAGTGGGTTTCACAATTTTGAACAAATGACTTTATCTGCCCATGCTCAGCTTGTATCTACAAACTGGCTCATTAATAATTTTAATTTATTGTTTCAAGTTAGAGAATAGTGCCTTAAGAAAGCATATTTTTCTTAATCTGAACATTAATGCATGGACTGCTTTATTCTTCCAGCCGGTGAATGTGGAGCATCTTTCATCTCCTGTCTAAAGAGAGATGTCTGTATTTCCAACTCGACTTCCTGTGATGGGTCGCCTATATGCTTTAATGGATATGATGAGTGGAATTGTGGTATGTAACACAGTGTTGGTTGAAGAATGCAAGCCCAGAAGATTTCTGAGCTCATCTTGAGTGCCCGCCTCATTGCTGTTTATACCCTAGTCACACGGTCAAACTGGCTTCACACCGACTCCAAAATGACAGATAGTTTACCATTAAGGGTAATGTAATGGCGGTCTGGTGTCAGTCTCGTTGGTGTGATAGCTGGGCCGGGAAGTACACGTATCTTACCTGCATAGCTGGTGTGATACACACGTACGTAGGCAACGTTTTTTCTGATAGTAGCGACAGTTTGTTTCCACCATGGAAGGTGGTGCTGCAACTTTGATAGCTTAAGAACCATTGAACAGATTTTCACCAAACTTGCATGAAGTATATGTGTGAGCATCCAAGGAAGAAGTGAATAGATGTTGTGGGTAATATGGCACAGGGTTGCAAGAGTGTTAAGAAATAATTTAAAAAAGATCTTGATACCATGCAATTTGAATCAGACTTTGAGGAAGCATGCAAGAGCATGCAAGGATAAACACGATATTGGTTGTAATAGGTCAAAGGTCAGAGGTTACAGGGTCATAACAATGTTTAAAAATGCAAACTTGAACAGATTCGAAGCGGTTCAATCCAAAGCTGAAGGAAGTACTAAGCATGAGCATCCAAGGATGAACTCATAGCATTTTTAGTGTAAAGGGTCATAGGTCATAAAAGTGTTTAAAATACCAAAAAATATTTTGTCCCCATGGTAACGTGCAAAGCATTAAATCAATTCAAACCAAATTTAGCTCAAGTATATGTTTAATCATGTAAGGACGCACTGATTAGATTTGGAGTGTAAGGTTGCAGTGTCAATAAAGTGTAACAATTAAAGAAAATACATGTGTATTGTGACTGAGAAAATGTAAAAACCGTTGAAGCTATCATTACAAAACATGGGATAAGTTTGTATGAGCATGTAGGAATGAGCTCATTGGAATTTAGGTGTAAGATATCATAGATGATAGATCTCATGAAATAAGAAATGTTTTATAACAGTGACGAGTGACCAAACACTGAACCAATTTCCACCAAACTTGGCTCAAGCGTGAATGAGCATGAAAAGATTTAAAACAAAGAGTTTGGTTCATGAGGTTGGTGATTATAGAGACCGGTGGTCATTTGCTTGACCAGTCATGAGGCATGGTCAGTCGTGCTTTGCCAGTTATTTGGCATGAACAATTATATCGGGTGTTTTAAGTCCTAATATTAGAATTGTGGGGCATATAGGCAAGACCATGCATGTTTGATTTAATTTTTTTTAAATATGAAAGCTTGACAGCTTACCAGCAATTTTGCCAGAATTGTTTACTCCTAATTGCTTGTTTGTACAGTTTTTTTATTTATAATAATGATACTAGTGATGATGATAAGAATAGTAATAATGATATATTAATGATTGTGATGAATAAGAAGAAGGAGAAGAAGAGGAACAGGAAGGATAAAAAGAAGAAGGAGAAGGGGAGACGAAGAGGAGGAAGAAATGAATTTCTGTAAAGTACATTGAATGAACTACATGTAACTTTAATTTGCCTGTGTAAATGACAGTTTAATCATATTCCATACTTTCCATTCTTCCCATAACACCAGACCCACGCTGTCCCTCTTCTGATATTCAGACAATTCCCACCTCGATGCCCTACTCTGTCATTTCTGACAACTACCCATTAGCCTACGGCAACGACATTGAGTGCATATGGGTACTCCAAGCAGAGGCTTACCACTCCCTCGTCATCGACATACCAAACTTCTACTTGGAAGATGGCTACGACTTCTTCTACATCGGGATTGGCCACGATCGATCAGAGCCGGGTTCACTTGTCGTAAGGCTGACCGGATATATTGCATCAACAAGATACTATCTTGGGATCGAGTCATATCTGTATTTTGATACTGATTACTCAAATGGATACTCTGGGTTCGTTCTAAATGTGACATCCATTCCATTTGAATGTAAGTAGGAGGACGGTGTACTACAAATGTCCAATCTCTTTATCTTCTTCGAAATGATGAGTACTAAAACATGAACGTATATTGTTTTGGGTAATTGATAGAAGAAGTGGTCCTAAAATTATTATTAGTAGTAGTAGTAGTAGTAGTAGTCGTAAGAGCACTGTTAGAAGTAGTAGTGGTGAAAGTAGAAAAAGTAGTTGCATAATATGAAAGAAACCAAAATGTTATTAAAAATATGAGTATATGATAATGGTGAGGGCATTGAGTTACCCTGTTTAAATAAAACAAATGAAACAAATAAATAAATAAAAATTGAGTTTATTTAGGACCACAATGTATTTGTCTCCTTTGCGCTTATCTGTTAACATAACATATTCCTTTGAATACTGTTTGCTCCAAAAATGCATGCTCATAGAGACAACTTTTCATATTCTTCCCCAGTAACTGAGTCTTGTGATGCAGACCAAAGAGTTCCAGTGGGATCTGCTTGTAATGGAGTTACTGATTGTGTTGATGATTCAGATGAATTTGGATGCGGTAAGTTGATTATTTCCCCATTTCTCTCTATTGTCATTGGGGTAAGATAGCTGACACAGTCAGTTACTTTGTCTCCCTTTGTCTCCCTCTCAGACAAATGATTGAGGCTTCAAGTCTTGCTCAAAGAGATGACTGGAGCATGTCTTTTGGGTAAATGTTAGGTGATTAAATGATATTAGCTGTTATCCATTATTGAATGATTGAGTTGACATATATTTCCATCATCATAATAAAATATGGAACATCATTACAGATAAATATATAAAAATTACCACCCCCCTCCCCCCACCCCACCACGAAAAACAAAATGGAAACAATGAATTTCAAAACAGATGAAAGTATAAACCAAAGTACAATTGGAAAATGGTGTGTCTGTAAAAGCCGTTAAGGTTTGACAATTGAATGCACCATGCGCACAAGAAATAACAGCATGTGTTGTCAGTAAAGAAAAATGAATTGCATTTCTGTATAAATGATGCATTATACAGAGAGAGAACAAATGTTTCTAGTAGAGTCTTTTAAATGAATTGTTAATCAAACAGACTGTAAAATAGAAGGCAGAGATTTCCAAAGTTTAGGAACAACATAACTTAAGGAATTGTTTAATGCATTAGAAGAAGCGTAGGTTTGGAGGAAGGGAGTTTGAGAAGAATTGCTGCTTAAATGATGCAATTTTGTAAATGTGTAAAGTATGGAATATTCTAAACACAGGTTGGGAGGGAGCTCAGAAAGGGGGATTAGAGCAAAGTTGTTGTACCCTATTTTTGAGACTGTATAATTTGAGTAACTTAAGGGATGTTGCATTGCCCAGACAGAATTGGAATACATAATACTGGTATGTGGCAAAATAAATGCATTATATAACATGTGATGATTTCAAACTTTAGCTTTCATTTTGTAAGGTATATATATATATAGGCCTCAAAATGTTTGTTATTTCAACGGTACATTGTGAAGAGTCAACGTTTTGCTGAATTGTACTTTTATTTACATAGAATGCAATATTTGTTCCTGGTTGTATTAAAGCAAATATTCCCCTTATATGTGATGATGGAAACATGAATATGATGTTTTATTAATTTGTGTTTTCGCCCTTTCTTCGCAGTGTGCCAAGACGATCAATTTCAGTGCAATGGGCTTTGTCGCCCTCTTTCCATCCTCTGTGATGGAGTGATGGATTGTGAGGATTTTTCAGATGAGGAGGACTGTCGTAAGTAGTTTGTATCAAGGTTAAAACTCCACACTGGATTACAATAATGTTATCCAGCAATGAATTTGTTTTTTCTTTGGTATTAAGACTGGATTGCAAAATTAGTCAGGGAATTTTCTTCAGAGATAAAGTATCTGTGACAAAGTCATTTACATGCATGTGTAGGGGTCTTTTACATATTTTTTTTATTGAAGTCAACTGTAGCATAACAAGATGTTTCCATGTAATTCTGATGTAGAGTGCATATATGTGCTATGTTACTCTGTGATAGATATCAAAGTTTATGTAATATTGTTCATTATGCCAGGGAGAATCAAGTATATACCATTTTTTTTTTTTTTTAATTCTTTGTTCCATAAAATGATAAAACATACTGAAATAATCTGTTATCCATGGATTACGTCAGTCGTGAATCGATTGATTGAAAAGTGCATTTTATTTTTTTGATGGTTCTTCCTTAGCACGCTGTGAGCCAATCCAGGAAGGCTCCTGCCTTGGCCTCCTTCCATTCAACCAGACATACTACCCTAGCAGTCTGGCAGACATCAACCAGACACTTGCTATTGAAAGTTTCAGTGTATTAAGCGCTGCTGCCACCACCTGCCACACTGATGCATCTCTCTTCCTCTGTGCTGTCCTCTTCCCGGAATGCATCCACGATGGGCCCACGGCCAGACCGTGCCAAACCACATGTGAAGCTGTCAGGAGTGCATGCTCGTCTGCTTTTGAGAGCTTGACTGGGTCTCCCTGGGCGATTGCTTGCGAGGAGGAGTTCAGCAACGCTAGTCCTCTCAACGATGGTTCTCTTGCTGATGGTTTGCTCTGCAGAGGGCCAGAAGGAGGTGAGAATGAGGGCATGATAGTGATTAAAACTAGGCCGGGCAATCTAACTTTTTGAGCAATGTTCTTTGAAGTTACCTGTACACTAAAAGGATACTAGCAATATCCGTTGGTAAATTTTTCTAACGAGCAGTTACATGAGATTGATGATCGAACCATAATCATGATTATGATTCATGTATAGTCAAGAAAATTATGTTTTCATATTTATTTTCATGCTATGTATGGTTTTCAGCATGAAACAAATTTAATTAAGGATGACAAAAATACATACAAGAATGTATTTCATGTAAATCATCAAGAAATAGTTAAGTTCTCGGAAAGATTTACTGTTAGGTTTCTCATTTTAATGCCTCTGTTACAAAGTAGGCGGAGGCATTATGTTTTTGGGTTGTTCGTCTGTTCGTTCGTCTGTACGTCCCGTTCTCGTGATCACGTTATCTCAAGAACCGATAAATGGATTCCCGCCAAACTTACATAATGTATGTATCTTGCAGAGCCGATGAACTGATTAGATTTTAGGACCATTAGATCAAAGAACAAAGGGTCATAAATGTATATGAAAACAAGCTTGTAATCACAGTATTCTGAGAACCTGTTGATGGTTTTTAATACAATCAAACTTGATCGCTCTATGGCGGAGGCATCATTTTCGACTGCGCGCAGTTGAAGGTCCATCTAGTTTTAAAGTGAACTTGGAAAAATATCATAAAATAAATTTCCCCTGAAAAGTATTGTTTTTTAAATGCCCTGATATTTGAATACATGTTATGGCCACCGTACACGTTACGATGGTACACCTCCAGCTGTGTGCGTCACATATCCCGCCACTCAGTCGCAGACCAATCTAGATCGTAAGGTGTGCGGTAGCCTTAAGATGAAAAGTTGAAAAACAGCTTACAATTTTAGACCAAACTTGCATGCCACATGTAGATGTAGACTCTTATACCCATATCTATGTGTAGCGCCTATGACTTTCATTAAGATGCAGTAATCAAGATGTAGTGCAGTTTTTTCTCATTTTAGTGATTCCAAAATCTCTTGGTATCCTGTGTACCGGTACGACATAATCAAACCTTCTCGGTTTCGCTCAGAGACTGAGCTTCTTTAACAATAGAACTGCATGACCTAGAGGGTGTTTCACGAAGATCCTAAGTTGAACTTAAAAATTATGGAGGGCCATTTGTGGCCTTTAAATAAAATATATTCAAAAGCGAATATTCAAGTATTTTAGACTTTTTATAAATTCCACATCAAGAACATGAAATCTCCTTGATAATATAAAATATGAATGCTTTGAATCAACATTATGTGCCTTTTAAAATAAATTTTACAAAATACTTTCATGGATGCTAACTGCTTTCCATAATTGTTAAGTCCAACTTAAAGTCGATCTTAGGTCTTTGTGAAACATCCCCAGAACTCAACTTTATCTTTTAGAATCTATTTATGTTGCGCTTGATTTGATCTTGTCAGACATCACCAACACAATGATCTGTGGCACCAGGCCGGTCTTCAATGAAGCAGTTGAGAGGATCGTTGGAGGCGAGGGCTCCGACCTAGGAGAGTGGCCTTGGATTGGATCGCTAAGCCGGGGTGCTACCAATCATCAATGCGGGGCAACAGTCATCAGCAGAGAATGGGCTATCACCGTAGCACACTGTGTGTAAGTAATAATAATCTTTTAAAGTCCACACCAAATTGTATTAAGTTAAACCGAAAATGGGAATTCTTTTTGCCCAATTGATCGTGAGCCCAGCAGCCACTGAGCAGCGCCAGATCGACGTTGCTCTATCCCTTATTGCCAAACAAGGTAGCAGCAACTCCCGCTTTTAACGTCTTTTGGTATGACGCGGCCGGGGTCGAACTGACGACCTCCCGGTTGTGAGGCGGACGCTCTACTGACTGAGCCAACACACCGGTACTTCACTCGTTTCCTCTTCTTTGGATCAGGTTTTTCGTCTCCAAAGAAAGTATACCTATTTTCATAGATCATTATTTTTGATATGGCATGACTTTCATGATTTTTTTTCTTTTCCAAAATCTTAACCCTTACTGTATGGGGGGGGGGGCCTGGGAGGCCCCCCCCCCCCCCCTCGACATTTTTGGAGATTGCACCACAACCGCTCGGAATTTTGAATTGTCGTTTCATGACTTTTTTCCCTCAAGTCTTAAGCACATTTTGTAACAATTTTTGTAAATGATTCTAGTTCCCTATATATATTTCCAGATTTGATATTCATGAATGCTTATTCATAATTTATGCAAATTAACCTATGCATTTTCAAATATCATAAAAATAATGAAACCTCATGAATTTTAGATGAAGGAAACATCAATACATTTTCAAGATTCTTCACAAGTCTACGGACAAATATGAAGAGTTTTCTGTAAAATGTATAAAATTAGCATTTTGCATAATTAATTAGGCTATAACGACAAAAATTTGCATATTAGGAAAAAACTAATTATACCGTCTTGTTCCTTACGTAAATATCTACAAACATGCAAATTTTCGCTTTCATCGGACATTCGACGGCCGATATCATAGGAGGGGGGCAGGCCCCCCCCCCCCCAGTCAGAGAGTGCTTGAAATAGCCCAGTACAGTAAGGGTTAAAGGCATCGTTTAACATTGTTAAATCTGAGATGCACGGCCCTATTGTTATCAGTGTCTGTGACATGGTAAAATATTGAAGCCCTAAAAAAAACTGCGCTTCGAAATGATCAAGAAGTGCCTCAAAAAGTAAAATTCTTTGAATGACAGGTTTTACCATACTTGTTTTCCCCCAATAGACTGTAGTGTTAGGAAAACGCATAATTTGATTTCGATTTCCAATCAGAAATATCTTGATAATCAGACAGGCGATCGGCTTGTAAAAGTCATGGGGTTCCTGACTGACCTAAAGATTTAAAATTAAGATCGCAGCATGAGCTAAATCCAGGATTTTGTTTCAGAATCCCTTTAAAGGGAAGTCCATTCTGATATCACAATGGTATACAAAGAGAAATGAAAGAAATGTATTGGTGACAATTTGAAAGAAAAAAAAAAGTGAGAAAAGTTGTGAATTACAAATGTGTAATCGATCACTCACATATAGGCAACTCTTTGATTACCATTATGAATAACTTTTCCATTTCTTTATATGACTAGATATTTCTTTTCTTGGTTGGTGCTACTACTATTCGGAATATATGTGTGTTGTGTAGCATATGTGTAAAATTATTTATCCAATATTATATTTAAAGCACATGTACATGTGCAATATAATTTTTTTAGAGAAAAATACAAAGTTAAAAAATATACTTAGTACAAAGCTAATGGAGAGCTGTTCCCAAGGAAAATCACTGAGTTACCAATTTGTCTTTTATCGACTAAAACAATATATGTATAGCACCATGGTACTGTTCTTGAATGTACTATTAGAAGTATAGCCAAAGGATAGGGATATGATTGGCATGCACCCACCCCCCTCCCCCCCCCCCCCCCCCCCATGGATACTTGAAGGATAATTCAACTTTACTAGACAACAACTCTAAAAGAAAGCAGAATAATCAGAGAAGCAGACGTTTGAATGAAAGTGGACAAAAATAAGAAAGTTATGAATATTTGAAAGTTGTAATCACTGTACGTATGGGCACTACCCATTGGTTTAATCGGTATGGTGACTGTTCACATTAATTTAGTGATCTCCTACAGTGTATTTCAAACATTTATACCTTAATATTGGACCAATTTCTTTCAAATTTTCGCATTCTGTTTCTCTTCTTTTTCTGCTTTTAGACAAAATGAACTTGTTTCAAATATTTGATTGCCCTTTAAAGAATTTTAATTGCACACAAAAATCTGTCATGTACAAAGTGTCAATGCAGTGATGCCCCCATTTGCCACCAAAATGAACATGCTGGCTATATATGCGCTCATCCTCATTGCAGTTCTATAGCATGTAAAAGAAAGCTTATGAAAATGAAATGATGAACATACAACACTCTTGTATTCATTTACAGAATGAACTAAACTGAGGTTTTTAGAGTGATACAGTGAGTGCTAATATACAAATATACACTGTCGTGAGAGGATCTGGTTGAAACTATGGGCCTTAAGGTGCCTGCAATGCTGAAAAATGGCACTATTGCAGTCATCGAGGGCCCAGTTTTTTTAATCCAGAGACTCAAATAAAGGCAGTGTATATTTGTTTGATATACTTCATTCATATATGCATTGTTCATTGATTGGTTGAAGATTTTGCAGTAAAAATCAAAGAATTCAAACTACCCGCTGTAGCCATTCCTGTTGCCTTGTCATTATGGGGATTGAAAATTCAGCAAGCGTACAGGATTTCAAATGCCTGCAGCAGGCAACTCCTGCGGTGCCATAGCGCTCCCACCATGAGTCGCAGTCTAATTAACTGTGCTGCACTACTGCAGTACCTGTATATTAAAGTTATTCAGCTTGATAATAAACGACCTCTGCGCCATTGATGGTCTGCGCGTGGGGTCAAATCACAGGGCCGACATTGCAAGCCTTTAATTTTGCAGCGATTATTTATTATAGGATGTCAACAGAATGTCGTATTCTCATACTCAACATCAAAGTTTAATTTACTTTGATACTTTACGCGCTGCGACATGATTACTGTGTTAATTTTTGCTAGCCAAAAATAATACTTTTTGCAAAATAGTATTTTTGATCAACACTTTTTAACCAATCAATGACAAGAATATATGAATGACGTATATATTACAGTATATCATTGTTCTAATTCATATCAAATTGCCTTTGATTCTAGTGGAGCTTTTGACACCATCACCGTCGGTACCATCAGCATCTCGAACGGCAACACATCGTACCAACACACCTCGTCGTTGGAGATTACGTCTCATCCAAACTTCACTAGCGCTTCTGGTGGTGATGACATCGCTGTGCTCAAACTTGTGGATCCCATACCCGCGTTTAGCGATTTCCTCAGACCCGCCTGTCTGGCCACGGTCGGGGATGAGATTAATAACTATAGGACTTGCTACATAGCAGGGTGGGGTCACACGACAGAGGGTGAGTCTATGTACATGCAGTTTTAAGATTGAAAACACTTTCATCATATCCCGAATCTGAAAGCAGCTCATATCTCAGTTACCCAAGTATGTAGCAGTAGGGCAATTCCACGGTAACGGAAGGACACTCAGACAAGATTTTTGAACTTCAGGTTCATACTAAAAGAAATGTTTTATTAGTATGTATTAAACTATGGGGAACAAAATGTGTTTCAGTCAAGTGGAAAGCTTCATCAACTTCACAAAGTTTGGATAAACACTAATTAACTGGAAAAACCATGTCCATTTTTATGTCCTTCCGTTACCGAGATAATTAAAATGCACATTCTTAAACTACTTAACTATTTAACTATAATGACAATTTTTTGGGGGAGAATTAAAGGCACTTATATAGGTATTATATCTGTACTGTTTCACATCTTATACTAATAAAACAGTTCTTTTAGTATGAACCTGAAGTTTAAAAATCTTGTCTGAGTGTCCTTCCGTTACCGTGGAATTGCCCAGTATATATGTCAAATTAATATCAGGCATCTTTGAATTTGATTGAAAGGAATTGAAATTAAGTTGAACAGGATGAATATTTAGCCCAAGCTCTCAGTTTATAGAAAAATGGATGTAATACCAAACCAATTCTTTTCAAATGGATGTAATACCAAATCCAATTCTTTTCAATTGGATTTATCCCCCCCCCCCCCATTTTTAGAGGGAGGTTGACCCCCCTTTCTGCTCTCTTTCTCTCTCTCTCTCCCCTCTCCCTCTCTCTCTCTCCCCTCTCTCCCCCTCTCCTGGCTATATTAGCCATGTTCAGACGGGGCTTTGCTAGTCAGCATAAGTTTAATCCCTGCAGCAGTAAATACCTCATGTGTATTTCATTTACACCATTAGTTGTCCACACCTTCTTACTCGGAGCAGCTTGACAAGTTGACACGATAAACACTAGTAGACCTCAACCCACCTAACCGTGCGAAATCTAATTTTAATTTGTAATTGTAACAAACGACTCAAGTGCAAGTGAGAACATCCACACGGTCAACTTACGCTTCCCTTTAGTCATGTTAGCACGTTACTCCTGGATAAATCCAGGGGTAAATTGGTCAGGGTAAAGGTAGGCGTAGCAAACACGACCTTCATCACTACTGCCACCTTTACACCGACCTCACCATATTTACCCCGACTAGCTCTTAACAAGACCTTTACCCCGGGGTAAATTGCCATCGTCTGAACAAGACTTATAGCAAGCTTCTATTAAAATTACAGGATAGGTTAAATCTACAAGGATTACTTGTTGAGTGATCTCTGGAATTGTGCCAATTTGTTATTGCATAGATAATAATCAAAGTCACATTTGTAAAGCGCTCAATACTGTTGTTTTCCAGCCCTTAAATTATAATTATTATTACCAGGGTCATTGGATTCAACTGCTAATCCGCACATATTAGTGTAAACGCTCCGCTTCCTGGGACACGTGGGGGGTATTTCAGCCAGGCGCCATTTTACAAGTGCACTCATGCCAATCAAAACACCATAAAGTTTGCATCCTACTGAACACAGTCTAACCAAAAGAAAGTACTTATCGATCAAAATAGGATTTGTATTTTGAAATTAGGATTTTTTGGGGAAAAGAATAGGATGTTTGTTCAGTTGGGGTAAATTGGGAGGTCTGTTAACTACAGGAGCCAACCAGTTCCCATAGGTGATGGGTAATTAAATCCGAATTTGATTTGATTTTTTTAAAATTTATATTTTGAAGGTGGATCCATTTCCAATGACCTTCAGCAGGCTGTTGTAGGACTGATACCAGATGAGTATTGTGGCAGTGCCTACGGGAGCTTCAAGGCCGACTCCATGATATGTGCTGGCTATCAGGCCGGTGGCGTTGATACATGTAACGTGAGTTCAGGCATTCATATTTATCACTTTTGGAACCTTTTGCTTTGGTTCGTTTTTCTGTTCATCTTGCTACTTGTCTCTGTACTTTATGTTTAAAAAAAGAAAGATAGTAATAATAGTAATAGTTATAATAATTGAAATAATGATGATGATAATAATGATGATGATAATAATGATGATGATAATTATAATAATGATAGAAATATTAATAATGATAACAACAAAAACAATAACACTCATCATCATGATCATTATCATAAATATCCATAAATAAGTTGTTATGGGTTGGACTCATTGTACATTGTATTACTATTAGGGATGGTTGTATAGGGGCAGGTGATTGTCTTTAGTCAATGGCCCAAGGTTTTTGCTGTCCTGAAACAATAGTGTTGTTTTTTGCCTCTCTCTCTCTCCCTCTACCATGCTTTTTGTCCTGGTGCTCGTAGTATTTTCCTGCTTCTCTTGTTTATAGCCATTATTTAGTAGTCAGGAGATTTTGTTATACTTATATATGTTTATATTTTTCTCAGTTCTTTAGTTAGTTCGGTTTGTAAACATTTTAATGTATGCAGTATATTCTTATCTGATGAGTTGGTACATTTTGGACATACTCACAAGCCATTCATGAGGGACCTTCAACCAAGGTCACCTCATCTTTCTATTGTAACGCCATATTCTGTGAACTTGTTATATTCATGAATTTTTTTAATTGAATTTGAATTTCTTTATTGCCGTCATGCACAAAATAAAATGAAGGCATAAAAATCGTCTTACGGCTCACATTTGTATAAAATATAACAATACATTAACATTAACTACAAATAACATGTCATATTTGTAATGTGTAATGTGTGTTATGAAAGAAAGATAAATAAAACTTGAGCTTGAACTTGAGATTGACCAAAGTCACTTGTCGTGTGGTTGGCAGAAGGACTTAAGTGTAATGACTCCTTTGTGCTAAATGCGGATGCGCACTATTGCTCTAAAAATGCCCATAACTTTTACTTTTAAAAAACCTTATTTGGCACAATACAAAAACCATCCATTTTTTCTCTTTAATTGTTGATAATGAGAGCAATCCCTGTCATGTTTAAAAATGGTACAGAGCAATCAAAATCATAGTCACCAGAAATTTGCTTCATGGCATATGCGCCAGTGTGCATCTGCCTTCCCGACGACAAACTCTATACCATGCCTCAACATAGAACATAGTACAATTAATAGAACACTCTCATCCATTTATGTTTTTTTTTTCCTGTCTGCAGGGTGATAGCGGAGGTCCACTGATGTGTGAAGGTGCGGACGGGAGGTGGCATCTTGTCGGCATCACAAGCTTTGGCGACGGGTGTGCACGTCCCAACAAGCCAGGAGTATACACCAGGGTCTCTCAATTCATCGATTTCATCAACTCGGTCGTTGGTCAGCAAGACTTTTTGTAACAGTGCATTAGCTGCATAATATGCTGCACTAAGTTTGTAGCTCTGTTAAATTACCTAAAAATGAAACATGTATTTAAACAAAAAATAATCTTGTAAATAAATGCCGGGGGGGGGGTACTGAAAGTATCTGTGAATAACGAAGCCCCCTACGCATACTCGCTTATTTGTTTGTTAAAAGGTGTAGGAATGTGAACGGAACTTTACATAGATCTATAGATCTATCTCATTTGATTTTACTGAGGTAGATTTTGTGGAAGTGGTTCACTGCGTCGTGTGAACAAGGCCTTTAAAGGGTTAAGACGAGTGAAGACCCTCTGTCAAGGTCATGGTTAACACTCTGGAGTATAGAGTGAAACGGTGAAGAAAGACAGCTCGAGGGCCGGAGACAAGAAAATTTCCTTCCAATCCAATAGACCGGTTTACTAACACATTCAAATTTAAGGCATATTGAATAAAGAGAGGTTTTCTTGACAGCATGAAAGCTTTGCCGAGGCTTGCCCGTCCGGCTGGATTCTAAGTAATGTAGTTCATTAACAGGTGAATGGGGAGTTTAAAAGGTGTTACTTTACAATTATTTATTTCCAAAATGCTAAATCCATTTATGCAATGTATACAATGTTTTTATGTATGTAAATTCATACAAAATTGAATTATTTTTAACAAACTCTTGAATATATATATATATATATATATATATATATATTTACACTAATTTGAATGGTATTTTTTAAACTACAACAAAAGAATATAAATGAATTAGTAAAACATTATACTTTTATATACATTTTTAAATTACTAGGAGTACTTTTGATATAGCTTATGAGAATTTGAATTGTTAGTATTGAAAGAAGATTTGTAACATGTACATAGATTACTAAATAATGAACGTATCACTTTGAATTTTACATTTGTCCTATATTTATCAACATTTTACCATCTGAAAATGATTTTAATCATACATGTTTTCATTAACTCATATCCTGCCATAAGGCGGCATGCACGCTACCGTTATAGTGCTTTGTACATGCGAGAGCACACTATCGATGGGCTGCTTACTTCACGTGAGCGAGCCACAGCTTAGCTGCTTTACGCATGCATGCTCGCATTCGTAATAGCAGTTATTGTATATGCTCATTGTACTGTGCTGAGTGCTTCTCACGCGCTATTGATCGCACCATCAGATTATCTCAAAATAAACTTGGCACAGGATGGATTTGTGGCTTGGAACAATGGGGATTAGCCCTGTGGCACTGGGCTGTATTCATTACGGCAGGATAAGAGTCAATATACATTAGCCGTAGCAACTTCATCATCATCATCATCCTTTTAATCATAAGTGGTATCGTCATAATTATCATCTTCAGCTGCAAGTTATTTTCATGATCATTGTATTGTCATTAACAAAATACATCATGCACATGAATAAGGCATGTAGAAATTACGTTACCGATATACATTGTACGTAATGTCTTAACTTTGTTTTGTCTGGAAAGGAAAATATAAATCAAATGTACAGGTTAGTGCATTAGTTTAAAAGTGAACAAAATAAAAATACATGTAAGTTCTTGCCTCTTATCTTGATTTACTGACTTTTAATGTATAGCACCCGTTCAGAGCCTGATAGGTGTTAAAGGGATTGGGTATATTCTAAACAAAATCCTGGATTTAGCTCGTGCTGCAATCATTATTATAAACCTTTAGGTCAGTCAGGAATCCCATGACTTTTACAAGCCGATCACCTGTCTGATTATCAAGATATTTATGATTGGAATTGGGTATGTCAAAAACTGTTTGCCACACAATTTTGAACAGTTTGTTATAACACTTTTGAGCACTTCATGATCATTTTGAAGCACAATTTATTTAGGGCTTTAATATTACACCATATCACAGACACTAATAACACATAGGGCATCCATCTCAGATTTGTAAAACTGGAAACATTGTTAAACAATCTGTGTGTATGCATGAGCTCATGCCCATCCGGCTTCAAAAGGACACTCAGTCATTTTTTTTTATAATCACAAAATCACCACTAGCTGTCATCCTGTTAAATCTCCCTCGTACTGGTGAGAGGTTGGGGGGGGGGGTAACAAAAGGGAGTACTGTAAGAACCTTTTATCTCGCTTTCACAGGTAGTTAATAATGATAACTGACATCATTTTGTTTTAGTCAATTTACAGATGAGAGCACTGGTCGAAGTATGGTTAATCAAAAACCTTGTCTTCTGTGCTTGCATGTACATGTAAATATAAATTTTATATTGTAACAGTTTATCAGGTAATGGGTAAAAAAAAATGGAAATGAAATTGAAATGTTATGGGCTGTACTTGTACAAACGTAACAAGAATTTATTTTGTTCATACCATTAAATATTAACCACAAGTTAACATGTATGATTATTTTTGTATGTGACTGAATTTTGTTCGTAAACCTTCTGTATCATCTATCATAATTTATATATTGCACTTTTGTTGAAAGGCATGTGTTTATTTATGGATGGATGTACCTGTATGTATTTTAATTGGGGGAACAAGCAAATCATGAATTTTCGAGCGATGTGATCATATAAAGGCTTTAATTGCTACTATTTGTATCATCGATGTTAAGTATTTGCCGTTGCCCTTCCTGGGAGGGGGTGGGGGTGGAGCGAACTGAATTAGTGTAACCCTCCGGTCTCTCCTCCCGTTATAACTAATTGGGATGTGCAGGTGGACCACGACCCGTTTCACAAAACCCTTTTTCAATGACAAATGACAAAAACGAATGACAAATATTCTGATAACCAATCAGAAACAAGGATTTCAGTAGCTTATAACAAAAACTGTCATTTGTCACTGATGACAAGTTTTGTGAAATGAGGGCCATGGTTTCCTCTACTCCCTTTTCCACTGTGATCTAACCTGTGTCTACAACAGGGAGGGGCATGTTGACACACAAAGCAGGCTGTTATAGTAGTCATACATACCTGGGTTGGTTTTGAACTCGCAATCTTTGGCTTGACGGGGAAACTTTTTATTGACTGAGCCATCTCGCCTCCTTGATCTACCTTCGTCTATGATATTGTTTTAAAACATCTTAAATCTTTAATCTTAATATCTTCAGTCTTTAATCGCACAATGTGCTTCGATCGACAGTATATTATTGAAAAGGCCGAACATTGACGTATCTTGCGAGCTCCTCTAATAGCCAGTTCTTCTCTCCTTCAAATTGACTGAAGATTCTTGTAGAGTATGTGCGTAAGTGCGTTTGTATGTGAACCGCAATTTACGTCCATTCGAGTGCTATTTTATAATAGTTTATTTACTCATGTATGACTAAACAGACTTGTTTCATACAGGGGTTTTATAAAAACATATTTACAAACATTAGATTTAGGGTGAATGTAGGATTTAAATTGTTCTTAAGGGAAATGATAGGTTTTTGAAGTATTTTTTTTAGTACAGGGCAAATGGCCGGAGGGGATCGAGCTCGCAAGATATGAAGAATGATTACTATTGTGAATTGAAGCGAGAGGAAATAAGAGGAAGAGACTGAAAATAAATTATTTAAAAAAATTAAAAGTAGAGAGAGAGAGAGAGAGAGAGAGAATATATACTATCGACATGTGGGATATGTCCCTGCAAAAGGGAAACCCGAGTGTATGGTTCAAGGGTGTCGATTTGTATCCGTGGTTGGGGGGATGATAGGTGCCAAAATATTTTCGGCAATGGATCAAAGCAACCAAGAGGTAGAAGCGTGTGGCCAGAATTTCATTTTAGGGGGGCGGTAGTGAGCACGCGAAACGTGCGAAGCGAGCTCTCTAGGGGGTTGGGTGCAGGGAGCGGGAGTCCCCCCCCCCCCCCCCCCTCCCCCGCAAAGCGCGGAAGCTTTGACGTTTCACTAAATTATTAGAGAAAGAAGACGATTCGTTGGACCGTTCTCGACTCTTAATCCTTGTTTGAATAAAGTTCCCCTTCTCCGCGCATAGCGCGGAAGCTCTGACGTTTCATAAGATTAATAAAGAAAGAAGAAGATTCGATGTACCATTCTCGACTCTTAATCTTTAATATTTGAATCATGTTCCCCTTCCTCCGCGCATAGCGCGGAAGCTCTGACGTTTCATTAGATTATTAAAGAAAGAAAACGATTCGATGTACCATTCTCGACTCTTAATCCTTGTCTGAATTCATTTTTGTCCATTCCTGCCCGAGCGCGGAAGCTTTCACATTTTATTACATTATTAGAGAAAGAAGACAATTTTTTGTATCGTGTCCTTCATGAATTCACTTTTCCCCCTACCGCGCAAAGCGCGGAAGCTTTGACGTTTCAATAAATTATTACTCTTATTCCTTGTCTGTATTCATTTTTTCGCCCATCCCGCGCGAAGCGCGGAAGCTTTACCGTTTCATTAAATTATTAGAGAAGGAGGACGATTCGTTGTGTCGTGTCCTTGTCTGAATTCAGTTTCCCCCTTTCCGCGCGAAGCGCGGAAGCATTGACGTTTCATTTGATTATTACTCTTAATCCACGTCTGAAATCATTTTCGCCCATCCTGCACTATACGCGCGGAAGCTTTTACGTTTAATTAAATTATTAGTAAAATAAGACGATTCGTTGTATCGTATACTTTGACGTTTAATTTAATTTTAACTCTTAATCCTAGTCTGAATTCAGTTGCCCCGCGGAAGCTTTGCCCTTTTCACTAAATTATTAGAGAAAGAAGACGATTCGTTGTACTGTTCTCTATATTAATTCATAATTCAGTTTCCCCACATGATGTGCGTATGGAACGTTCGTTCGCAAATCTTTGCATGCACAGCCCGAGTGGTGGGTAGCATGTTATCTCCCGGTAGTGCTTGTCGCAATAGCTTCTCGAAGGGAATTGTATACTACTGTTAGTGTTAACGGCCACTAATAAAGCCCATTAGTGACTATACAAAATATATGCTCTTCCGGGCTATTTGGGAATGTGTCAGTTTGCAACAGAAATGGAGAAACGCGAATTTTGTTGAAAATCATGTGATATCACGAACATTTATAAATCACTTGTATGAAATCGAAAATAATTCATGGTTGGATTTTATTTGGGGGGGGGGGGGCTAGCGCCCCAAGCCTCCCCCACCAGTACGCCAGTGACATAGGCCTACATCAGCTTTTTAATAAAACGAAAATAAGTTGTGACATAATAATCTTTCTCCAAAAATGAAAAATGTTTTAGGAAATATCAGGAAATAAAAGGAGTGGAATTTTTTTTTTAAAAGATACAATGACGTGAATTTTAAAAAGGGTGAACGGAAACAACATTACAACTAGTGAACTATCTTATAAGTCACACTAATGTCCGAATATTTTTCACCTTGTCTCCGATCTCATCACGAATTCATCACAGAGTTCATCTATATTTACACTGTCCAGGATTGTCTGATGTGCATAGCAGCATAGCAGCTTGCTACCATTCGAGTTTTTTTTTTCCCTTATGTTTAACTTGCATTTGTATTTCTTTTGTTGAACTTGTATTATATTTATTTTGTTTAAATTTGTATTTCTTTTTTCTTTCTTTACATTTACTTATTTTATATTATGTATTTGTTATTGTTTAATTTTTGTGTTTTATGTGTTTATTCATATGTATTTTAATGTACCATGTACGGACATGCTGAAAAACAGCTATGCTAAGCTGAAAGCATGTTTTTTAATCACCGTATTTAAATAAATAAACAAACAAACCTTTGCGCTTCGCGCTTAACATTTAGCTCGTTGCTTTTTAACGCTGCGGCTTTGTATTTGGCGCACGTACTGCATTTCTATGATGCTGTTTATTGAACAAATTGAATAAATTCACCAATTCCTGATGAAGCCGTATGAGCGAGAATTCAATTTATTTTAGTCTCATATACGCTTATCTCATTTACTTCGTATACATGTATATATTATGAAAATGCATAGCAAAATGTGTATATTGATAGTCATCTTGCGAGTTATAACCATTAACTACTCTCATCGGGCTCTCATCGTTAATTTTTCTCTTCATTTAAAAAAAAAAAATTCATGGTGAATTATTGGGGGGGGGGGTGATTGTACAGGCCATCCCCCCACCTGAAATATTGGGGGGATATATTCCCCCATCCCCCCGTGATCGACACCCATGGTATGGTTATAAATTAGGCCTACAAAAAAATGTTAAATTGCCCTTTAGGTGCCAAAGCATGGGTCGGTCGGTCGAGAAAAAAAATCTCTTTTTTTCCACTCTTTTTTTTTTTCTCCCTCTTTGGGCTGATATTTCTCAGTTTTTAACACTTTTAATACATAATTGTATTCATTAAATTTGTTTTTTAAAAAACGTTTTAATTTTTTTTATTAAAAAGCCGACTGTAGATTTCAAAATTTTGAGGTCGATCGCAGAGGACAATACAATTTTTTTTAAACGCCTTACTCAATGATCCTAAATTGATTTCTGGTTAAAAGTGCACATCACAGAATTTTTTTCTTCCATTATGAAATCAACAATAATATTTGATCAATAAACCACACATATCTGATTTCAGAAACCTGATTGTTCAAATAAGTGGATGGCTGCTACATGTTTTGTTTTATTTTTGTATTTACTACAGAACAATGAAAAACTTATATTATTTTGTTCCATACGACGATCGATTGATCACGCATGAGTAATCGGGCATAATAATGTGTAATTGGTTAGGCATGCGAACATATTTTGTTACAGGAATTTAAAATAAGACAATTGAACAAAACACGAATTGTTTAATCTCAGTCATGCGTAATCGTCCTATTACTAATATGATTATGACGTGCATTTACAATAATTCTCGCTACCCCAAATAGCGATTCTGCCGAGATCCGGGGAAAATCCTGAAAACGCGCATTGCATTATGGGATAGCTTTTCGACATTACAGCTTCCTGTGCAGGCGTTCGTGATCACAACCCTCTCTTTCACGGTAGAGTTTAACGGCCTTTTGTGCTAAAGTCACTAATTCTGCCCGAAGCTTTCCATTGCATATTATAATCTGTACAAATTACACTGATTGGCATCGATTTTAGCGTGCGAGAAAACTCTGCACAGCGAACACAGGCGCTAGCGCCAGCGGGATGGGACTCTATACCGGAAGTTGTAGTGACGACCCGAGAGAGTGAAAATTACCTCGTCTCGCGAATTTCGAGATTTTCGTACCTATTTAGGGTAGCGAGAATTGAGGTCGGAGATCATTGTCTGTCTCTCAAGCTCAAGGCCAATGAAGCAAATTAAGCAGTCATGGACTTTATTTTGGACAAAATTTGTTTCTGTCAGCAGTGCAACTTCAAACTACCCGAATGTCGCTTTTGCGTGAATTGTTTGTTCATATTTTGTCCCGTATTTTGTTGAGGTCATAATGTAGCCTAATAAGAGAACATGAGCTTTCCAATGATGAAGGCCTATAGGCCTACATGAATGAACATACATTTATTTTGGGCTTATTAAGTAACATGCTATTTTCGTAATGTAATCAAAATTATGTATAAATCGTTGCCATAAAAAAAGAATATGTTACAAATTATTTCATTTTAACCTGTTTAATGTAAATAATAATATTTTAGTAGGACTATATGAATTATAGACGATCCATAATGAATTATCCATAATTCTTTTCTCAGATTTGATTGCACGAGGGTGTGCCGCTCAAACCTCGAAACCCCTTCCCATTTTTAAGGGTCATTTTGGCAGATTTTTCTCGAAATATAGACCCATTGATTTTCACCATTTTGGGGGTGTTTGCCATGCATGCATGCCCCGGGGATCTCAAATATAAATATTGTAAGCATGCGTGACCAAGAAAACGCGTATAAAGGTGTTTTTTAATATAGAATGGACACGGTCCACCATTTAGGGGTCCAGAAAAGTCCATTTTGGGCCACTTTCGAGAAAAAGAGTACTTTTTCAAAATGGTCCAAAATCCTGCTCTGTACGCGCCGGTGTACGCGTTTAGGTGTTTCTTCTAGCCCTCAGGCCGGCCAGACCTAGGAGGGGTAATAATGCCCATTAGCGAGACTACCGGCCGCCGCCTGCGCCTGCCGGTCTTTAGATCTTCAGTAGATCAAGATGGATGCCCACGATACTAACCCAGACCTAACAAGTCTCACACCTATAGCTGTTCCCTAAAACTTTGTTTTGCAGAGTAGAATAGTAACTGTTCAATGTAAATTGTGTACTTTTTGTAAACACTACATGACAAAATTGAAAGGTTTTTTTTCTCCAAAGAAAGGACTAATTAGAATTAGGATATTGAAATAATTTTTTCACATTGTGAATTTTATAATTTGATTTATTTTACATTGTCAACAACTGAAATGGTAATCCTTATCGCATATCAAACGCTCAAGTGGTTACAATTTTACAATACTTGTTTAGGGGTACATTTTTTGAAATACCCGTTCAGGGTGTGAATTCGGGGGAAAAAAACACGCGAAATCCTCATTTAGGGTGTATTTTGGCTTCAGAAGAAATCCTCGTTTAGGGGGTGTCTAGAATTCCTGTGCCACGCATGTTTACAGTATTTTTACATGACTGAGACCCCCGGGATGCAAACACGTATGTCTCAATTATTTGAGAACCCGCCCCCTGCCGGATGTTTTATTACATTACAAATAATTTATGGTCTATTTACTAATGAATCTGTGTGTGTTTCCTTTTCAGGAACACCCGGCCTGTATCAATACAATTAAGCTGTATAATACAATAGACTATTTTCACGCTTGGCTGGGCCATATATAGGTCGATGCCATACGGCAAAGTGTATAATTCTGTAACAATAATGCTGCAGATCTAGCATGCTTTCATACATATCAATACAAATCATGGATGGGTGCACATCCGTGCACTGTACACTCTATTCTACGCCCATGAATCATACAAAGAGTTCTTTTTTCAGCCATTCAGTTTTAGTAAATAGGTTTCTACACACACGTACGTGTATATACTTCTACAGCCTTTTTGGAAATATCTCTGTTATGACTGGAGTGTTTAACTTTCGCATGTCTTTATACTGATGTGACTGCATGCAAGCAATTTATAATACTTTAATTAATATTATTTGACGGACACGTAGTACCCACCCTCGTCTTGATCTCAATTAGATAGACGTAAATGTGTGTGAAATAGAAAAGGGATCGGAGTGAACTGCATTGTTTCCGGATCCTGTTCGTTTTCACAAAGTACGTGCAGGTGAGCAAATACACTCATATTTTATTGGCAAATGGTATTGTTTGTTAATTGTTTGTGTCTAATGCGTTAATTACCAAGTGAATCAATTAAGATTGCAATCAAAACATAATTATTCTTGATGCTCCGTCCTGTTGCAAGCTATATGGTAGGGTTATCGACTTAGTTGATACAAGTCACTAAATTAAAAACGGTACTGTACCTCCCTCATAATAGTGCGGTATGGTATGTAATCCCGTAGGATTTTTGTGCCAAAGTTGATTTTTTTTTTGTTGTTGCTGTTTTGGCTTCAAAAGGGTCCCAATCGGCCAAAAATGATGGGGTTCAAATTTTCAGACCCCTCCTTCATTTCTATGGGGGTCCATATAGGGCGCCAAAATGACATATAACGCGCAATAGGGAAATTTGGTGTCTTCGGGAAAATTTGAACCCCATCAATTTCTGATAGCTTGGACCCCAATGAATCCAAAAATGCAAAAAAACAACTGTGGCACAAAAATCATCCGGGAGCTGTTTCAGTGACATACCGTACGTACCACACTATAATGGCGTTTCCTGGATCGAGCATCTAGCTATCATTGAGACGGAAAGGTGATATGAGACAGCAGACATAATCAACAAAATGTGCGCTTTAATGTTATTAGACTTAACTTCATAATACCCCACCAATAAGGTTTATGTACATGAACGTCTAAGACTTGCGGTTAGAGTTAGGGATAGGGTTAGAGTTAAGAGTTAGGATTAGGATTAGGATTAAGTGTTACCAAAGAAGCTTGAGTCTTCAGATTTAGCTTCATTGTTGGAGCGTTGGTTGACCAACCTACGAACATCTGGTCGATTGTTGTGGTGGGGTATAAGTAGACGACATGATTTTGAGACCATGTAGTAAATGGACTCAGTGTATACCAAACGGCAATTTACCATGGCAATGTACGTCCAGTCTGACACAAAACATCATAACCTCTGTGGACTTTGCACTTTTGAATCATATACCATGAAAGAGCCACGTTGTGCCTGTTTGTATTAATTTTGTCTGATTTGGTGACCCCAAAAAAAAGATCAAGTGAATCTTGTAGCTCTCAACCACTCACGGTGTCTTGAGCACGCCAGAATGTAATACAGGAGGGCCAGTAAATACAGTGGATGTAAACCGTGTTTGTAAAACCAGACTTGGTCTATTGACCTGTACAAGTGCCAATCTGATCCCGTATGTGAAAATAATACCACGATATTTAGGATATATTGAATTCCTACTTTGAAAGTGAATAGGCCATTAGTTTTTTGTTTTGTTTTCACTAGGGTTAGTCCGAGATATTTAGGGTTAATTTAATTCCAACTTTGAACACTTTTAGTTGCGTAGCATGGGTTTACCCATTGCAAGGGTCTTTTCCTTTTTTCTTGCTCTCTCTTTTCTAGCTTTTTTTTTCCCTTCTGTTTTCAGCATTCGAATAGGGGACAAATCCCCCCCCCCCGCGTGCTCTTTAATGCTTTCCCCACTGGATGTTGTTTCCGACGAGGCTAGTCTAAGCTTTTTAGGATTTAGATCTATTTAATTACTGTTCTTGAATTGTGGATAGTGTGTCTACCGGAGCAAGTCTAAGGTACGCATTTTTAAACTCTGAACGTGATCAGCATCAAAAGTATAATTATACATTGTACATTACATGTTGTGTAATCTAAGCAACAGTATGGTTTTCAAAACGAGTAAATCATTAAATCTTAAGTTGTCGGTAACGTAAGGACAAAATATTTTAACTTCTACACAAATAATTTGACTTAAATTACTAAATAATACTGAATAAATAAATAAATTCTAATAAAACTTCTCTCGTAGGCGTTAGTGGTGTCACAATAGTTTAATAAATGTGGTGCTCAGCTGATTACCATGTAAAATTACATTAGTTTCATGCGTGGGCGAGGTGTCGACGGTCGTTTATTACGGCATGGGGAGGGGCGACATATTCGGGAAAGCTTCCAAACGAATAAGAGTATGCACCCCCTTCCCCTTAATACGAAGATTTGCGTGTAAGTTAGTGTAACTACCAAGCGACTGAATGATTTTTCTTTTTGTATTTCCAAACTTTACACATTGTATTGCATTTTCTAATCCCACGATCCCACGAGTAAATCTTAGTATGTAAACCAAAATGCGCACACAATTCCTTCTTCTTTACATGGGGTAGGTACCTTTGAACCATGAATAAGACAATTTGGGCGAAATTCTAAATTTAACAGAGTAAGACCCCGTTTTAATAGGTAAACTCGACCGTGGTTCCACTAAGATCTTTTTAAAGAAAACTTGGACTGCATACTACTTTCCCTTGTTAAACCCGATGATTGAACAATTAAGCCCTATGTTGGGTTTACATTTTGTTAAAATACGGACCGAGGTTTGCCTTCTCCACGGTGGCCTTGGTTCTTTCATCGGTTGTAGTCAATGCAACTGCCAGCAGATTATTACAAGTTTAGTGTATCTTCAACAGCTCTGTACTTGAAACGTCTCGTTCAAAAATAGTATTTAAGGCCCAGAGGAAATTGATATTGACTGCAGTATAGAATGACATACAAAGATGACATTTTATTAATACTTTTTGAGACCAGGAAGAGAGATACAAAATAAAAAGAAAGGAGAACATATTTTTATAGCTTCTTCATTTGAAAAATAAAAAGTCGGATATAAAATGTTTACAATTATTAATATCGGAGAAACTATTCCCTTGAAAATAGGCACCTCTTAGATTTGAATAGGAGCAATTATCATCGGTGAAGGGGGCACTTATCACAGGTTGTAAGAGGCACTTAAAATAATGCGAAACGGGCACCTATTATAAATAAAAGGGGCACTTTCCTCAAGTTAAAAAAGGGCACTTTAGAGGTACTTGCCCCCCCCCCTCCCTCGGATCAGCCGCCTCTGCATGGGGGTCCTATAGCTAACATCGTGTTCGAGAGACACATGTTCCCTCTGCATGTGTCAGCTACTATGGTATGACCGAGAAAAAAAGATAATGGAAATGTATATGAGAGAGATCAACTTTATAAGTCATGGCCAGGCGCGTACGCAGGGGGTGGTTTTGGGGTTAACCCCCCCCCCCCCTCGAGTTTTTTTTATGTGTATGTTTTATGTATGTTTTTTTGGAAACCCCCCCCCCTTTTGATTTTAAACCCCCCCCCCCCCCCTTGAATCCTGCGTACGCCACTGGTTATGGCAGTGCATGTATAACAATCAATATTTGTATTTCTATTCTATTACTTCAGGGTACTATCTTATACCGTCTTGGTCTTTTATGGGGCTTTAATGGACTTATGGTACTCTGCAAATTTGTTGTCTGACGACTTTACCCAACATTGGGTGGTTCACTTCTTACACAGGGGTTGTGTAGTTGTATACAAAAACTACACGACTTTACACAACGAGTTTGCAGTGTAAAGTTGTGTAATTTTCTTTACAGTTAGTTACTTAGTCAATTTCTAACAGTTATAATTGTTTGCGTTCATTTTTAAAGTCATGGTTAATGAAACAGATAGGGATTAAAAAAGAAGAACTTTGCTTCATTGGCCCACACCTATCGATGCTTTGAATTCTATCTCATGTAGGACAGTGGATACAGTGAGCATTCAACCCACCGCGTTCACTGAACACTTTTAACGATGTCGGGAAAAGAATTTTACCAAGGCAACACCTCGACATCGCAGGTAGCATTAACTGATCGGGACGAACTCGCCACAGAACAAGGCGTTTCACCCGACTCATCCCAGCCCTCGGCGACGTCGCACACCGCCTCGTCATCCTTACGGTCATCCGCTGGCAGTGCTACACCGAGCGATGGATACGGCGGCGTGAACGGAGCCGTGGTTGATGATGACAGTGCACCGAATCTTGATTGTGGATGGTTTGGATGTCGACCAGGCTGGTTACAGAAACTCAAGAAGCCGCCATTCCTGCTACTTTCACTTTGCTTCGCAACCATTCTCCAGGTAATGTTCGACAACATAAAAAAAAACTACAAAGAATAAGCTCTTTTTTTAAAAATACATTAAAAAAAACATCATTAAACAAATATTTAAAAAAAAAGAAATCTGTTTGTCGGGATAGGGGATTATTATGTGGTTTCTGCTAGCGAGTTTTTAATTTATTATTGATACATCATCCATCAAATCTTCCCCTTCAAAATACTCTGGCGACGCTTATTAAAGAAGCATCGCCGTTGAATGCGGGGTGCTTTGGGGCTGCAGCCCCCGAGAATTTTGAAATTACTAATCCTAGGACAAAGGATCACCTTATGTTGGAGCCGCGAGGTTGTCAATTAAAATTTTGTATCGTAATTAAATATATTCTATGATAATATTCCCTGTACCTCATTTTGTCGTTCACTGTTTTTCACCACTCTCAATTTTTGTTCAAACTACACACTAACCCTGTCCTCATTTCTCCCTCTTACTGAATTCTTTTTCCATCTCCCTCCCTCTCTCTCTCTCTCTCTCTCTCTCTCTCATCCTTCGTCCCTCTTCCCCTTCTTTCTCCTTCCACCTCTCTTGTGCCATTCACAGGGTATGATAGTAAACGGCTTCACTCCCGGTTCCATCACATCCATAGAGCGTCGTTTCGGTCTCTCCAGCCAGAGCACTGGTATACTTGTCAGCGTCTACGACTTCACCAATATCATCTTTGTGCTCTTCACCGTGTACGTCGGTGGGCGTGGTCACAAGATCCGATGGGTGGGCGTGGGCTGCGTCCTGATTGGTCTATCCGGCATTCTCTACGCCCTGCCCCACTTCACCACCCCGCCTTACTCCTACGTGGACGCGACCGGTGGGGGTAACAGCTCCTCCAGCGGGGTGTGTGATCGCAATGGAACCGGAGTGGGCGACACCTGCGAGACGCCGGGAGGGGCTTCGACTTCGGATCTGTCCAACTATATCTACATGTTCTGCGCAGCACAAGTGGTAGCTGGGATTGGTTCCCTGCCTTTGTACACGTTAGGTCTCACAGCAATGGACGAGTCCGTGTCGAACAAGTCATATGGACCTTATTTTGGTAAATGCAGAGTGATGGAAGAGAGAGAGAGAGAAGGGGAGGGGAGGGGGGTTTGTAGAGGGCAAACGATACAACCATGCATGGATCAATTTATAGTGATGTGTGTGTGGGGAAGGAAGGAAGGACTTTGGGAGAAAGGGAAAGGTATCACCAAAAAAAAGAGATTCTTGCGGATACTGTAAAGACAAAGATTAATGGGTTGTGGAGGTGAGGCACCTCGAGAACAGGAGACGATGAGAGAGAGAGAGAGAGAGAGAGGGGGGGGGAGGAGACTTAAATGAGATGAGAAAAACATAAATAATAAGATAATATACAAGTTCAGTGGACAGCAAACAAACAGAACACGTGAATTAATATCAATGCGATTCCAGAAAGAGGGCAGAGATATACAGTATGCACCAATTACAACGTCGGATTATAGATGGTAAACAGCCATTAAAGGAATAAAAAGAAAACAAATCGAAAATATGAAATTGTGAACGCGTAAATTGTCTTAATAAATTATGATTAATATAATAATACATTATGTTATCAACGGAATCGAAATAAAAAAAAAAGTAATGTAGCAAGGAGAGAAATTGAAAAGAAAGCAATGAAAATTCGAAAAGGAAAAGAGAAATACAATAAAACTTACTCTGTTTTTATCCGTTTGTTCTTGCAGGTACGTTTTTCGCGTGTGTCGTTCTTGGGCCTGGATTTGGATTCATCTTATCGGGTTCATTTCTGAACATCTTCACAGAGATCAGCATACCTGAAGGGTATGTTCTTTGATTATAACTTGTGGCTTAGCTACAGGGGTGGGGGTAGGGCCCAAGAAGGTCACTCTCAACATGGCTGGCTACGCACCCGCGTCCAGATAAAAAAAAATGTCGAAATGGTGTCTTTATCAGCTATACGGCGCCGTCGACGTTTTCCTTCAGTTAAAAAGGGGTGTTTTTCAAGCACTGATCGCACAAAAAAAAAAAAAGGGTACCTTTTCAAGTTCACAGGTTCGGCGTCGTTGAGGATTTCCTTTAAAAGGGGTGTTTTTCAAGCACTAATTGCAAAAAAAAACGAAAACCTTTTCAGGTTCACAGGTTTCGACGTTTTCTTTAAAAAAAAAGGTCATTTCAGAAAAGGTGCGATAAGCCATTAGGGTCCATTTCAGAGGTTGATGGATACGGGTGGGTAGCACTTGTGTACGAGAGTGGGGGATTTGGGGGCGTGCCATCATTGAAAGTGTGGACAAGATATTTCTTACATTTCCTTTACTGACTTTCAATGAGTTTCTTATCTGCTAACTGTACTACAATAAACAAAGTGGATACAATTTGTGTCGAAAAACTGTCAGGAGGAAGGGGCAGAAGTTGTGCCCGTACCCCTCTTTCAAATACGTTAGTGTGTGCAATGACTAATTATTTTCTCTCTCTCTCTCCCTCTCTCCCTCTCTCTCCCTCTCTTCCGCTCTTTCTCTCTCTCTCTCTCTCTCTCTCTCTCTTTCTTCCTCTCTTTCTTCCTCTCTTTCTTCCTCTCTTTCTTCCTCTCTTTCTCTCTCTCTCCCCCTTTCTCTCTCTTTCTCTCTCTCCCCTTTCTCTCTCTTTCTCTCTCTCTCCCCCTTTCTCTCTCTTTCTCCCCCACCCTTTCTCTCTCTCTCTCTCTCTCTCTCTCTCTTCCTCGGTTCCCCTCCCCTCCCCTCCCCTCCCCCTCTCTCTCTCTCTCTCTCTCTCTCTCTCTTCCTCTGTTCCCCTCCCCCTCCCCCTCTCTCTATCTCTCTCTCTCTCTCTCTCTCTCTATCTCTCTCTCTCTCTCTCTATCTCTCTCTCTCTCTCTCTCTCTTCATTTCTTAGAGTGACGTTATCCACGTCTGATCCCGGCTGGGTAGGAGCTTGGTGGTTGGGATTCCTCATCGTGGGTAGCATCACCCTCCTCATGATCATACCACTCAGTCTCTTCCCAAGAGAGTTTCCAAGTAAATGCCTAATTACATTCTAAGACGATAAATAACACACAACTTTTCATCATTGTCTATTGTTATGACTTGAGTTCTACATAAATGTGTTGTGATCATGTTTGTTTGTAATTTTTTGTTTGCTTTTATTTAAATATGATGTACCTGTTTTCTGTATAGTGACGTTCAGCTTAAACTGTAATGTAGTATTGACTCATAATTTATTATGCAATTTATTTATATATTTATTTGTTTTTCCTTGGTAAGAAATTGTCAGGGAGACAAACTGCCCCTCCCTCTTGCTACCTTCAAATACGCTGGTGATTACCGCAGTACCAGCAGCAGCGGCAGTATTAGTAGTAATAGTAGTAAAATGGTAGTAGTAGTAGTAGTAGTAGTAGTAGTAGTAGTAGTAGAAGTAGTAGTAGTAGTAGTAGTAGAAGTAGTAGTAGTAGTAGTAGTAGTAGTAGGAGTAGTAGTAGTAGTAGAAGTAGTAGTAGTAGTAGTAGTAGTAGTAGGAGTAGTAGAAGTAGTAGTAGTAGTAGTAGTAGTAGTAGTAGTAGTAGTAGAAGTAGTAGTAGTAGTAGTAGTAGTAGTAGTAGTAGTAGTAGTAGTAGGAGTAGTAGTAGTAGTAGTAGTAGTAGTAGTTGGAGGAGTTGTAGGAGTAGTAGGAGGAGGAGTTGGAGTAGGAGTAGTAGGACTGGTATTAGTAGTAGGGGCAGGTGTAGGAGTTAGTGTAGGAGTAGGTGTAGGAGTTAGTGTAGGAGTAGGTGTAGGAGTAGAAGCAGTAGTATATAGTTGTGGTTGTTGTTTAGCAAAAGATGAATCTGCCAGAAGGTTCACTGTTGTCATACTTACATATTTATAATAATCATAATTCCACACAGCTACAGCTAAAATCCGCACAGAGAAAGCTAATCAAGCTCACGCCAACTCGGGCACGGAGGAAACAACGAGAGCTGGATTCGGAGAACGTCCATCAGACCTGCTGAGGGCGCTTCGCTACCTGTTTACCAACCCTACCTTCGTATTCACGTGTTTAGGGGGCGTGGCCGATGCGCTGCTCATTAATGGATTCAACGCTTTCTTGCCAAAGGTCTTGGAGAATCAGTTCTCTTTATCGGCTGGTTTCGCGACCATACTTACAGGTCTGTACTCATTAAGATAGTCCATTAGATCACCTAGTACATTTCCTAAGACAATATGGGTAATTCCGCTTGAGAATGAGAGAGACGGAGAGAGAGAGAGAGAGTTAGATGAAGAGAGAGACGGAGAGAGGCTAGCAAGCGAGAGGGATTATAACAAGTTTTTTCTACACTTGGGCCTAATGGAGATAAATAACAATATTCTGGTCGATATATCTTGCTCGCAAATATCATCGCAAACTGATGTTAGGATTACGCAATACAGCATTGCAACGTTCGCTCATTTCAATAAGTGATGGGCAAGGCTTTGGAAATTGCTTACAGGTAAATTTTTCGAGATCCTTTGCAATCGTGTACTACTAGCTGTGACATCGAGTTATTCCTTATTTTGAATTACATAAACATGGGTGTCGATCCTTACGTAATACCTATTGTTCAGGGGGGATGAATGAATAGATCATCCCCCCTGAACAATAGGTATCAATTACAGATCGACACCCATGTACATAAATATAAAAAAATAAGGCATCTGCCGTACAACTGTCAACATTTATCTGATATTCTTAAATGTCTATAAAGTATTACGGTACATACAATCATTTCTGGAATGACCACACTTCATATCTTTTAAAACTTTTGATATTGTTACTGTGCAGAGAATCCCAATGAAATCCGTATTTTGTGCCATTTACTGCTCGTAGGTATACTGTCTATCTTTGGCGGTATTTTCGGTTCCCTGACCGCTGGATTCGTTCTGAAGCGTCTCAAACTGGATATCCGAGGTTTGCTCAAGTTGACTGCAGCTGCTAGCTTCCTAACGGGAGTTTTATCGCTTATCTTCCTCTGGCATTGTCCTCAGCAACAACTAGCCGGTGTTACAGTGACCTACGTTGACATGGCGAGGTAAGAATTTGGGAAATAAAGATAATTATGATGTATGCTTTGGCAACAGCATGTCGCCTAAAACGTAGTATTAGGCGCGCTTTAGAAATGTGTTTTTAGTAGAAGTATTGAAGTAGAAGTAGTAGGAATGGTATTTACACGGGAAATCCTCATCATGAGTATTAATACTGCTCTTCATGGGGGGGGGGGGGGTAACTCCAGAATCTGGTTGGTGTTATTAAATTTTTATTTCGCGATTGTGATCTCTCCCATCTACTGCTGCAAGCCGAAGATGGCGTCCCACGAATCCGTACGCATCACTGATTTGCAGGACAAAGATTTTTTTTCCTCACAGATCAGGGGTGCACATCGATGCGTGGCGTAGAAATTTGGGATATGGGGATCACGTCATCTTCCGATTGCACAGAAAGTAGGAGGAGATCGCGGTGGAGCAAATTATTACAACATTAAATCGGTCAGATTCTGGACTAATTGGGAGGGGGCTATCATAATTATTTAACACCCTAGCATCGCTCAAGTACTCATTTAGACAACCTGAGCCGAGAAGGACAAATGTGGGTAAAACTTCTTACCAGGGCCAGGCGGCCGTTGTAAGCACCGAGCGACGATCGAATCCAGGGCGTGGCAGTCGAACGTCTTCTACGATAGACCACAGTGTTCCCACGTTTGAAATTCTATAATAAAAAAAGGGCGTCATTTAAGCGAGAGAGAGAGAAGAGAGAGAGAGGGGAGGAGGAGAGAGTGAGATAGAGAGAGAGAGAGAGAGAGAGAATAATACATTTCTGTGGCATTATGCTAATCAAGATATGATAGTTATCGTATACGCATACTGAGATTAAAATATCAACCTATGTCTTTAAACATTCCGATAATTGATTTTCCTCCCAATTTTCAATTCCTCAATTCCTCACAATTATTACAGTCTAGGGACGGGCACAAACATAAACTTGACATCAACTTGTAATTCCAACTGCTCCTGCGCTGTCGAGCAGTTTCTCCCAGTGTGCGCAGGGGATACAAACTATTTCACACCTTGCCATGCAGGTTGCGAGACAGATCATGACAACGGGGTAAGTTAGTTTGCCCTCTTACAATGATGTTACTATTCTCTTCTTTCTTTGGGGGTGTCCTGCCCATTTTTCCCTAGTCACGATTTATCTTCTCATATTTTCCACCGTCTCGTTCTTATTTTGATCAGCTTAATTCTTCCATTACTTAGTAAAACGGTGGAGGGTTAATGGAATGGACACAGTCACACCGAGTCCTGTTTAAAAATCATAATGTTGCATAGGCCCTTGCCTACCGGAAACATGTTGTACCCCTCTGTAATAGTATACGCACATAACACCAGAAAATGTGATAACTTTTTGACCCTACCGCTCTTTAAAGAAAACTGAATCCGCCCCTGTGATGGATTTCTCAATTTCATTTTTAACTTCTATTCGCCATCACACTTATCTTGTCACGCTTTCGACATGCAGACCTACGCAAACTGTGCATGTCTGCAAGAATCGATACAGACTGTCGATTCGGGATTGTGCCGGACGTCGTGCAGCTATCAACCTTATGTCTTCGCCGTAGTCGCTGCCCTGTTCGTCTTCTTCGCCTTCTTCGCCCAGATTCCCGACCTCAATGTCATCCTCAGGTGCGCATAATAATTAATACCACTTTGATGATAATGGTAATAATAATCATAATAATAAATGATAATAAGGATACGTCTTCTTCTACCCAGGGTAGACTCATCAGTAACAATAACAGCAATAGCAATAGCAAAATCGAATAAATATCAATATCAATATCAATATCAATATCAATATCAATATCAATATCAATATCAATTTCAATATCAATATCAATATCAATATCAATTTCAATATCAATATCAATATCAATATCAATATCAATTTCAATTTCAATATCAATATCAATATCAATATCAATATCAATATCAATATCAATATCAATTTCAATTTCAATATCAATATCAATGATAACGATAATGATAATAAACTGTTTACCCAGGGAAGCCTCATCGGCACCAATACTGCTCTTCCTGAGGGCCCTGGAATTACCTGGATGGAGAGTGGCAAATGTAGATTCATGTCCTGCCAAGCTGCTGCGACACGGATTTCTCGGAGAATAATGCGAGGAACGTTATCAAGTCCATTCAAACATTTAAAGAAACAATCAATGGCATTATTAAATTATTTAGTGGATTATCATCTCAGGATCAAACCACTTTACTGCGTTTTATGATTTCTCCAATATTTTGTTGACAGGTGTGTGTCCGATTCTCAACGGTCCATGGCTCTTGGAGTCAACTCAATGTTGAAACGCGGACTTGGTAAGACCTATACTTTAAACTCGTTTACCCGAATAAAATCAGGCGCGAATCTAGGGATAGGGGAGGCGGGAAAGAGGAGGGGGATGCATAATTCATTTAGGTCTCTAAAGGCAGGTCAAGACTTGACCTGTCTTTAGAGACGTTTCCCACAGGATATTGTTCTTTTCTTTTTTTCCAAAGAAAAATGTATTTAATCATTCATGAGCAAGAACCAAATAATAGATTTGAACAAAGTACATGTTGTTACATATCGGTAAAACAAACATTATTACACCAGTTGCACATTTATCAAGTAATACAACGAATTTATTGCGTTTGATAGAAAGAACCCGCTCAACTTCATAGCAATGTTTAAGCATCTTCTTAAAAGAATTCAAAGATAGGCGTTCCCTTTTGTATTTCGCAGAGAATATATATAGTGTTTTGCATATAAAATGATAAAATTAAAGATAGATTGTGTACCATCTGGGAAACCAAACAAAAAGCAATTTATATTCAAAAGCACTTCATTAATTAGGATAGAGCTTTGGAAGTCTTGAATGAATATCTTGAACAGGATACTGTTATCATAATCATTCCACTGTCCGGATCAAAGAAAACATCAGAGCCGAATGTGTGGTATATAGCACATGCGCTGACCTATTGAAGATGATGTCCGAAGTGTTGTCCAATGCCTGAATGACATCAGTGCAGACAATGTTGGCGTCACTATGAGTAGACATCATCAACACCTAGATATGGGCAGATGAAAGTCAATGGCATTGGGTTTGATGGCCCCTAGCCTAATCTATAATGAAAAAAGTTTTACCGTACTCTTTATTTCTCGTAACCTCGCCCCGCCCCATCTCTCTCTCTCTCTCTCTCTCTCTCTCTCTCTCTCTTTCTCTCTCCCCCCTCTACCTCTAACACACAAAAACGATATCTCTGACTTTTTCTATGTACACCTCTATGTACCCACGTTGGTCCTCTTCTATGTCTCTCTTTCTCTCTCTATCTCTCTCCGTTTTTATCTGTCTCTGTCTCCACATCTCTCTCTCTCTCTCTCTCTCTCTCTTTCTCTCTCTCTTTTCCTTTCTCTCCCTATCTCTCCTTATCTCTCTCTTTCTCCCTTTCCTTCTCTCTTCCTCCCCCTCCCTCCACCGCCCTCTCTCCCTCTCTCTCTCTCCCTCCCTCTCTCCCTCCCTCCATCCCTCCCTCCATCGCTCTCTCGCTCTCCCTCTATCCCTCCCTCCAGGATCAGTACCAGGTCCTATCCTGCTCGGTGCCGTGATAGACCAGGCCTGCATCCTGTGGCAGGACGTATGTGGCACACGCGGTTCCTGCTGGATCTACGACAACGCCAACCTAGCCTGGAGGATGGCCGTCATAGCCGTGTCTTTCAAAGCAGCGTCGTGCTGTATGTATCTCTTGGCCATGTGGTTCTACAAGCCCGCAGTTAAGGAAGACAAGGAGCTGGATGAGGTGGCTGGCAAAGAAAACAGAGGTGCAAGCTTTGAATAGGAACCATTCATGGCACAATCAAGCCACATGGTGAAAAACATGCAGACTCATCCGTACAGGCCTCAAGTGGTCTAGAGATAACCACGGTGCCTGTATAATAATTAGGAGCTCATTCAAAGTCCTTATGCAACAACTCAACAGTAAACTTACTTCTACAACACTAACGTCCTTTGGTAAGACGTAATCTACATTTGCCACACTCCACCCAAGTGAGGTAAATAGTTGCCAAGAGCACTTTGACTTTTTAATTAAATTTATTCAAAATGGTTCCATACCAGTTACATAATATATGGAATCTCCTGAACGCAGCCTTAAGCCTCTATATTCAGTTGCCAATTCTGTCATCGTTTTGAGTTGGCCGGGTAATGATATCATGGGCCAGAAAAGGGGAGGAGAAGAAAGAAATAGTGGAGAAAAGGCATGGTTGAAAACGTGCCTCACAATATTGTCTTTCTTCGTATATACATGGATGTGTTTGCAAACTTGGCTGTTAACCCTGAGAGGGTCAATATGACGGTGACAATACGAGATAACGCGTGTGTGATTAACCAATGTTGGCAGTGGCAGCGAAACAACCTAGATAGCACACGCTATGCTAAATCTATTTTTGGAGAAAAATAATTTAGATAATTAAACGTTTCATACCTTGTTTTCAACCGCCATTTTTGTAAATAAATTTGTATGCATTTCTATCATTAAAAAAAATATATGATGTGTGTGACAGTAACATTCTAAGAATGCAGGGGAATACCCGCTGGGAACGCCATGACAAGTAACAATTTTGATATCTTTCAGTATTAAAATGTACTCCCTTTTTAACTGACTTCACAATGCGGTTAATGTATTCGCCTGTGTAACTTAATGTATTCACATTATAAGATAGTGAAAGATCAATGAATTCAAATCTATACGTTGATGTATGGATAACTATATTCCGATACAGATGTATTCTTAAATCTATGATGATGTAAATTTGCATTCCCATCTCTAAATAATGATCATGACAATACATATAAGCTCCAGCTTAAGACGGCGTACTTATGGATTTTTTCAATTTTGAAACTTATTTGGTTTTTTTAAGGTATAACTTTTAATGATTTATATTTTGATATGATTATATATGTATTTTTGTTACTTTAGTTGATAATATATATATATGTACCTAGTGTGTATATTACATTTTATTATGTTGAAAATGCAGAAATAGAATAAAACAAACAAACGAAGAATACTCAGTAATTTTGAATTGTATAAATAGCGCCTATTTCATAGGATTAGCGCGCTAATATTCTCATCTTTATGCTAATATCGGAAGTATTAATCTTCCTATGTTCAAGTTTGACAGTGCAATGTATTCTCATCTGTAAATTCAAATACATACATTCCTAATCGAAGAGCAGAAAATGCCACTATCTTCAAAAATCTGACTTAAACTGTCTTTCACTACATCTCATACTGATAACAAAGGTATGTATATATATATATCTGTAGCCATATATAGCGCTGCATATAGGCCAGTTTCCTAATGTTAAACAATTCAATGCATCCGTCTTTGTTAAGTGCCTCGTTACAAATTATTTCATTCACCTGTTACGAATAATTGTAATTCACGAGAACGCGTATTGCATACATCACACGTTGTTAGGTAAGGCAAGCCATGTTTGCCCAACCTAGCAGCAACTAATTCATGTAATTTGCAATCTGACTATTGAGATACAATGATATATATATAAAGGTAATCGTGCATAAATTTGAATATATATATTTGTAATGGTCTATGGACGGAGACTGATATCATTATCATATTAATGGATTTATCAGGCAGATGACAAAACAGTACTATTTTTTGATTATTTAGATGTGGTTTTACTTGGTTTGTATAGATTGATCGTGACTGTTTAATTATTAACATCAGACGAAATAAAATGAGGAAAGTTTTTCTCACAACATAATGTGTATTTTTCTGGTTTCAATGTATTATTCTATTGAAAAGAAGTAGTCGCAAGCACAGTGAGAAGATAAATATTTGTATTCATCATCTTTGGTCGTTGTTGTTGTTGCTGTTGATTAGTTGAAAACACAGGACTGGTGTTGATTTATGAATAATTCTACAACGAACTATTATTGCGCCATCTATCTATATAGCAAACCAATTCTAAGGCACTTTTCACGTAGAAGTGTTGTGGTCGAGTGGATACGTCACCGGATTGTCGATCACAAGGTACGCGGTTCGAGTCCCGCCGCGGCACTAATGTCCTTTGGCAAGACATTGATCTACATTTGCCACACTCAACCCAGGTGAGGTAAATGGTGACTTGTAGGATAGTAGGATTATTCCTTGAAATTCACTGTGCGCTGATAAGGCTGCCGGAGCTAAAGCTAGGGTAATAAAGTCCAAAGCTCTTTGGAAGCGCATAGAGATGTTATTTCATAACGTATTATGCGCTATATAGTAGAACTGAACTATTATTATATTATACTGATCCGGGCCCTTTTTCATAAATAGTTGCCATAATTGAATTTAGCTACTGAAATTATTGCCTTTGATTGGCTGTAGCCTGCAGGCAGATCTGTCAATGTATTGAGGCAGTTCATAAACTCGTATTTATGAAACTCGACTCGGGGGGTGTATACAAAATGTACTCGGGAATTGTAGAATGATGCTTTTGAGGTTTACACCGCAATCATTGTTGCCTTCCTTCTCCTTTCTATTTTTTTTTCTTTGTTGTTTTTGTTTTGTCATAATCAGGCCCTGTTCGTAATAATCACATACGTCAAGTTGTCGATAAAGTACTTGTTTTTTTAATGAATATAATTATTTATCAATCAAATGTGGAACTTGTAACATCAAACCAACCTTATAAATTTCAGACATAATGTATCTCCTCTTCGTTACAATCAATTGTACTTTCTGGAATAAAAAACAGCACAAAAAAGCGTTTATAGCGGAATGGAAATGCAGTTGACCCCCCCCCCCCCCCCCCAAGTCGAATATTGATAAGTCGATTATATTCGGACTGCATTGTCCATTCACGTCTGAGACCATTCAAAGTTTCGAACCCGGGAGGGCTGAAAAACGCCAAGTGAAACTAACCAGCATCACCTAACCTCGTCCCGTTGTATCTATGTCCAATCATGCACGCTTCTGATCATCTCATTTCGTAGAACGAATTACAGCTTTATCAGATCGAGATATTAATTTTATAAAATAATAATTTAACACTTTTGTGGACAGGTCAAGGTTGGAGAGCCAGTCAAAGGCACCATCTTACACAAGAGATGGGTTTTTTTGTTACAAGCTAGTGAAATCCTTGCTTCTGATTGGTTATCGGCAGATTGGTCACTGATTTGTGTCATCTGTCATTGAAAAAAAGTTTTGTGAAACTGGTTCCTGGAAGCCTTGTTAGCACACGGTCATTTATGATAGACATTGTATAGAGCGTTTCTAACACGATCCTCATGACTGTCACCCGCCACCGTCCCATAGGCCCGCTCATAATGCAGAATGACATAAAAATAAAAGCGTTTTAGAGTGATCGTCACTCCGTTGATTTATGATTTTACAAAGTCTTAGGCTGGCTTCCCCTTCTCGACGGAAAGTTTCGTTACTTGTTGTTGTTGTAGGTGTTGTTGTTGTGGATGTCCTCACAATCGTAAACACTGTCCAAAAATCAACTCATCGCAATATTAATGGGGGAAACGGAATAGAGACTGTCATTTTGATTTTTATGGTTGAATTTCATCTCTTCCATTACGTATTTTTATGTTTAATTTCAATTTTTGTAATAGAAATGTTTGTATAGCAATTGTCAAATACTTTCTCAACTCTTTCGCTCAAACAACTTCCATTTCTCTTCTCCATTCTCTCCTTTCCACCTTCTTGGTCTTTTAACATGAAAGTGTATTATTACATTAAACTTATAACTTTGTTTTGCAATTTCGATTTCATCTTACCAATGCTAAATAATTTCTGCAAAAGTTGACCAACAATATGTAATTTAGTTTTTTATATGTTTATATCTCTCTATATTTCTAAGTTGTTTGTAAATTGAACATTTTCAGCCTGCGAGCTGCTTGTTTGATGTGATTTTGCTATAAACCAAACCAAATATCAATAGCATTATACATCACCTTTATAATTTTATAATTTTCGTGAGGGATGTGTAGCCATGCATACAAGAACAACCCGATCCCAAAGCCCCCCCCCCACCCCCCCCCCCCCAAAAAAAATAATAATTCTAGAACAGCGTGGGGACTTATAAAGTAATCCGAACATGATTTTTTTTTAGGGGATATACAATACGATAATGAAATTTCCCTTGATTTGATTTTTCAAAATCTTTGCGAGCTCGTAATGCTTTTGCTGTTAATATGACATTTTGTTTTCTTATGACATTCAATTCTTTGGGCTTGATCCCCGAGGCAGCGACCCGACTGGCGGGTTTTGAACTTTCGTTTGACAAGGCATATCCAAAAGCTAAGCAACATAACATTCACGGCTTATTCTTTATTATTCTTGTTGTTTTCTATTCCATTTTTATTAAATGTTTGCCATCTAGGCAAAAACCCTGACGGCTACAAAAGGTTGATGAACTTTATTTGTGAATGACGTCGCGAAAACGAGGACTCTGACGACCTTCCTGGATGACAACTTGTTCTTAAAGTTACTTGATCCTAAACGGTGCTCGTTCTATAATCTTCACATACACTGTCGCTCATAAAGTTGGAATATTTTTGTTTAACCCCAATTTATGGAATTATTTTAAAAATAATTTAAAAATAATAGATCTAGATAATAGTACACATTCTCAGAATTTATTGAATAATAATTTGACAATGTGTTTTGCGTGACTGCTAAAGCATGTGTATGCTACTATGCTTATCAGCTAGGGGACCTACGCCCTTGCGCCCATGCCTTGAGCCATAAAGCATGGCCGTCCAGAGGATTTTTGTATGTTGGGGACCGGGGTAAAATGCAATAAATTATTGAAAATTTGACTTCAGGTTTTTTTTTAATGAAAACTGCCCCCTACCCTAGTCCCCGCTGCGTACAGTCATGGTTCAGTGACAAAGCAGTGGCCTCGTAACTGTGAGGCCCCAGGATCAAAACCGTGTCGATGTGCTATATTAGTGCCCTTTTGTGGGGCATTAATCCTCATTACTGTCATTTATGACTTAAGGGCGTAGGTCCCCTAGTTGATAAGCATAGTAGCATGCACATGCTTTAGCAGTCACGCAAAACACACATTGTCAAATTATTATTCAATTAGATCTGAGAAGGTATACTATTATCTAGATTTATTATTTTTTAATTATTTTTAAAATAATTCCATAAATTGGGGTAAAACAAAAATATTCCATAAATTGGGGTAAAACAAAAATATTCCAACTTTATGAGCGACAGTGTACTTAGGATAATAAAATGCTTTAAAAAAGGGGTATAAGAATAAGAAGAAATGACGTTAGATGAAATCAGCTTCCATGTTTAACAGTTCTGTACAACAAAAGCATTTTACTTGAAACTTTTTTTTTAAAGGATCAAAAGGATTTTGATAATCCTTCACATTTAGACTCTACAGAGGGTTCTTGTTTATAAATGCTAACATATTTGTCCGTGTCATCGAGCGGTCTTGGTAAACGCGGGGGTAACTGAGTTCAAAGCACGGGGGCGTCGTGTAATTTTCAGCTGCACTACATGACTGAATACTAAGAAGGCGGTTTATTAACATTCCCAAGGTCAATCGTGTGTCTGAGTCGGCTCTTCCAAGTATGACCACTTAACCTTTGAACTTTACGAGCAGGTGCTTGGGATGAAGATGTATAAGATGAGAAATTTTGCCTCATTATTTTGTGCCGAAATGAGAAGACTCCTATATGCTGCGTTGCTTTTGGTAGTCTTCCTTTTTCATTTCCTACTCAGCTAGCTCAGCAGGCCAACATCCTTGAAAGAATTAATGTTGTCCCTTTGAAATACAGTCAATGTCAAGAACCTATCCAGAGAGGTTGATTGTGTGAAAGTTGATGCTAAGTACCGCCTGCTAACACAAATTTAATTGTAAAATATTCTTTATGGGACTTGGGAACAGAGTAGTTGGGTGGGGGCCCTGTTGGAGGGGAAGGGTTGGGTGCCCCTCCTGCACCGGCCTAGCATTTTGGCGGGTATGCTTCTATGACATTGCATCAAATTAATAAGTGATTTGTCCTATAGGGAATTTAGTACAAGGGAGCTCAAAATGGGGGAGGGGGAGTCTGTAATTTGTCCAAAAAAAAGATTTGTAAGAGTCGAGTTACAATATTCGTCATTGTCTCAAAAAAGGTGCATGAGTTTTGTGCGCTGATCTTGTCTCGTGGATCTCGTCTTGTACGAATTCCAGATACCCCATTTTTTCTCCTCATCATTCTCCCCCTCAAATCATATTTCTTCTTGCAAACCATTTCCGCCGCACACTGCAGTGACGAATCAACGATTCTCTGACCGGCAATGAACTGGTGGAGGAGGGGGCTGGGGGTGTCTAGGGTAACACAACTGTTCACTAAAAGCCCTCAAATGCGGCCTCTATAACTTGCCACACCCTGATTCCGCCACTGCATTACATTGTATAATCTTTGAACAGTGTTTATCAACCTTCCCATCACAACAATTTCTCGATTTACCGATGTGATCAAACATATTGTTTAATCGTCTGTTTGCCCAAGGACCAAGGAGGATCTCTTACCTCCGTGGTTTACCTGAAGTGGAACTGATTCGTCACGAATCCTCGGGGTCAGACCATCTTAACATTTCAAGAGTTGGTCCTTTTCGAGAATGAGCGGGGTCCGTTAATTTACACCTTTGTTTGGTGACCAAAAAGATGTCTCTGTCATGATTAATAACACATTCTTAAAATAGGATTATCATTGGAAATTCGTTACAGTTATGATTCTATGACACAACCACATTGGTAAACTCATAATGAATTTATAAATCACAATTTTAGGCAAAGTTTTTTTCCTTTTGCAATCGTACAACTGAAGAAGTAAGGCTGATTTAGATAGAATGAGAGAGCGAGAGAGAGAGAGAGAGAGAGAGAGAGAGAGAGAGAGAGAGAGAGGGGGGATAGAGAAGGGAGGGGAGTCAATGTCGAAATAGAGAAACTACTTTGGGGGCCAGGGGAGGGGCCCGGCCCCCCTGAATCCACCTCTGCTACCGAAAGAGACAAGTAAGAGTGACAGGAAAGGGGGTGGGGGTAATACTGGTAAAAGAGTGGGATTTTAAAAAAAATAAAGAAATCAAATAGAGAGAGAGAGAGAGAGAGAGAGAGAAAGAGATGGAGAGAGAGAGAGAGAGAGAGAGATGGAGATAGCTAAAGACATAGATATATAAATAGCTAGATATAGATAGAGAGAGAAGGGGAGGACGGGGGGAATTGGCAATATCTAAACCATTTTGACCGTTCTCGTCGTCGTTTTGTTCACATATCATACCGGTATAAAAGAAGGAGAACGAAATCTTTTGTATTCACAACTTTGAGTTGGTTGAAAACACGAAAAACTTTTATGGAGTTCACTTCAATTGTAAAGACCTCTATGAGAATAACAAATCTAAGAATAATAGAGTTGACTTAGAGGATTAAATGCTCTTTTCAGGGTTCACGTTCCTTGAGAGATAATACAAGGGTGTCAACTCAATGTCGCTCATTAGTGTTGATTGTCAACCTGTGTCGCACGAAAAGACCTTTCTAATACAACGTTCAAAGGGATAGTTGAGTTCTGTTTTCAGACCGCAAATGCCTTGTGCATGGTTATCGCTCTTATTCTTATCTATGACATTTCTAATGCTCTTTTAGGACCTAAAATTGCTATGAAGATAATTTTAGACCCCAAATGTGTGAAATTTAGCGTTATTTTGATTACCTTTTTGACCTGTGTTAATCCCAACTATGAAAGTATTTAATGCACGTACCAGAAATAAGTTATCGCTGACGTAGTCCTACGTCAGCAAAATGACGTCCCGTGCGTAACGTGCGTTATTCCCCTCTCCCCTCCCCCTCTAGCCCCTCCCCCTCTAGCCCCTCCCCATCTAGCCCCCCCCCCCCCCCCCCCGCCGAATGCGAACCGCTTATTAAAAACGTTCATAGTGATAAGTCAATCATACGACTTATCAATTTAAAGTTCTTTGAACCATAACACTATATGTCATTAATATACTAGTCAACAAATCTCTATGGCGACGTTGGGGGACTGTTGCTAGCAGACTAACCTTCTGAACCTTTAGATGTTTACGCTATGTACATAGATCGCATTCGTTTAGTATTCGCATAACTTCTCTCGACTTTGGAGCACTCGGAATAACCAGATCTGCTACGCCGAGGCAGCACTCCCAAAAGTTTCTCAGTTGCAGAGTGACTAGCTTTAAAGGTATGGAAATATATCTTTCCTATGAAATACATACTTACAGTTCAGTTTTGGGGTTACAGGTAGTTGTCGGTCACAAATATTTGATCGCCTAGATGAAGTTTGGAGAAATTGGCTTTTATTTCATTGTACATAAGGAGTGAAAGTTGTACTGCGTTATAGATGACGTTCATGATTGGTCCCGTTGTAGCTCAAGACCGAGGTACTTAGAGAGACACTTGACTGACAGATCACTATTGATGATGAGTAGCTTATATACGATTATCGTTACCTGAAACACTAATGGCTAGGGTGGAGTAAGATTTGTTAGGACACCATTTATATTTATTTGAAGCTGAACTTCTTTACATGCATGTCGACCTACGAAAAGGTAAGAGTAAGGTCCTGATAAAAGTAGAGGACAGCTGTTATTTCATCCGAAGATTTCAACGATGACTTTGCTTGAAACATGCACGGGCCCCGGTAAGGGGGGGGGGCGGGAAGGGTCACTCTCATACACAAGTGCTACCCACCCTTGTTCATCAACCTCTGAAATAGACCCTAATGGCGTATCGCACCTTATCTTAAATAGACCCTAATGGCGTATCGCACTTTTTCTGAAACGAGCCCTAATGGGGTATGTAAGGAAACCTGAAAAGGTACTCTTTTTAAGAAAACGTCGAAACCTGTGAACCTACAAAAAGGTACCCTTTGGGTTTTTTTGTGTGCGATCAGTGCCTGAAAAACACCCCCTTATAAGGAAAACGTCGACGACGCCGTATAGCTGAAAAGACACCCTTCCAACGCTCGGGTGCGTAGCCAGTCATGTTCGGAGTGACGCCCCACCCCCCCCCCCCCCCTGGGGGCACGTGCAAGGATCATTATTGTTGTTGATTTTATGATGTCTAATCAAATATCACTCCTCTTTCTTTTTTTCGTTGGTTTTTTTCTTCAAAGTGTTATAAACTGTTTAAACTTTAAAGGGATCGGGTAACTTTGTCTCAGATTCTGAAACAAAATCCTGGATTTAGCTCATGCTGCAATGATAATTATAAACCTTAAGGTCAGTCAGAAACCCCGTGACTTTTATAAGCCGATCGCCTGTTTGATTATCAATATATTCATGATTGGAAATCGAAATCAATATTTGCGTTTTCCTAACGGTTTTCATAACACTACAGTCTATTGGGGATAACGAGTATGATAAAACAGGTTACTCAAAGATCTTACTATTTTGAGGCACTTCTTGATCATTTTGAAGCGCAATTTGTTTAGGGATTCAATATTTTATCATATCACAGACACTGATAACGCGTAGAATCTAGATGAAGCTATCATCTCATCTGCGTTTCTATATGATGATGAGAATAACTTTAGGGGCATCCATACGAGCATACAGGATCATTCCTTCCGCATGCCCCATTCTGAAAAAAGGGTTCATGTAAGAACCCTCCTCAAGTTTCAGAGACCGTATTCCCCCCCCCCCCCTTCTTGGTGTTATCCCACTTAATCTGCTTGTATATAATCTGTGTTTTTCATAGCATACTGGAGACATGTTTTGTTTTTGTTAATGATATTGTCCCTAGCTAGTATCAGTGAATATTGAATGTGAAAAGTAAGTGAGATATATGAGCTAAGAATACATCTTAATCGTACCAAAGATGTCTCTGATCATCATCTTACACGACCCCAATATGACTCACTGCCTGGAGAATTTGTCTTCGGATAATCAGGGTAAACACGCACGGATGGGGAATTCTTTGTGTTTCTCAGTAAGTTTTGCAGATAGTTACAGCGTTTTCCTTACCAAACTCGCCAAACAGTCGATATGGATTACCTCTTAATACACCAACCAATGTCATTATTTGTAAAGTATATAATGCACCATTCAACCACCCTCAAATACAAAAAACTAACCTGTCGAACCTAGTCCTATATTGGAATTTGAAAAATATGATTAATTAGTGTTTTTGTTTACTCCTAATCTACATGAAGCAGTATATGCAAGGACGTGTGTCGTTAAATCTATATTTCGGTCAAACATGACTGTATACATGTACAGGTGTATGTCGATGAGCAACCTTAAAAAACAGCCCTTTCGAGTAATTTGCCTCAAATACCGAATATTCAACTTAAAACGATTTACGCTGCGTATAATTTACAAATCAAAATAGCAAAAACTTATTTAACTGTGCCCGAAGGCCTATAACAAGTTATCCCAGGTCATTAGGTCTTGAAGATTTTATTATAATTATGATGATCGTACGAATCCGGGTACTACACTGGAATGAATATTTTGTTTTGATAAAGCCATGACCTTTTACAGGCGTCCTCCTGCGATCCGATTTTTGGGAAAAATTACAGTTACATTAGATATAAAAATCTAAACAGACATCATATTCCTGATTTATGATTTGAATAATGATAAGAATATTAAAATCGGAATTCAATGTATTCAACACTCCTAATCAGAATAAAGTAGAATCGGCTTCAAATCGTAGACCGTCGCGCTCCTGGTTTGACGTCACTACGATTCTGAGCCGATTTTTGCTTTTCCCCTCCAAGGCAGCATTAAATGACTTAAAATTAAAATGCTATTAATCAAACATGACTTTTTGGATCCTCGATCATCTAATATTTTACGTGTTTGAATACTAACATCAAATACTATTGCCAATTCTTCCAAAATATGTTCGTAGGAAGATCGTATGGTGCACAGTGTTCATGGCTCGCCAAGACTTTAATGAGTATTTATTGCTACATTGTCAAGAGATAGTAGTTAAACAACAGCATGTAGTATGGAACAAAGTACTAGTTTACATACGTTGGTAATGTATCGTTCTTTTATTTATTTAGCCGTTTCATTTAAATACACAAAGGAGCTTGAGAGAGGTTGAACATTAAGTTCATAAGAAGCGGAGAAGTACAGTGACACATACAATGTTGCCCATAAAGCTGGAATGGTTTTTGCTGACCTCTTTTTCATGAAATAGTTGTGACAAATTTGGTTTATTTCTGATAGATAAAGTTTAGATCTTCTCAGAGCTTTTATTCACCAATTTCAGAGACAAGGTAGGTTGATAAATAGACTGGAATGAGACTGACTCATGCGGAATGGAGCATTCAGACTGAAAACCGCCTAGGCCTAGTCACTCTGGCCTCGGTCTAGTCGATGCAAGACGGGTCCTCTGTATAAATTCGGTATTATGTTCTGCGTTTGGAGACATCGCACAAAAGAATCTATTGATGTCGATTGGATGATTGTGGGGGTATCATTATATAGTTGTTTGAAGAGCTAGGCCTATAATTAATGTGGCCTCTTCTTGCTTCGCATATTGACTTCTCGATCGAGTGTGAAACGAAATTACATTTAAAAGTGTGGGAAATTGTTTAAAATCAATATAAGGTTAACCGCAGGCCTGAAATAAACCCAATTTCTTGTTGCAAGTTGTCATTGACAGAGAATGAATTTGTGCCGTTTCTTGACAGGCTCCTGCTCTCTTCGGCCATCATGGTTGGATTTTGAAATGATCAATTTATCAAACAAAATTGAACTTCCATTTCAATTAATCTGTTTTTGATTTGCTATAAAAAAAAAACACACATCTAAATTATACTTTAAAATTTTACATATAATTATACACGTACACAAATACAAGAAAGAACATAATTATGAAACACAAAGAGCAAAGAACAACAAACGGCAAAGATCAACGTTTATAAATACATGAAGAAACGCGAGGTTAAAATACCAATGAGAAATGTGAATGCGGAAGGTGACACACACGGCCTTGCGTAGATTTGCTAAAAAATACAGGGTTTTTCAAAAACTTGTCGGGTAAATCGGACCAAACCATTTGTAGATGAGGTAGGTTTATTTCACAAACATCACCGCCTATGTTTCGTGAAAAACATGGCATGTTCTCACAAAAGGTCGGGTAACGCGACCACCCGACCCGACGCGATTGCCCGATGATCCAAGTAATCAAACAGCTTTCATATTTTTAGTAGAGGGAAAAGTGTAACGGTGATACGAGGAATTTGAAAGGTAAAAAGTTCACATAAGACATAAGGGTCTAAAGGTTGACAAAATATACATCACAAGACAATGAATAAATAATCCTAAAGACCCTAGTGCACATACATTAGATTCATCATGACACCTTTTAATGCACTATTGCAGCTGTGGAAGTATTGTTGTCATTAATTTCGCTGATGTTAAAGATACTATGTCCCATTTGCGGCCGACATCAAATTCTGTAGAACTTTGCAGGAATTATGAATATGTCGTGTATGAGCTATCTGTGAAAATTAAACGTTAGCAGTGTCCTAGTATTCAAATTATGCAAGGAGACCTGATTAATTTCTAGACTCACTGTCAGACACTATTGAGTGACTGACTGGCTTTTTTTTCTTTGGTAATAACATACATCAAAAGAACTGTAAAGGGTACATCAGTATTTTTCTACATCAACTTAATAACCAAGGGTCTGAAAATCAGACTATACAACTAATGGTCGTTATTTTCCCACAAAAAGAATTTTCAAGCCCTTTCGTTTTGAGGGAAGTTCTAAATTATAGTGTTATTTTTCAAATGCCGGTGGAATTTAACCTTTTCATTTTTTGACCTGCAAATGGAACATAAAAGAATGGTCTTGGGGATAAATGTTTGTTTCACCAGACAACCAATAACCATATGAACCCAGTTATTCGGTAGTTACAATACAGAGGAGGTGTGTATAACAAGTAAATATGCGCATTGCAGTTAGTATATTCCGATGTGCAACGATTTATGTCTCAACTCGTCATCACAATGAATCGACTGATTAAATATGATCTGATATTTATCATAAATGAAAAGTGAATAATGCATTTTCAGATTTCAGATTTTTCATCCCAAGTTTTCATTTTTTGTATAACCGATTTATGTTCGATAGTATTTTGCTCCAGATTTACGAGTCCGAATCATTCCATAAAAATGCCTAGGGGCCGATAAAAAAAAAAATACATTATTTCATTACCCT